GCCTAAGCCTAAGCCTAAGCCTAAGCCTAAGCCTAAGCCCTAAGCCTAAGCCTAAGCCTAAGCCTAAGCCTAAGCCTAAGCCTAAGCCTAAGCCCAAGCCTAAGCCTAAGCCTAAGCCCTAAGCCTAAGCCTAAGCCTAAGCCTAAGCCTAAGCCTAAGCCTAAGCCTAAGCCTAAGCCTAAGCCTAAGCCTAAGCCTAAGCCTAAGCCTAAGCCTAAGCCTAAGCCTGAGCCTAAGCCTAAGCCTAAGCCCTAAGCCTAAGCCTAAGCCTAAGCCTAAGCCTAAGCCTAAGCCTAAGCCTAAGCCTAAGCCTAAGCCTAAGCCTAAGCCTAAGCCTAAGCCCTAAGCCTAAGCCTGGGCCTAAGCCTAAGCCTAAGCCTAAGCCTAAGCCTGAGCCTAAGCCTAAGCCTAAGCCTAAGCCTAAGCCTAAGCCTAAGCCTAAGCCTAAGCCTAAGCCTAAGCCTAAGCCTAAGCCTAAGCCTAAGCCTAAGCCTAAGCCTAAGCCTCAGGTTTAATAGATGATAATGTATGTTTGAATTCATTAAAGGCTCGGGCTCAGGAAGTAAATTGGAACTTTTTAATTTATAAGAAAAAAATGTAATTTCTATCGAATTTCTCATGCTAAAAGCGTACTTTTCCTAATACCAATCCATAGATAATTGAATGTGAGTGTAGTCCAACTCAGTCCGAAAAACCACGGGTTATCATAAAACAAGCCAAGCTTGGTTATCATTGGCGGTAATTTTCTTCAGGTATGCAGAATCATCCACTAAAGCTTCCTTTTGTAGTCTGTCGTTTTGCCACGCTTTTGAGAGTTAGACATAAAGCGAAGCGATTCACCGAGAACAAAAAGTCAAGAAGAAATATTTTACCATGACTATAGCACTTTGACGTTCGCGACAACGATATTTTGCGCGTACAGTCGCGTCGTTGTTACTCTTTTACTGATAGTTTGGTGAAAATTCAAAGATAAGCTAAACTATTATAGTTGTTCGATAGCCCTGAGTCTCCTCTTTAGTACAGATTTACCAAGAACCTTCTGCAAAATGAATAACAAAAGTCCCTAAATACCTGAGTTGATACCAAAATAATTGTCATTAGTACGGTCTATCGGTGGGACGTGTTAAAATCAACATCGCCAAAATATCTCGATAAATTTATTTTTTCACTTAACGGTAATCGCTTAAGTAGCTTGAAGATCTATCCTTTTTAACTTCTCAGTGTGTTTTATCCTACATGCCTGAGACAACCAGAAACTACTCAAATAAGTCTTCAATTCATTCAGTTCCTAAGTCCATAATTTTTACAATTTTGGGTATTTTAATGATTCGAGCGACTCTATTTACAAGAAATGGCGAAGTTGAGAGCTTTCATTAGAGTGGACAAACAAAACTTCAACAGAGATCTCTCAAGATTGGCTTTAGAGAAAAATAAGAAAGAAAATGAACAGATTTCTCTTTGAATGTTCAAATTTTTCATATATCTGTTTTTAATTTATTTTTTTCTAATTTCTTTTCATAACGACGTCGCCAAATCATATCGTTGAATTCAGGGTTGACGACCTACAATAAAATCTAGACGATACTTTGTGTTTCATAGCAAATAGATGAGAGCGGTGATCATCAGCAGTTGAAACATGTAAAGATGTGCCCAAAATTGTTCTTAATCTTCTCTCTAATTTCTCTCGTTGCTGCAAGTCGCGCCGAAAATCAGCTTTATCGGTAAGATAAACTTTTATAAATATTTGCTAAACCTTTTAGAGATCTTCAAAAAGAATATTCAAAACTTGTGAGGCCGGTGAAAAATGATTCGGAAGCTGTGTGAGTACAAGACAAAATAAAATCATATGAAAAAATATAAGTAAGGAAAATAAGAATTTAGACGAGTCGAGATGAAAGTTTTTCTTCAACAAATTGTTTCGGTTGACGGAAAAAATCAGATAATCGAATTGAATGCTTGGCTTAAATTTGTAAGTTTTGGATAAAATTGCTAGGTTCGTAAAATTGGATTTAAACACACACATTTTGTTGAGTGAGCGAGATAAGCTCTGTAAATTTTAAACATTTTTTGGGTTAGCTTTGTTGCATGTACCAGGCTGCCCAGAAAGTCTTTTCGTTCATTTTCATATTTCCGTTAAAAAATAACAAACGAAATTATCACGAATTAACCTATGGTTTGTTCTAAATAAAAAGTGTTTATTGTTTAATTCCCCATCTTTTAAAGTCAACTTGGGTTCACTTTCAAACAAATTCGAGAGAGAAAGCGTGTTTTCATAAAAATCTAAAAATCTCTACAAAGAAATTGGCTGAATCAATTTCTCTGAAAATTTGGCTATATACCTAACTTTGTATCTGTCTTTTCAAAATTCAGACATAAGACATTTTAAACTAGTTTTCAGAAAAAAAATTTACAGAAAAATGATTGGCCTTTCTAATGAAACAAACCAGAGTTTAATTGGTCCATTTACTGGTTTTAAACGGAAGTACCAAAAGGAACGAAAAGATTTTCTGAACAGCCTAATAATTAAATAGTTTTGCCGAAACACATTTTGCTGTTTATCTTGACTCATTAGAAACAAGTTTCATCTTGTAGCTCATAAAATTAGCTAACTATTGTAATAGTAAGTTTGGCTCATGTTGTAGATCGTAAAATTTATGTATTTCAGGTTTGGATTGATTATCGTTTATCGTGGAATCCTACCAAATATGAAAATATCAAAAGCGTTCGATTTGCGGGCGGAGAAAATCAAATTTGGAGACCCGATATTTTGCTTTATAACAGGTATTGGGTTGGTGGGTGTGACTTGGCACGTTTTTTGGGATGAAATTTTACTTCAGCTAACAAGTTGCTCCGAGTATTGGATTAAGTTGAGTGTTGTCTTGCTATACAAAAGTTCCCAGTAGATAGGCTCTTCCAAATCCCAGAACACCGAGAGCATAAACTTCTTCTCATGCAAATTTGGTTTGACATCGGCTTCGGGCTTTTCCCCCTCAGCAATCCATTGGCACCTTCTCCAAAACTTGACAGTTAGAATCCATCTTCATTTTCATTTGACCCTTCCCTTTATCTTTGAAGATTTATCCTCAGAACGGAATTTAACAAACCAGTTTGCACATGTCCGTAGTGGAGTTGATCCGTCCACATAAACATTCTCAATATTAGCTGAACGCTAGAGGCCCTTGTGTCTTGTCTTGTGTAGAAATTCGTACAATTAATGTGTCGTAGCGTGTCGCAGTTCTCCAGGTGATAGATTTTCAATAGTTAGAACAAAGTAAGGTAAAATTCCAAAAAGCAAATATGTCAAAAGTGAAAGTTCATTGTTTTCACAAGAATGAATGTTCAATAACCTATTTTCCACAAACCCCTCTCCCTCATGTTTGTTTTTACATCTCTGGGATTTAATTTGAAAAACGTCTCAAGTCTTCTCATCAACCCAATACAATGCAAGTTTGAATTTTTTTTTCATATGGTTTTTGGCAGTTTAAGCTCAAAACAATACGAATGGACAATAAAGTGATTTTAAGAAATTTTCAGTGCCAATGAAGATTTCGACGCCACTTTCAAATCAAATGAAGTTGTTTATAATACGGGGGAAGTGAATTGGGTAATTCAATTAAACAAATAATCAGCTTATAATTTTTTTTATTTCAGGTTCCACCCGGGATTTTCAGGGCTAGTTGCAAGATGGATATCACTTATTTTCCATTCGATGAACAGGTGCTCATATACCTATTTTCATTTCAATAGCACCTACTTTCATCTCAGCATAGCTACTCAAAAGAAAACAGAATACAAACTCAACTCTTTTTAACTTTTCTTTAAGATTATCTAGAAGTCTATATTTTAGGTTTTAATAAAATTCAATACAGTAGAGCTGTTCATTTCGTGTGATTGTCAATACAGGTGTACTACGAAAAAACGAGACCATTTCCACGCTGATTTTTTAGGGACTTTTAGACTAAAAGAAAATTTGAAAAATTTGACCTTCACATAGCAAGAAATCCTGAAAAGGTAGACGTTGAAGTGTTCAAAGCTCGTTTTTCCATAGTACACCTATTGACAATCAGCCCGAAATGGACAGCTCTACAATGAAGGTTCTTTTTTGATAGATTAGTTTGATGGCTTCATCAATACCAGGTTTTTATGTCTGATCAGGATGAGCATGGCTTTTGTAGCCCTAGCAGCCCTTTAAATATCAAAAACACCTGAATAACTAGCTTCTGAGCTTGATATAAACTCACTTACCGTGTTTAGATTTGTTTTTTGAAATTCGGTTCGTGGACTTATAATGGAAATGCTTTGGATCTACAGATCCACATGCCCGATGATGAGCGTGAGGGCGAAATAATTTGAAAAACACTTATTTATTTTGTTTTAAGCTGCTGAAATGGATCTTTCCACGTATATTCCAAGTGGCGAATGGAAACTTTTAAGTGAGGAACTTTTTTAAAATTCTTTTAACAAGACAATTTAAATACACTCCCGTATCTTTTTAGCCCAAGAAAGCTATCAAACTTTTCGTTCTAGATTGTAGAAAAAGATACGGAAGTACCAAAGTTGGCCTTTCAAAATAGAAATCATTTACATGACAGGTGCTCCGGCTATTCGTGAAGTTACATGGAATACTTGTTGTCCTGAGCCTTATCCAACTGTCACATTCTACATGCATATGAGTTGAGTAAAGATATGTGAATACTTCAATGGGCAATGACAAGTGGCCCGCCTCACCCTACTGATAGTCAGCGAACTGAAAGTTCACATTATTATTGATATGTTGTGGTTTTGTTGTATGTAAAAAAAATATATTTTCCTAGAAGCAAAAATATTTTAGAAAATTTTAGACGACGTGCAATGTTTTACCTTTTCAATATTGTCTGTCCATCATTATTAATCTCAGCGATGACATTAATGGGATTTTGTCTTCCAGCACATGACATGAGTGAAAAGATCAGTTACCGTAAGCTTTATAGAGATTCTCTACTTCCTAAATACATAGGTAGGTAGCGTTTTAATCTATATACATTTCTCAATAAAACATGAACGGAAAGTTCTTTTCCAAAAAATTTTCAGAAATGACAATTCTTCTTTCAATTTGCTTTTTTGTAACAATTGTAAGTGAGATGACTCCACCGACTTCTGAAGCTGTTCCAATACTCGGTTTGAGAGCTTTAACTTACCATCAGGCTAACCTAAAGCTTTGAGCTAAGCTCCCAAACTCTTCGCTCCACCTTTTTTCCTATCTCTTTTTATATTTACAGGTCTTTTCTTCTCAGTTCTCACACTTCTTGTATCCGTTTCTACATGTTTCACTGTCAATGTGCTCAATTTTCGTTATCGTCAACCTGGAAACAAACATATGTCAAAGACGGTCAGTCAAGATTTTTTCGAAAAAACTGAATAAAACAAAAATTTAGTTCTATTCTATTTTTCTCGTTTGGCTGCCCTGGTTTCTTTTGATGAGAAGACCAGGTTTGATATGAGTACTGTACCTGATAAGTTTTGAATATTCCTTAGGAGTAAGTTATGAAAGAAAAAAGGAAAGACGACTGAATGAGGAAAATGAAGAAAATGAGACAAATGATGACGCTGTTGATGTAAATGTGAGTTGAACAGAAAGACGAATATCTTCATAATATGACCATTTGTTGTGAATTTCTCTTGAAAAACTCAGGATTGCTTGTTAATAATCATGAGTTTTCGAAATGAATTAAAAAATTACAAACAGTATCCTTGTTGTTGTACACATGATGACTCTCCGGTTTCAATTGCAACTACAACATCTACTTCATGTAATACACACAATTCGGGCACTCAACCACTTTTAAGTCGAATGTACAGGTTAGCGAAATTGAGCAAAGCGAGGCCCAGATCCTTCCGCATCCGACTAATAGCCTAACTTTTGCTAGCCTTACTATTAGACATCTTTGGGCACATACAATTGTCATAGAAAATTTTTAGCATGCCGGCCGAGCATCTAAACCTCTCAAGAAAAGTCGGCGAAGGAATTCTCCCAAAACAATTTTCAGTCTTCAAGAGGTAGGCACTCTAAAGAATTTATTGGAGTTACTTTTTCGCTTTCAGAACTCAAAGTCAACGAATTCGTCGAGTTACCCAGTTTGAGAAATACATTCAAAAATGTAAAGAGGTTGCCGCCGATCAAAGTTTGTTTACGAAGTTAATAAAATGAAAGATCAAAAACAATTTAGCAAATTTCTATTATTGTGAATATGCAGTTGCTGTTATTGACTATTATACACAAATCCACAAAAGAATGAGAGAAATTCGTCGAAGATTGGCAAGGAAAAAGATCATTGCCTATAAAACGGTAAACTGCAATAATAAGGCAACATTGGTTTAAAATATATCTATTCAGAAACGATTACCGTATTCTCTCTAATAGTAGTGCGCACTACTATTTTTTCAACCCCCCTCCTGGACCGCAGTACTATTAGTGCACTACTATTAAAGAGTTTTATCATTTACCAAAGTAAGACAGATAGAAGATTTGTTCCAAAAATTCTTGCAAAAAAAGCAACTTTCTAAAAATTTATTGGCTTCTGATAACAAAAAGTTAACTAAACAAAAAATTCTACAACAGAATCATCATTTGAATCATCATCCTTATCCAGTTCAATATTTTTGCGTTGATCCTTTACTCCGTTGATCGATTGTTCGAGACGAGCATTGGCGAGAAGTGTTGCGCCTTCAGGAATCGGTCCTTCTTTTTTGAAGCATTGAATGAGACCAATTCCTCATCACCTTTCCACATTAACTTGGCTCGGAATTGAATCATCTTTCGTGTCACTCGCATCTTTTTTGCCCGCGTTTCTTGAATCCAAGCAACAAAATCCTTGTCAAAATCGATATCCTTGAGCTTTCGTCCACCGCCTTTGATTCGTTTTTCCGTTTCCGTTATCTCTACTTTGTTTCTCAAGTCCTTCCTTTTGATGGCACCATTTTTGAATATTTTGACGACTGACTCCAAATTTTCACGCTGCAGCCGACTTATCGTTCATTTTTTCAGCAAAATCGATTGCTTTCAGCTTCGTTTGAACATCGAAACATCCCTTTTCGATGGTGCATCCGATTCACACGAAGACTCCTCGGCAACATCGTTGGTCATGTTGTGGCCGGCATTTTGCTCGGTCACTTGATTGTCAATACTCTTGAAGAATTCCACATGTTCCTCGTGTTCACGACGAGCTCGAAAATTTTCGACTTCATCAAGCGAGTTTCCATCGAGATCCATACTTAAAGAAAAAGATTATTTAGACAATATTAAAGGTGACCAACAAAAATTATGTGCCACTAAAACAACGTGTGGAAACAACAAAGAGATGTTTTTGCACTTTTGCACAACAATTTTAATTTTTTAACTTTTTCAGGTTAAGAATGGTTAACAAATGAATAAAAAAGCCTCGCTTTTGCTTGCTTGAATAGCTTTAGAATGTCACATAAACATAAAGATATCCAGTCAAAAAGGTTTAGATGAAAAAGAAACACTATAAATGCAAATTTTCAAGGGTGCACTACTATTTTTTCAACCCCCTCTCGGACCGCAATACTATTAGAGAGTGCACTACTATTAGAGAGAATACGTTATGTCCATATTTCACTCATTTAAGGGTACATAAGTAGAAATGCTGGAAATTGGAAGTTGAATCTGTAGTAAAATGTGCAATTCAGGAAGAATGGAAATTTGCGGCAATGGCTCTCGATCGTTTGTGTATTGTACTTTTTACCATTTTCTTCATCACATGCATTTTCTCGATCTCTCTTGCTACTCCCAACATTGATTTGTAATTTAAAAATTTTTTGATTTATCAAAACCAGCAAACAGTATCACATAGTATTTGGACGTCTCTAGTAAAAAGAAATGAGCAAACTAATTGGGAGATGCACGGATTGAAAACAAAATACGACTTGAAAAAGTAATCATTGAGTCATATAAAAAATTTGTACAGAAATCGTGGCCTGAAGACCAAAATAAGTGGAAATATTATTATTTTTTGTAAAACTTAAAAAGCTATAGAAGAATAGCTTTGTAATCGTTTTACCACTCAATTTTCATCTTTTCGTAGAGTTGCTTATGTGACGAAAAGGATGAACACCAAGTTTCTCGCCCCACCTCTTTCATAGCATTCAATACCTGAAATTAAAACCTCTCATGAGTCTTTGTGAGAAACTTCATGCAATCTATTTAAATTTAATTTGTGACCTACAGTATCAAGCTGTTCTTTTGTGTGGGCGGCGGAAACACAAAAACGAACACGAGCCTCCGTCATGTCGGTAGCTGGAAATGAAACGACAACCACCCCAATCCCACGAGCTAGCATTTGTCGGCCATAAAATCTAACAAATTTTTTATTTGAATTGTCTTCAATTGCTAAGTACAACGTTTACTGGTGATTTAAGTAGCTACTTTTAACTCACCCGCACATAGTTGGATAGTAAATGAGGACAGGTACAACAGGGCTATCATTTGACCCATATACAATGTAGCCAAGCTGCTTGAGACGAAGACGGAAATAACGAGAGTTGCGAGCAAGTCGCTCAATTCGTGCTTCACCTAGACTTTTTCAATGTTGTGATTCTGAATATTCAGTAAAGAACGATAGCAAGGCTGTATACCAACCATCATTTGTGCCATCAAAGCCCATTATAATTGACATTGACTTGTAAATTTGTTCTGCAATTGGTGGTGACATTGGGCTTGAGTAGTATCCGGTTGGTGAAGCAACTCGTAAATGATCGATCACTTTCTGGAAGAGTACAATTGAATGAGTAACCGCATGAAATTGGAGACCTTTGATCCAGCAATATATCCACCAGCCGATCCAAAACTCTTTGTAAATGTGCCCATCAAAATATCAACATCGTTTGGATCACAGCCCCAGTATTCAACCACACCACGTCCCGATCGTCCCATCGCACCTGAAAAATAGGCATTGTCTCATATTTCAATATAGAATAAACGAATTACCGATTGAATGAGCCTCATCCAAATAGAGATAAGCTCCATATTTCTTCTTTAATTCGATTATTCCTGGTAGATTTGAGATTGATCCCTCCATTGAGTAAATTCCCTCAACAATGATCAGAATCTGAAGAAGATATAAAGTGGGGGTACTTATCCCTTATCGGGGAGTGCACTCACCATTAGGTGGGCCCCGGTTGAGTTTGGGTGCTCTCTAAAAACTCTCTAAACATCCCCAATTACTCCCGGAGAGCTTGTAGCACCCAACCCCAAGCCGGCCTAAATGCATCTTCAACTATGCACCATTAAACTGTGACTGCACCCCCGATAAGGAATAAGTACCAAAGTGGGTTAATGTTTTTAAAAAAATCGCCAGCAATGATTTGTACTAATACCTTTTTGTACGGCCGATAAGTTTTAGGATTTCCATAAGCAATAGCATCTCGTAGAATTTTCTCGAGTGATTTCATATCTAAAACTCTGTTTATTTATCCATCAATCATTGATTATTTCTCAATTCCTTTTTTCAAATTATTATAACTAATTTACCATTATGCTTGAAGACCTTCGTACTTGCTCCGGATAGACGACATCCCAAAATAAGCGAAGCATGATTGTATTGATCCGAAATGATCAACGAATGCTAGAAACCACTTTAGGTGCATGCATTCTTCATTTGGTATTCGCTTTTATTTAGAACGTGTGTAAGTGTTACTTCAAGTAACATCTATGCTATGTGTTTTTGAATGTCTGTGCCACTTTCTACCTTATCAACAAGACATGGGGCATTCATTGAGTTTGTAGCGAATCCCATTGAGAAACATATCGCATCATTGACACCCAGGAATTTTGCGACGAGTGCTTCAAGACGGGCCTGCGAGATTGAGCGCCCTACACACTTTGCATTATTTATCCATGATAAGCAAGGAGCTTTGAGCCCAATTCACCATTTTCATGCACAGTACTACAAGTGGCAAGTCCTTCATCGTTGATTTTAGTCGATGCCGCGTCTGCACATGGACCTAAATTCATAAGAAAATGATGATGAATCTAACAAAATGACAAAACCTTTGTTTTGTGCAAAGCCGAGGTAATTGTACGAGCCAACATTAATAACTTCCGTTTGAGTTCCAGGGAACCTGTAAAGGAAGGTGATTGTAAAGATCATTTTGTTGCACTTTGATTTAAACACTCTAAGTAGAACTCTTGTTTTTAAACTTGAGTCAAAAAGCTAAATCAGCTTAACCTGTGCTTTGAAAAGCGGGTGTACTTTGAGTTCAAAAAACAGCCTGAATGTTTTAGTAAAAATGAAAAATTTCTGACTACTTGACTAAAAATCTAAAAGACTTACTTGAAAGTCCAGCCACCATCTTCCGTGTATCGATCCAGTAGGCTGACCTAAACAATCATTTTTTCTATTATTTGAAATTTCTATCATAAGTTGTTCATGTTATTCATGCAAACAAACTTTTGCTCCGGGTGTGCTTCCGATTGGTCTCTCAAAAACATCACGAACCCTCACATAGCAGTTTCTTTGATAAACCGCCTCGAAGTCATTGAATAAAGGTACAAAGTGCTGGAAATATTGACTTTACAGAACATTGTTACTGTTTGTTGTAATTAAATCTATCAGGAAATCTATAGTAGTGCCTTCAGACTTACTTTTTGTTTGCCAAGTTCAATCTTGATGTGACTTGTCTCAAGTCCCCAATTTCGAAGAAATTCCCTGAATAATAGATAATCGTGTTGTGTTGTGTTGTGTTGTGTTGAAATTGTGTTTACCTGACATAAGCAAACATGATAAGAGTGACCCAGGACAAATAAACAGTGAGAGCTCTCCAGCGTGAAATCTAATTAAAAAGTATTTTCTTGGATTATTTTAAATGTTACATGTTCAAATTCATTTGGTGATCGTTCCCTTGTCTTCCAATCATCACCAATTGAAAACGTTTTAACACGAGGAGCTGGTGGAGCCAAGTACTCTTCTTCTTCCTAAAATATTTTTATTTTTAAAGATACCTATTTTTTGGGGTGCACCCATTACCCATTTCATTTTACCATATTATTGTATTGTATAACTATCACACTCCATTCTTCTAGAAAGTTCAGTCTGTGTATACAGTTTTTATTTTTGTTTTTGGCCTTTTTTTGACCACTCTTTTTAAGTGAATATAGCACACTTTAACCAATAAAATCTGCATTTAACCGACCAAATCCCCTCGTGCATGTCCATCTCGATGTTTCGTCTCTTCATCCTCGGAATGTCCACCATCTTCCTGTTGTCTTTTGTGCCAAGCGCATTCCAGAATATCAGTCCTTTCGGTTAACTGTCTAAAGAATTTCATTTTAGAGCAAATTTCACTTATGGCGTTGTCAAATACCTATTCATAAAGTCATCGATGCATATAGGATTTACGCGTCGGGACATTTTCAAATAAGGATGTTACAAGAATACAAATTGACAATTGAGTAAATTGAATACAAACTTGATATGCTAATGAATAAAATAATAGTGTGTTTATCTGGATCTGGGAAAATCTGGGAACATAAATTGTGCGTGAAAGAGAGGAAAGAAAAACACGCCATCACAGACGAATCACCCCCCCCTCATTCCCCATCCCATTCCTTTCTCCGACACCCTTTGACCCAGTCACTTTTTTGCCTTTTTCTGGTCTACATACGATTAAAAAAGATAAAGATAGCATCAAACGTTGCAAGTTTCCGTCTTGTCACGGAGAGCTCGCTTAAAAAAGAAAGAAAAAGAGAATCATTGAGCAAAAGGACGTGTGAAAATCACACCATTAGCAGTTTCGAGATTAAACCACAACTCATTTATCTCAGGGCAAAGTGACAGTTTCAAAAAAGTGGTCGGGGAAATGCGTAGTCATTTAGTCTAAGTACTTGAAAATTCTTTATTGACTAAAAAGAAAAGATCCAAAAGATTAAAGGAACCACCTCTAAAAACATAAATAATTCAAACTGAAGAACCTTTGAATTACACTATCGTCGATATCGTGCATACTGTGGCTGTCTTCCTCGGTCGATGAAATGCTGCTTGAAGGGCAATCCTGATCCGCCAAAACCTAACAATAAGTCATATGTTGCTTTTTTGTAAGTCTGTACATGATCAAGATCAATTGAGCTGACGAGGTTGATCTCTTCACTAGCTCCCACTTCAGCACCTTTCTAAATAGAAAATTAAGAAAATAATGGTTTTCACATCCAAGATCAACTATACGAACAGTACCATTGCATTGTAACCATCGTTCTCAATTACTAATTTATAACTTGTGAACGATCTTAAGCTCTATCTTAATATTTTATTGATATTCTTGATACTGTAAAATGAGACCTTTCCATTAGGTCCTAGCTTGAAAGGCAGTTGTTGAAAGATCCTGAATGGTTTTCTCGGATTTGTTTCATTTGTCGGCATTTTGCCTGAAAATTAAACTAAAGAGATGTGTCAATTAGTAAAAAAATCTAAAGTGTTGAAGTTTCAAAATCAATGAAATGAACAAGTGAGTGTGAATCATGACGAGAGTTCCAAAAAATAGTACTCTTCTCTTGCTGCTTTGTGATGAATCACCACACAAACTAATAGCAAGTATTTCAAGGGACGTACCACAAACTATTAAAATAAAATACTCGGGTTAAGTAAATTTCGCAATTCCCGTTTGAGGCCTTTATTTGCAATGAGACCAAATCGCTCGGCAACCCCGTCTCTCGTTAATCGAAAATCTTGGTTTGCTTTCACGTTATTTTTTTCGTTTTCAAAATTGTTGGAGACACGTTAATAAGAAGTTGAGAATAAAATGTCAAATGAACGCAGAAAAAAAACTTTGTTGTAGCTGGTTTAACAATTGACACAAATTGATAGTCGAGTAAACGGCAAATTCTTTCAAAAATAAAGAAAAAAACAAAAGGGAACTGTTTAGGTGGTTGGATAAGAAAAGTATGCCTAGGTTTCAATGAATGAGGGTGGGCAAGATGGAAGGAGTGGAATTGTATAAAGAAAAAAGAAACGAGGGGAAATGGGCAAGACGGACCCTCATTCAACAATCAACTCTTTCAACATCAATGAGGGATGGTGCAAATATTTGAAGGGCCAAAGTGCCGACTCGCGCGAAAGAGCGAGAAAAAATGGAGAGTTGAGAAAAAGAAAATATATTCAGAACTAAAAGAAATAGGCGAAATTTCCGGGCAGCTGAGTGAGAAAAATGGAGGATGGAGGCCGATCATCCGGAAGACAAATTGAGAAAGAACTCATTCCTATGTAAACGAGGTCAATTTAACTCGAGTCAACGAGGTCAACTCGCAAATTTGTGAAAGTTAAGAATTCTCAAGAATGTATTGTCAAATAACTGCCTATTTCTCTGCTCTTTAGTTCACTATTACAAAGTTTAGAACCCAAAATACAAAATGGATCAAAGTAAGTTGAGCAAAAGTTTGAAACATTTCTGAAAAATCCCCAGCACTTTATCATACTTGTAAGTTCTAATGTGTCTCATCTAATTCTAGTAAGGTGTGTATAACAGATAAAACAATAGTGACCACAGCACCCATTTCGTAGTTTTTGATTAGAATTGCTGTTTCCTCTTATTTCTTTAGCAAACTCCTTCAAAACATCGAGCAAAGCTGGAGAAAAATAAACGGAAATGTGTGGAAAACCTTTCACGAGAAATGTTTGCATTATTCTAAAAGTAAACAGTCAACATGAGTTGGCTCATTCAGCGTGAGTTCAAAAAGCAGAGCTCTATAATACCAGAAAAATTATTGACTTAAAAATGATTTTACAGTTTCAAAATTTAAGACTCTAAAATGAATGACAAACACCAAAAAGGAAAATTTCCATTTGTCGACCGATTTTCCCTTTAGCCTAATTTCGTTGATCAATCAAGATGGTAAACAAATGAAACGTAATGAGATCAACAAAAAAATCTTTCACAATTTACACTCATTGCAAGTTTATACCGATCAATGATTTCTCTCTTTCACAATGAACGAACAAAAACCTTCGAGTTTCTCGATTGTTCTATTTGTGGAAACTATTGTGAAATAACGAAATTCAGTTAAATGCTTCATTTCTTGTGTTAAGCTTTTTGCGGTGAATACATGGATCACTCCTCATAATACATGCCTAATTAATGAACAAAAGATTTCAATCGTCGTGACTTTTTCGATGCAGTTCTCAGAAACTAGCCCAACAAAAATTTTATTCGTCAGCAACAAACTTTCAATCCTTTTCATAAAGCAAAGATTGAAAAAACCCCGAAAAGTGAACGCTTTGAACTTACAAAAAATGGTAAAGTTGATGCAAACATTGTTCTAAGTGAAAAGGGAAATAAATTGTTTTAGACTGTTTCGACTCAAAAATTATAAATTATGTCCTCTTTACAAAAAAGAAAAGCAATTTTCGTGCGCAAAAATTTGATTTGTTTTTACCCAAAAAGTTAAATACACTACACAAGTGAAGAGAAATTCAGTATTTTCTCGTGATTGTAGACCAATTTATTTTCTGTCTGATATTGATTTGACTGTGAAAAGAGCCCAAACGTTATGCAAGCATTTTGACTCATCAAATCATCAGCTCACTTTGGTATAATAAGTTCGAATGTTCCTTCCCTTCACTGTCGCTTCAAATGATAATAAATGCAGAGATTGAAGATGAATCGTCTTTAAGCTATAGATCATCAAATAAATGGAGTAGGTACATAATCTTTTTTCATTCAGATACATATCTCGGAATGAATTCGACGACTTCTTCGTTGCTTTTTGAAACACAAACACTAAACTCGACTTTTTTTTCATTTTCTCTCTTTTCTTACTGTATTGGATGTTTTCTTATCGTGATGTCGATTCTCAACTGCTCGCTTATTTTTCTCCTTTCTTATATTCATTTACAGTGTCATCATAGTTTTCATCCACTTTTCAGGTCGGTTTCAAAGGTTATTTAGCGAAGATTTTTGGCACAAAAACAGTAAAAGCGTTTTAGTTCACTTTTTCTGACAGCATTGCTCACATATATTTTTGATTCGGCAAGCCTTGCAATCTGTGGATGTTTGGATTTGTTCGAATATACAAAAACATTTCCGGATTTGTACAACATTTTTGAGTAAGTTTCCAACTTTCTATGAAATTAAAAGTGGCAATCGAAAAGTCACTTAGACACTTACATTGTTAACGACTTACAGGCAAGTCCTAGGTAAGTTCTGGGCTGTTACAAAAAAAGTTAAAAGACATGGCTAGTCAAGCCAAAGTAAGCCCGAAACCACTTTTTGTTTTGTTTTTTATTTTAAGAGGTCGAGATGAATTAATTTGTTAAGTATCCAGTAATTGAAAATGTGTTTGTATATGTATATCTTAAATTCAAAAAATGAGACTGTTTTAGGTATAGCCTTAAAGTAGAGTAATGTAATGATAGTGCTCACTATCAGCTTAGAACTTGTTTAGTTTGCTGGAGCGAATATCTTATTTTTATGTTTCACCCATTCTGCTTCTTTTACTTTTCGAACGAACATTTGCCACTATATTGGTGGCCACTTATGAATATTCGTATGGATGGAAAGCGACTTTTATATTTACGCAGATCATTACCGTAAGCTATATCAATTTCTAGAGCTCATTTGAAGTATCCTAGGTGTTTTCTGTGGGTCTTCTTTGTTATTTTGAGATGGGTATGTTGTATGGTCAAAAGAATAATAATAGATTTTATTATTATATTAGAAATGAATAGTATTGTGGAAAATCTTTGGAGCTACTTTTTATTTTGCATCTACCTTTCAATGTATTTGGTAGGTTATGAGGCAAATTAAGTGAGAAATGAAACAAGAATATACCAGGCATTGTTTATATTACTTGTTGTGAATCGCAGACAAATTATCGCTTTGCAAACAGAAAAAGTCACTCTTACATTGAGGTTTGTGTGTATTTTACATGAAAATAGCTCTTGCGCAATTTGTATACATATATACGAGTTCTTTACTACAGATATCAATTGGCCGAAAATGTGAAAACCATTAAAATGTTATCAATATTTTTATTGTTTGATACAATGATAACTCTTATTGATTTGGGAGGCTTCATTGCTTACGGAATTGGAGCACATATCGATAATGAAAGAATTGATGATGTTGTTTACATTTTATTTTTTACTGGAACTACCGTAGTAAGAATTTTGAGTAGTGTGTTTTGGCTATTAGTTAGTCAAATTAACAAATTTTTGATTTAGCGGTTTAGGTAAATTGTGTTCTCGAAAATATTTTCCCATTCATTCTTTTATTCACTACTCATGCCTACTATCGGAAATTTCTGCGGATTTTCGATCGAAAATATCGAGAAAAAGAGTCCCCATTTGACCATGCAAAAGTGAAAGGTTTTCATATAAAATGAAATTCCATTCATTTGTTTATTGATATTCAGTGCATCAACTCGCTCCGGTACCCACAAAACAGTCGACGAAATTGCGAAATGTTTTGGGAGCAGAAATTGTAATGCAACAAGATACAAATCGATATTTTGAAAACCTTAAAGAAATGTGGAAATAAAGCTTCAGATTTGCTATAAAACGCTTTTGTTACTTTAGCTAATTTAAATTGTTTACCGTAAAAACTGTAATAGTAGAATAGTAGCCCCCCCCCCGCCTCTATAGGAGCATCGCGTAGTTTAAGGGGGGCTACTATTACAGCTTTTACGGTATTGTTGTCATATAATATCAATGATATTATACTATTAGCAAGGCAGGTAACGCAAAGCTTTAAATAGTGCATAAAAGTTTTTTATCAAAGATTACCTTTTTAGTCTTTTAATTGAATAGCTCAAAATCTGATTTTAAACCGAATTTAAAAACTTCACTATCTCCGCTCACATTTTACACATTCATTAAGCATATTGAAAGTTTCGATTCAAAACAGCGTGAATTATTTTTTTCCCGACTTATTCAAACAAGTTTATGTGTCTAGTTTCGCCATTAGCAGATCTCGGCAAAACTATTTACGCTTGCAAATGGTGCATTTGTTGCAAATTTGTATTTTCTTTTGAGATCATCTGTGTTGCATTTTACCTAGATATGTTTTTCTTCTGCATCTTCTTTATCCATTTTTTTTGTTTATTAAAGTAATATTTTCAGTAAGCAAGATGTCTTCTCGACGTCACGGCTCCGACGGCGAACCTCCTAAATCTGGATGGAAAGGAACGGTACGTTGCTTGTTTAGTGTATTATTTCTTAGTTGAAGTTTTATAAATTATTCTAAAAGATAGTTTATTCAAATAAGAACACCATTATTTTGTTGATTTTAGTTGAGTAAAGCGTTGACAAGCGGCAGTGATTGGTCAGACAAAGATGAAATTCTCGATGTAATCTATTGGGGCAGGCAAGTTTTTTAACTAAAACACAAACTCTATTGTTGAAAACATCGCGTTTTGTAAAAGCTTACTAAATTTCGTTTTAGGCAAGCTGTAGCACTACTAATCGGGATTATTTTTGGCGTTGTGCCGGTGAATGGAATCATTGGCCTTGGTGGATATGTTGCTATTTCAACGGTTGTCATTCACCAGTTTGTCGTCAAATATCAAAAAGTTTGTTTCTATATAATAACAAAAGTTTATGTGCACTAGGTTGTTTCGGATTTTAATGTGCCTGCTTTTTAAACATCATGCTATGAATTCTTTCTGTAGTCAAAGACACTTTTTTGGATTTTCAAGAAAACCAAACCAACCGTTTCTTTTGTTTAGTTAGATGAAGACTACTTGGGTGGTTTCTGGGAACTGGCAAAAGAAGGATTCGGTGCGGCATTTGCGACTTTTATGGTTTCCTGGATCACAGTTTATTCGGCTCTGTATTTTAATAACTAGTTACTCTGCTTTTTATAGCTCTTCCACCAGCTCTTTTTGTCTTATGAGCTTTCTGTGATAATATATGTTTATTCATTGTTGTTTATTTTAATTTTGAATGCTTTGTTTTTGTTTTATCGTTGTTTTCTACATGTTAAATAGGCTTAATTAAATTTAAATTTTAGCTTGTGCGGGTGTGAATGTGCTTGTGGTTTGGACTGCTCTATCAATTTGTGCTGATCACCTTGTGCACAGGTTTTTTTTCATGGAGTAAGGGCACTAACTAATTATTAAGGCGTATCAATTTTCTTTGTGATTCTGTCCCAACCGTGCTCCTTTGATTTGCGAACCGCCGATAAACTTTTTTCAAACCTTCGTGCCCAATTTACTGGAGATAAAACAGTTAAGTGGTGTACATATTAAAAATTTTTAAAGTTAAATGTAGAAATCTGCTGCATTATCTCACAACTTTTCGGAGTTCACTTGGGGACATTGGGCAGTGAGTCCTCTAGCTTCGAGGTATTTTATTAAAAATAAAACAGACCTGTAACACAAACAGTTCAGTTTATCCAAACACTTTGATGAACAACCTTATGATTGGGTTGTGTTTTTGGATCCGAACTCCGTCGTTGATGTTAAACGACTGGAAAGTTTTTTAAAGAAACACGACGCGAAAGTTGACCACTTTTTCGGCTATAAACTACTCGATGAACAGTTTGTATCTTTAAGTTCACAAAAATACGATATTCAGACCCACGATCATTCATCATTTTCGAGGATTCGACTCTATTTCAAAATTACCATATCCAAGCTTTTCGGCTGGATTTGCATTTTCGTGTGCCCTTTTTAAAAAGTAGAAGAAAAAAATTCAGAATTTAGTAGACAAAGAAATACATTTAGATTGGCTAATCTCCCCGAAGAAAAGAAATCCGCTCATGTTTTTGCTATAGATGCTAAACATGAGGTTAGTTCATGATATAAAAATTACCAAGAAGAAAGTCACGAGGCAAAATTTAGCTAGCGGCTTTAATAAAAGACTCGCTTGATTTTGAATTGGAGAATGCCGCCGAAATCTTTTGCTTGTTTCCACAAGCCAACTGCGCTGTAACATATCTATTCCCTCAATACAGGTAAGTTAAACAAAAATCTTTATATTACATTGGAAAATGTGCAGCGTAATCGAAGGATGTGATGGAGAAAATATCGATAGAGATGAGGTATACACTGCAGTAAAAACTTACTCAGAATTTCATCGATCAAGAGGTGAGTTTTATTTCCCCACCCAAGAAAGCTATCTTCAAGATTTTTGACACTTGTGGAACTCATACCCGCAAATATATTGAAGTTGTCTTTGCATTAACCGTGAATAATGGTTAATTTGCATAGGAAACATGTGCTGTTTTACAATTTTTACAAGATTTTTTGTCAGTTGTTGTGGTTAAAAGAACTTGGGCCAATCAATTGAAGTATGTCGATTACTTCAGCGATATTGAGGATCAATTTATCCCCACAAAAACTTTTGGAATTACAAACACCGAACGAGGTAAGGGACTGTCGAAGTGGGCGTAGGCGAAATCCCGAATCACCAAAATGCCAAAAAAGTAGTCAAGCGTTTTTGAAAATTTTTGGTTTTCGCTGTTTTTGAACCCCTAAACCTATCCAAATAATGCTGAAACCACCTTTTTCGTGTTCCTATAGCTTTTTCACATTAGAAAACATAAAAACATGCATCAAAACAAACAAAACCAAAGCATAATCTATATTTTTACTACTTTTTTGGCATTTTGGTCATTCGGGATTTCGCCTACGCCCGTCGAAGTGTATTCCCTTCACAATTGCAGGTCATTGTGCAAAAACGTTGGCGATTTTGAAATATTACGTCAATAACTTGAAGAACTTTCCGAAAAACAAATGGCTAATCATTGCTGATGATGACACTTTACTGAGTGTTTCCCGACTTTTCAGACTCTTACGTTGTTATAGTGCTTCCGAAGCGGTAAGTTGAGAAAAAGCAAAGCCAAAACACGTACAATGGATATGTTCTCTGTACTTAAGTTTTCAGATAATTCTTGGTGAACGGTATGGATTTGGATTTAGTGCTGACGGAACCGATGGCTACGATTATCCGACCGGAGGAGCTGGGTTTGTTTTATAAAAATTGGCTAAAATTTGAGAATTTAGAATGATTTTCTCAAAAACTGCTGCAAAATCTATAGCGGATAGTTGTGTATGTCCAAGAGCTGACTCTCCTGATGACATGATCCTAGGTGTTAATAGATGAATGTAGTTAAAATGGAAATTATTTCAGGGTCATGTGCCCGTTCATTGGGTATTCCAATCATTCACTCTCCGGCTTTTCACCAAGCTCGATCTATTGATTATGCTAAGTGGGTGAAAGTGTTGAAAGTTTCACACCAGATTTTAGAGCGTATATTACGCAAATTCCACCGATTTCTTTCCATAAATTTGAAGATATTGATCCTTATGAAGAATACATGGGACTACTTCACGAAGAAATCCCGACCGATCCTCGACATCACACGGAGCTTTAAACAATATCTTATATAACAAACAAGATATAAGTTTTGTACTCGATAGTGTATGCCTTGATTTTATATTGCATTTTTAGGGTTTTGGACTTTGTTGCCCACATAGCCTTGGTTTAGGTTTATTCACGAAAGACTTCGTCCATAATTTGGACTTTCCACGCCAATTCTATTTACATTAAATTAACGCTTTGGGGCAGGGCTGCTTAAAAATAATGTTGTCATGCTAAATAAAAATTAGATTATCTTTATAACACTGGTCTTTGTCTAATCGGGAAATAGGTACCTAGGTAGCATCCGAACATTCCCTGTAAAATCTGGTTCGCGGGAAACGGCACAACCCCGCCGATATTTGCTTTTGTCGATTGTCCATAATAATTCTGAGAGACAAACACCAAATTTTTCTACGACATATTTTTTTATCGATCCCATTTTCTTGCCAATAAAAAGTTCAAATATAACCACTATTTATCTCTAAAAGTTACTGAGTTGCTTCTCATATACCTATTCTTACGTCTCTACCTTATACAGTGGTCAAAAAAGTATTGGCATCTTCTAGAAAATTTCACATATTGTTTAAAAAATTTCCTGCTATCCATGGATTTTCAATCCGGTTTAAATTTTTAGATACTACAAGAACTAAACTTGTTATACGTAGAAAAATGCATAAGTACAAAATATGTGCAAAAATTGGCCAAAATAAGTATTGACACCTAAATAAAAATTTAACGTATTTAATATCTAGTTAAGCCTCCTTGTGCTTTAATGACTTCTTGCATTCTTTTGAGCATGCTCGCGACCAAATTGTGAAGTTTTTGCGTTGAAATCTTACTCCAAATTTCTTGCACCTTGTCACAAAGCTCCCTCTTCGAATCGATATCCGCGTAATTGCCGTTTCACATGCGCCCACATACGTTCGAGAGGGTTGCAATTGGGGAATAAGGCAGATTTTGAAGAAGATACACATTATTGAGACGAAACCAACCCGGAAGACGATAAAAACGGCATTGTTGTAGCCTCACCGTCCATCCCATCATCAATCCACTTGTATGTTTAGGGTCGCCATCTTGTTGGAACAGTCAGGACGGACCCATAATTCCTTGTACGCGTGGAAGCATCGAATTTTGGAGTATAATATTTGGCCGCATCCATGATCCCGTCGATAAGTACAAGAAGGCCGATTGACTGAGTAGAAAGGCAACCCCAGCACACGATTCCATCACAATTAAATTTCACAGCTGGAATGGTAGATTTCAACTTATAACGTGCCCCAATTGACTACAAAACCAAGTAAGAAGAAATTACAGTCAAAAACAGAAAAGGTGCCAGTACTTTTTTGGCCTGTTTTTGCAAGGATTTAGCATTTAAGTTTTTCTTTCTTAGCTTTAATGCCTTTAAACTGCAATTATATTAGCTATCAGCAAGTTCTGATATAATAGTATCTAAAAACAAAAGACTAATTAGAAACCAATTAGACTAATTAGAAAATTGGAGGAGATATGTAAAATTCGCGCAAGGTGTCAATACTTTTTGATCACTGTATCACAAAGAAACCACAGTCATTAGATGAAATCCCAAAAAGATGATGTCGATCCGGTGGACGCCTTGGAAACTGTTTCCAGGCTATGTAAGATTTTTTTGAACTTAAGGTTTAGGCCAACTTGTTATTAAGATTAAGTAACAAAAATAATATTAATTTTTAGTGTCATCAAGCGGAAAAGTTCCGAAAGTTTCATCGTCTCGAGTCGTCAAAAAGATCGCAATTAAAGTAGGAAATTACAAAATGTTTGTCGAGATTAATTGCTCGATGATTGATTGCGATCTGTCATTTTTATTGCTAACAATAGGCATTTTCAGCAGATTACACTCAAATTCATACCCCAATTTTGTCTGATTGCTTTAAAGATGCATTTTGGAAAATAATTATATTTTTAGGCAATTGCATCGAAAGAAAATATCTCCAAAGCTGATCTAAAAAAGCCAAGGTAAAAATTTAAACATACTATCTACATTAACTACAATAATATCATAGTAAGCTGAGCTTCTCTTAGCTGCTTTGTAGGAAAATTCTCGTGCACCTTATTTATTTACTTTTTAGTTCCTCACAGCAGATGGACCGTCAAGCTTTCTACCGCGATCAAAATGGTTATGTAAGTTTTGTGAAAAAGTAGCCTGCTAATTAAGCTTTAGACAGCTTGCGCGATCGAATCATGTCGAAATTCAAGCGTGTCAGAGATTCAACCGCTGAGTTTTGTGGTGAAACGAGCCATTGCCTCAATTATTCAGGTTAACGTCTTACTATTAGAACCTGCGACAATATTGCTTTATTTTAGATTTTTCCATCGATTGTCACACAAAATGATTACATTGAGGAATTGTTGGCTTTCATAGAGAAACATTCGAAGATAGTTGATAGTATGTATTTATTTTTTATCAAGTTTAAAACATTTAGTTGCTTCAAAATTCCCGATGCACGAATTCCCAATCCGCATTTGCCAGAAACATTTAAAAAACGAATTGGGGTGAAGGCTTCTTTTCGTTAAACCTTTATGCAAAGTTTAGTGGTGATAATACAATTCCTGCTTTGATTGAAGGCGATCCTCGTCTCACTCCACGGTTTGCTGATTGTATTGTAAGTGTTGAAACCATGTATATTGATTTGACATTAGCGACCTTTGGTTGAACAAAAACATTAACGCAACGTCGAGTTCTGATAGCCAAAATAACATTAACTACAATAATATGCCTTTTTGTAGAAAGGAGTTGCGCAACAGCTTGAACGACGGATAAATTTATTCAAAGAATATCCGGATCTTCTTGCCTCTTTTAGTAAGAATTTTTCCTTTCTTTAAGTAAGAATTATCTGACCTAGTGTTATTCTATTTTAGTTCCACAATCTGGTCAACCACAAACACCAATTCGATGCGGGATTACATGTTATTTTACATTCATTGCTTAAATTTCTTGTTTTAGATTGTCCCAGCTCTTCATTAACTGTTAACCCAAATGCTTTGAGATTTTTTCGGCTCTTCCGTGTACCGCAAAATAAGTTGGTTCTTTTAGTTCTTCCCAACAAGTTTTTGGTGTTTCAAAAGAATTATAGCAAATTGAAAAGTTTAGTGAGGAAAAATTACGAAATTGGATTCAAATGTTACATGATAAAGGAGTGACGATTAGCATTGATACTCTTCGTCTCCGAACGCATATTTGTGAGATGCATTTTTATGTAAGTTTTCAATTGTCGAAAATTCAGTTTTGCATTTTAGCGTGGAGACCCAAAACAGGCTTGGGAGTGCTATCGTGAAGGAGCCATTTCAAAGAAAGTGACAACCACTATGGGTAATTTTTAGGTTGTTAATAGGCAGAACATTTATTCATATAAAGTGCCATTATCAGTTGTTTCGCTTTAGAAATAGCATAAGAATAAAAAATATGTTTACTCTTTCATTTTAATTATGGACTTAAATAGCAGATTTAATTCGATGCGTAATTAAATCGTGCCCAATTCGAGGTAATTCGAAGAAAGCCGACGGAACTCGCTATTTATTCACGCGCATTCCAGGTTTTTCTTATTTTGTTCATAAGATTTCTGGGTATACTTTTTAGAAGAAGGAACGCCCGAGTATCGTCGATGGGCGCCGATTTTGAATACAAAAACGGCGGAACATGTCCTTCCAATAAGTTTGTGGCTTTTTTAGATAACTATTATATGATATGATTTATTTCTAGAATTACCTATGTCAAGAATCTGTGAGCGACATTTTAAACTAGCAACAAACGGAAAACTGGAGTGAGTATTAGAGGCTTTTGCATATTGGGGTCGATTTTGTACTCTCTTTTTAAAATGTTGTAGTTTTTCGATGCCGGTTCGTTTTCCCCGTGGTGCAATGTACGAGTTCAAAAATCAACACGCGCGGAAAGCACATGAGCAGTCTCTAATAACAGAGAATAGGATAGCAAAAAGGTAAACTGTTTTGAATTCTGTAAATTGTAGCATACGCAAAAAGGATTCGATGAAACCGAAGAATAGTATCATCACTACTATCTACCTATTTTAGTTCCAGCGTGAAGAAATGTTGCCTGGAACTTTTTCAAATGGAGCAAATGTTGAAGAAACTTAAACAAAAAAAGGCATTGCTGCAAATGCAAACAATTCACTGTTTACGAGCAAAGGGTCTTGAAGTGCGGTTTATAGTTGTTTACGAGTTTAAATTTTCTTAATTTACGATTCTTAGCATATAAACACTTTTTAAAATTTAGATTCCTGAATTTCTGGGAAAAGAGAAAGTATTGGAGGATCCATTATCACACCAACGCAAGGCAATGCCTTTGAAATTAGGCGTTTCGGGCAAATCATTGGCTTTGTCTAACAATGGTTTAAATTGTAAGTTCTGTTTATAGCAACGCTGTTTTATTTTATTTATGGCCTTTTAGTGAGAGCACCGTCTGCAAATGAATTGCCCAATCTTCTCAAAGAATTGGCGGCAATCCGAAAAGTAAACCGTGAATAGTTCTTTTTCTTATTTTGGTTTAGCAAATTCACTCCCCTGGTACGAGCCAAGCCAAAGCAGAATGGGAAGAAGTGAATGATTGAACAGATAATTTCTTTCATTTCTTTCTTTCATACAATATCATGTTTTGTGTATCGTTGCAATTGTTATTGCTGTTGTTATTGTTGTCTGAATAAATCTTTAACTCAATTGACTTATTGCTACCATGTAATGGTGATAATGTCATTTGGGTATCTCAAGTGATTTGTATGGATGAGAAGTTTTTTTAATGAGTCTTATTGAAACATTCTCGACAGTTAAAGTTTTCAAATTAACAGTTTGAAATATTAAGAAAAGTTTGCAAGTATTGTTTTAGGAGCATCGACGGAAGGCGAAAAAGAGGTTGGCAATCATTGGACGCTCGAGCAACAAGGCGAAAAAGCAGTTATGAAACAAGCCAATGCCGTCATTGTTGTTCTTGGAGATATTGGGAGAAGCCCTCGGATGGCAAATCACGCATATTCACTTGCCACGCAACAAAACTATATGTGAGTTTACGAAAGCTTTTAAAACATTGCTCAATTTGCTGCTAGCAAACCTGAAAGAAAGGATTTGAAAATTTTGATTCGTGGTTTAGTCTTTAAACTTTAGTTTGCAAAAAAACTGCATTCTTTAGCGTTTACATCGTGGGATACACCGATACAAAATTACATCCTATGCTGCTTGAGGATTCACGGATAAAGTAAATTACCATTTATCCGAACTTTAAAAAGGTAATCAATTTAGATGTGTCTCTCTAGCCGCTCCTTGTGATTTGCCTTGTTTTATTCCTGACAAGATATCTCTCGTTTTCAAAGTGATATGGACATTTTTAGCCCTCTTCTTTTCATTGATATTCAGGTATTATTAATGAAAGATTTGACGATTTTGAAATTTTTCAGGGTTCCTTGGGCGATACACTTAATATTGATGCAAAATCCCCCAGGCCTACCAGCAATGCTTGTTTGTTGGATGGTAGGTATTTATGGAGATTGGAATAATTAGGCACTTGCTAGGTAGTTAAAATTTAGTGTTTATTATAATACCAGACTTGGTGATTGCCAAATACTAGGTTGTGTGCTAAAAAATGTAAATTTGCTTATTATTTTTAAATTTTATGTTTCTGGAATCAAGGGATCACGCTGGGTGATTGATTGGCACAATTACACTTATAGAATGCTTCAATACAAATGGAAACTCAGTGTAAATTTGCCAAAGTTAGATGATCTTTTGCCAAAATACAATAATTTTTGTATAGATTAGCACACGATTCGGATGAAATAAAATCAGAAAAGGCCGGAGAAACAACCAAACGACGTATATCAAAAGAGGAACGCGAAGTTGCGAAAAGAAAAACTTCGAAATTCGAAAGAAAAACTCGGAAAAGTTATCTACAGATGTAAGCAAATTTGACAGAAAACGTAAACGTACCTACCTTTATTTCTTAAGGGTTATTGAAAAAGTCCATTGGTATGAAGGCTGTTTGGGACGTCGTGCAGATGCGTCAATTTGTGTGTCGAGGGCAATGCGCGAAGATTTACGAGAATCGTGGGCAATTCCATCAGCTATCTTTTATGATCGACCTCCGGATTTCAAATTCAAGTGAACCCAAAATTGTTGATACATACATACAATGTATTCAGAACTGTTACGTTAGAAGAAGTACACGATCTTTTCATGGAGCTTTCAAGTGATGATTCACTTAAAGCATTTCGGGGTAAACAAGGCAATGACGAGTGGAAAGAAAGTGAGATAGTTTTGATATTCCACTAAAATCTGCGTGTTTACTTTAGGTTCGGCGTTCACGTATTGCACACTGGATGGACAAGTAAAACAACGACTAGATCGACCACTTTTTTTGATTTCGTCAACAAGTTGGACGCCTGATGAGGATTTCGAGATATTACTTGATGCGCTAATTAAATATGATCGATATTCGATCAAGTAGGCCCTTATTGTTTCAGCTAATATAATATATATATATATATATAGTTCTTCCGACACGGTTCGAATAGTTTGCGCTGTCACAGGAAAGGGTGATCAAAAAGAGGAGTATGTCGAGCGAATCAAACGTATTTTGTTCATTTTAGCTAATAACACTTACTTAGATACCAATCAGATATTCGGGCAAACAGGGTTTTTTAGGCCTACAGCTCTCTAATGTGCAAATTGTTACACCGTGGCTCAAAGCCAAAGACTATCCAACTCTTCTAGCAGCTTCTGATCTTGGGATATCACTTCATGCTAGTACATCAGGTAAAAAATGCACTAATCTATATTTACCCAATTCTTTTAGGGTTGGATCTTCCTATGAAAGTAGTAGATATGTTCGGAGCTCGAATTCCGGTTCTTGCTAAGCGTTATTTGTGCATTGGAGAACTAGGTATAAGTAATTCATCGTATACATAAAACAGATTGTATAGTCAAAGAGGGAGTCAATGGCAAAACCTTCGAGAATGCAAATGAATTAAACCAGCTGATTCAAGGGCTTGCCGTCGGATTTCCAAACAATTGCAATGTTAGCTACTTTTGATCTCCAGAACTCTTCTTTTAGGCTTTGAATAAACTGAAAGCAAATGTGCTGAGTGAGCCTTTGCCTTCATGGGAAGATACATGGAAAGCTGTTTGTGGGGCAATAATGGAACCTGAACGAGATGCGCATTTGGAGCGAGTACTGGCGAGGGAATAATGCATAAATTTAAGTCAGCTTTTAACCTTTACATGTGATATACTGTTGGTGTTTTAAATCAATCTTCTATCTTGTGATTGATTAGCTAGTGATCTTTTGATGTTCTTAAGACATATTTTTACACATACATATATGTAGGTATTACCGCTGGCTATTTATTATCACTTGATGTATGTTTTTTCAAATTTGTTAGTCTAAATAAAAATGTTTCGTAGTCTACTTCCTTTTTGCGTCACGTTTATCGAAAGGCAAACACTTGTACCTAGTTTTGAGCTTTATTGAATGACCGTCCTTTTTATAGGCTGGAACTGCTACCGTAGTCTTCATTTCCAATAGTGATTTCTAGAGCCAATTTTAGTTTAACAATTTCAAATCGGGCAGGCTGTTCGCGTATGCTTATTTTTTGAGCTTTAATTGCATAGAACGAAAGTTTTAGTAAAACGCAGTGGTTAAAAGCAAAAAGCTGTATATTGATCTTGCTTCGGCGGTATAGTAGGTAATGTACATTCGTCTCAATTGAGCCAGAGCCCACTAATTTTTGTTCCTAGGGTTTTTGATGGCGGATATTGTTAATTTAACATCTATTTAAGCTTTAGCAGCTGTTTTCTAGCTATTTCCGGTAGTTACTGCGGGCCTCTTAATTGAGTCCGGCACCTTTGAACCTAATGGAAAAATAAGCCCTTCTTGTAGGCTTGCAAATGCTTCACAAATTAGCATAGTTCAGAATGGTTTGAGAATGCTTTTAATGTATTTAGCTTGGTTATTTATTACTTCTGAGAAAGTTTTTAAAACTAGTCAAAGGTTCAAAAAAAAAAATCGATTTTTATAAACTGCCCTCCGAACAACTATAACCCCTTGCTTGTTTCTCCGCTTTCTTTTTACGCTGGCTCTCGTTATTTCTTGCTTTAGAAGCCGACACTTCAAATCGCAAAAACAACTCTTGGCAAGATGATGGCCCCACCGATTATTCTCCTGAAGGATGGGACCGAAAACAAGCAAGGTAAACACGTTTCTGCATAGGTATATTGATCACTCTAAATAAAAAGTCAAAGATTTGTCTGCATCTGGTTATAAAGGGCGAAACTAGAAAAATTATTCACGTTCACTTCGAATTACTTTGGGATAATTGGTAAATTAAAAGGTTGCATTAGTTGAGAATGATCCGTCATTGGCTACGATTTGATATGTTTGGGGGAGGCGCAAAGCGAGCGTTATAAACGTGCAACTTAGATTCGCAAACCTAAAGTGTTGTAAAACAATAATCTTTACCAGTACATAAATAGAAAGCAGCTATTAAAAACCGCATATTTTAGTAGTGTGCTTAGTTTTCATTGTTTTCAGGAAAAAATCAGATCATCTCAAACATCAACGCTTGTTGTGTAGTGGCCGATGCAATTCGAACAACCCTCGGGCCTCGAGGATTGGATAAATTGATTGTTAATAGCAAAGGTAGGGTGGCCTTAAGTTAACTTTAATCTTCTCTGTCTAGGAGAAACTACAATCTCAAATGATGGGGCTACAATTTTGAAACTTCTCGATATTGTCTATCCGGCTGCCTCCGTAATGGTCGACATCGCCAAATCGCAAGACTGTGAAGTTGGTGACGGAACCACTTCAGGTGTTTGAGTTGATTGGATAAAATAATAGAAGTGTTTAGTTGTTGTGTTGGCTGCTGAAATGATGAAGCGAGCAAAACCGTTTGTTGAAGATGGTGTTCACCCTCAATTACTTATTCGCGCTTTCAGCAAGGCATGCGAAGCGGTAATGCAAATATATGTTTACGTAATGTTTGAACATTGTATAGGCGATCTCAAAGCTTAATGAGCTGGCAGTAAAAATTGACGGCCCTGAAGCATTGCGAGAAATGTTGGTGAAATGCGCGGCAACGACACTCTCGAGCAAATTGGTATCAACGTTTTCTTCAATATATGACAATGTGTATTTTAGGTTTCACAAGAACGTGACTTCTTTTCTGAAATGGTGGTGGACGCGGTCAACATTTTGGCCGAAGATCTGCCGTTAAAAATGATCGGAATTAAGAAAGTTAGCGGCGGAAGCATGATGGTTAGCTATTTTTTTGCGGTTCATATGCTTGAATATATTTAGGAGTCGTGTTTGGTTCGTGGAGTCGCTTTTCAAAAGGCTTTCAGTTATGCTGGTTTTGAAATGCAACCCAAACACTATAAGGTAAGAATTTAAATGTTAAACCCCTAATGGATACAACTTTTTATGAACTACCGTAAAAACAATTTTCATCAATGAAATTTTTTGGAATTCAACCAATCTCAAAATATCTAACTTTTTCATTGCAAATTTATTATGATGCAACAACTAACTAAACACTTACCCAAAAACAAAAATAATGAAACAACAATAGAAATTTACAATTTATTCCTTTGCTTGTTCGAATAACTCATCCATGATTTTGGCATAACTGTCAATAAATTCGTTACTCTCTTCATTTGGGTCGATTTTTTTGAGCAACTCGGCCCAAATCTGATCAGTTCGTGCGCTTGAAAGCTTCAACAATCCAGTTGGAATTGGGCCTTCCTTTCCAAAACAGTGAATCTGATCCTTAGACCCATGCACAAGATTCGTGATTCCACACGTGATCCCAACTTTTTGAGTGAGCCATCAGATCCAATTTTGAGCGTCTGCTTTCGAATAAATCGCCGAGAAACTTCTATTTTCTTTTTTTGCTGTTCATGGATCCATTTCAAGTCAAATCCTGACCGGGTGCTTTAAACGTTTTGCGTGACCCGATTTGAGCTGGGTAATCTCCTTTTCTTGCTTCATCCATCATTGAAACACAAAATTTCTTTGCAGCACCATGTATCGAGACTTCTTTCGCAAACTTCACTGCTTCTAATTTGAAATCCCTGGAGCGGCCTTTTCGCTTACGAGACGACGGTTTTCATCTTCTTCATCCAAATCCAAATCGCCAAATCGTCTTGAATCACAATAACTTCTCGATTCCCTCGCGATTTTGATTGAAGAAGTCCCCCATGTGCTCGTGTCCCTCTTCGAAAAACCTTTCAGCTTGTTTTCTCGACGATCGCAAAACTCTTCAAAACTGGTCAACTTCTCAACATCACCCGAAAATAAAAACATTATTGCCAGCTAACACTTTGTGTGCAAATTGGAGGGGGCCGTTCTATTAGAGTTTTTGTTTTGTTTTTAATTGTAATTGTTTTTAAAATCTGCAGCATTTATTAGAAAGGTATTCGCGTAACAAGTATTTAACATGGCTGTTACTAATGAAAGAACACAACACTTTTAGGATCCGCTCGTTGCATTGCTAAACATTGAGCTCGAATTGAAAGCTGAAAAGGATAACGCTGAAATGAGAATCAAGGATGTGAAGGATTATCAAGCCGTATGATTTTAAAATTTAGCATCGAAATTTATGGTTGCAAGCAGGTTGTCGACGCCGAATGGAATATTTTGTACGAGAAGCTTCAAAAAATTCATGACAGTGGTGCCAAGATTGTACTCAGCAAGCTGCCAATCGGCGATGTTGCTACACAATGGTTTGCTGATAGGTGAATTTGGAAGTGTTTAGAGCAATATAAGAGCTATTTCAGGGATATGTTCTGCGCTGGTCGTATTCCACAAGACGATCTTGAGCGATTGATGGCTGCTTGCGGCGGAACTGTCCTTACAACTGTAGTTTTGAATTTTTAAGAATCAACCTTTTATCTCAGGTGTCACAAATTGATGCATCTGTGCTCGGAAAATGTGAAACATTTTATGAAAAACAAGTTGGATCAGAGAGGTAATTACTTAATCACTTATTAATATCAACCCATTTAAGGTACAACTTCTTTGAAGGATGTTCAAAAGCCCAAGCCTGCACACTACTTTTGCGCGGAGGAGCCGATCAATTTATTGCCGAGACTGAACGCTCATTGCATGACGCCATTATGATTGTTAGGCGTGCCAAAAAGAATGATTCCATTGTAGCTGGTCAGTTTTGTAACTTTTAAATTAAAATTATTAAATCTTCAGGGGGTGGCGCTATCGAAATGGAGCTTTCGACTTATCTTCGAAACAAGGCCAAAGAAATCACCGGCAAAGAGCAGTTTTTCTGGATGGCTTATGCCCGATCTTTTGAGGTTGGCCACTTTTATCAGGGTTTTTATGAAGCAAAGTTATCAGAGATTTTATGACCCAATTCATTTCTGTAACTTAGATCATTCCGCAACAGCTATGCTACAATGCTGGATTGGATGCAATTGATATGCTCAATAAGTTGAGACATCGCCATGCTAAAGGCAAGATCGTGGTTTGAAAATCTAGTTTTGAAGTTTTTAGATGGCAAGTGGGCTGGTATCAACATTCATGAGGAAAAAGTTATGGATAATTATGAAGCTTGTGTCTGGGAGCCAAGTCTTGTCAAGAAGGTATAATTGTTTATTAAGTAATCCAATTGAACTTCCTGGCTTCAGAATGCAATTATTGCGGCTACTGAAGCCGTATGCCTGGTGCTTTCAATTGATCAGACAGTAAAGAATCCACGAGCTCCATCGGGAGGAACTATGCCAGGATTGCCACAACAGATGTAAATGGGTTACTTGATGATATCTCAGTGAATCTCATTATTTCTTCTTTAAGCTTTATTATTATCAAAAAACATAAAATTTATCTCAAGTTTATCGGAAATTTGCTTTATTGTGCGCATTAAAGTAACTTTGTTGTGTTTTTGTTCTTGTTGCTTAAATTTGTTGAATTTGGATAAAAGCGAGTTTTTCTAAATAAACGTTTTTTTAAAACTGACTTATTTTATTCTCGTTTTGAAATACAAAGTTTCTATTTGATTATGGACTTTTTCATTGTTTATTGTTTTATTTCAGATGCAAAATCCAGACCAAGGGCGGCCTTCGGGGGCTCAATTTGTGGTGCCAACTCACCCGAAGACAAGAGTAGTAGTTTGTTTTAAAAGCGATACACTCGTTTCTTTTATTACGTTTCTTAAAAGCAAACTAGCCAGTTTTGTTAGTTTTGGTTTGTTAATTTGTACGTGTTTTAGCCTTCAAATCATCCAGCATTCCTGACAGAGCCATCGGTGCAACAAATTAGAGCAAATGCCCCAAGGCCGCTCAATGCAGCTCAGCAAGCAATCATTAATCAGAGTATACAGGTGTTTTTTAATTATAGTTGGTGTTTTATTGAATACTTCCTGCTAGACTTGCTTATTAATCGAACATAAGAAGCGATCAGTAACAGTGGTCAATAGTGTGACAATGAAAAATTACACTTTTTCTTTAATCAATAGCGATGAATAACGGTCACAAAAAATAGCGAGCATCAGGCCCGTGCCGAGGGTGGAGCAGCGGGGGCAACTGCCCCTCCCTTGGCATTTGATTGCAAAATAAAGTGGATTGGCTTCCTAGTTTGATTAGGGTTAAAAGATTTGGTTTGCCCTTTAATAAATTGTTTAATGTTTCTGGACACGGGTTTGGCGAACATTATCAATAAAAGATCGATAAGCAAGTCTACTTTTGGGTGTGGGGGGCATAGCAAAAATGATCGGGTGCACGTACACCCTTTTTAGTACTTTTTTGACTCAAAACTCCTTTCTAGCCATTCCCTGGACAAGAAGTACGAGAGTTTATGAATGCACTTGATGATTTTACACCTGTGATTCCCGATGCTGTTACTCTCTACTACATGAATAAGGCTGGAATTGCTGAGGTTGAACCCCGTATTGTAAGGTGAGGGATATTATATGACTTAACGCTTACCACGCTGGTTTATATTTAGGCTAATTTCATTGGCAACACAAAAGTACATTTCGGATATCGTACTCGATGCGATGCAAGAGACGAGAATGAAAGGGCTTGGCCACTCAGTATCAAAAAAGGTATCCCTTTTTAGTTTCAATTTTGATTTCTTTTGCCTGGGGATGCATTTATAGAAAGATTTTAGACCCCGAAAGATGTAAAGTACACGCTCACCAACGAAGTGCTCGACGCGGTTCTCAAGGAGTATGGAATCAATATTACTCGTGCTCCATATTTCCATTAAAATCTTTTTGCTGTTTTAGAAACGCAAAAAGATAGAAATTTTGTTTTTAATCTAAGGTTCTCTACCTCGTTTACTTTTTCTCATTGTGAATTTTATTCGATTTACTTTTTGGAAATGTTGCGCAAAAACTTTATACGGGTAAATTTTATTGTATAAATTTGTTGCCAACTCTTTTGACGACCTTTCATACGAGTTCAAACGACGGACAATTGTTCTTAAAATGTTGATGGATTCCATAAAGCCCAGTGATTTCTTTAGAATGCGGATGTCTCGGCTTCATTTTATGAAAAATTTGGTGGCTCGGTTTTGCCCAGTTGGCAATTTACATGTGATAGATCCGCAAGTATTTTTTGTTAAGCGTTATTGCCAATAAGAAACTGATGGTTCCCGGGTTACATAGTCAGTACTTTTTTAAAAAGCGAGTAATGCATTTCATTTTTTATTTAATATAAACATTCTTTAGGTTGATTTGAAACACATCTTTGCAAATCCGGCATTATTGCAGCGAGATCTTGCAGCAAGAGAATTAAAGTTTGGGATGCAAGCTTATTGTGATCAAAAAATCTTTAGCATCGACGCTAGCAAAGTTCAAACTGCGTATGAAGAGTGGTGGAAGTTATATGAACAATTTAATAGATTGGAACAAAAGGTATATTTTTCTAATAAGAAAAATATTTCTCATTGCGGCAGGATGCGAAAACGGCGGCGTATGAAGCAAAAAAGGAAATGAAATTATCTTACGAAGGCTTATTGGATGCATTAGCCCTGCCGAACAAACTCTCTAATGGTAAAATGATTGAATTTTATGTTTCCAATCCAATGTTCATTTAGAAACTTTGAAACAAAGGTCTATTAAAAAAGATCCACTTGGTTATCACTCGAATCATTTTCGTTATCTGGCCAAGTTTTCATCTTTGTTGATCGAGTTTGCTTACAATTAGGATTTAGGCAGGGATTACTTTCAACAAATCGAACCACTGAAACGGTAAATTTGATTGGTTATCTTCCACTTATGCTTAAAGCTATCAGGTATTTTTTGCAAATAATTATTTAGTTTCTTTGCATTTAGAAAAGCAGTCATTGACCTATTTTCCGAAATGATCCCCATATCCCCCCCTCACTTGGTGAGAGCGGCGTTGCTTGAGGGATGCAATGTGGACCTTGCAGCCTATAGGTTAGTTTATTTAACTTTTATGCCGATATTTTAATTTTTAAGCCAATTTAATGAAGGAAAGAACACATCAGACTCAAAAGATAGTTCATTTCTTGTCGGTCATTCGTTAACAACAACTCTTGCACCTTTCATTCGGACAGTTTTTTCGAAGCATACTAATTGTTGGCCAATATGTTTACACTCAAGTGGCATGGCTTACTTTGCAAAGTCTAGTAAGTGACTGACTGTTTTTTGAAGTTTACACTAATTTCCAGATCGCCTTGATCTCATATCGTGTCGTCAACGGGAACAATATGTTCAACTTGTAATGGGGACAAGTAAAGAAGAGGTGCAAACGAGGCTTATGGAAACGGTTAAGACTATCGAAAGATTTTTACGGTAAAACTTTAGTTTTTGGATCAATTAATGCACGTATGAATTCTCATCGGGTTTATTTAGACACGATTTGCAACTTCAAATCTATCGCCGGAATTTGAGTGCACCCGAGTTAATGCTTAGCGAATCATCGGGAGTTGTTGTTGAGGATGGTAGTTTATTACAATATAAATCTGTTAATAAATATTAGTATTATATAAAATAATGTGTTTTAATATTAGATGATGTACAATTGATACGAAGTTCATTTTATGGCGAATATGTTTCACGGAGACTAAACTTGCAATTCACAGATGGATTTCTGCAGTTAGGGTAATTTTTGCTTCTTGAGAAATTTGGTAAAAATAATATTTTATAATATTAAAAAAATAGGGTCCTATTGCTTTGTCAGCCGACTTGCAACAAACGTCTTTAAAAATTTAGGTTTGTGACAGTAGATTTGTATCGAGTTCTTGCAAAAATCATTGACGCAACAATTGTTGGCAACGATTTACCGCCGATTCTTAGATCAACAATAAAAAAATCTCGGGAATCTACAAAAAATTTTTGACCTGTGTTTAATTTCTTGCTTTGTTGTACTATTGTGTCAATGTTTAAATAAATTAACTCAATTAGGTGGCGATAGAAGAAGAAAAATTCATTCTGCTTCAATATGTAGAAGGAGATCTCTGTAAGAGTCGGTTTCGAAAACGTATTTTCTTTTGCTGTCGGATCACCTCAATAGCAATTTCGGTTCGGTTTAAAAGTGTTATCGTATACTGTAACCAACAACAATATGTAAATTTTGAAAACCGCAAAGAAACTGAACATGTCTGTGAGGGTTCATCGTAGAATTTCCACCTTTACGTCTTGCACACACGCAAACTATTTTTATTGGTTGTTTAAAGTGAATTTCGGCATAAATTAGCTTAAAATTAGTTTATTCTACCGATAACTGCCTGCTTTCTAGCAAAGTGTATTTCCTTTTATGTTATAAAAGCGTTTCTGTAATGGAACTTCAGAAAAACAACTCCAGCTCAGCCACCCATTTTAAAAAATCTAATCTTCGCCACTTGAGGGTCAGGCACAATGCCAAGATTAAATAATCTACCTAGTTTAGTTGTTAGACCAAGAAAGGTCGCTGTATTACGGCAACTTAGTAACTTCTTCTCCAGAAGATCTAGAGGGCTCCTTGTACTGATGGACTTATCAAGGATGAATGGGTAATATACCTAAGTTTTGCCCGCCATGTTTTAGTCTCGATTTTTAGAGATGAGAGTTTTTCCATCAGAACATTATGTCTCTACGTTCATCTTTTCTTTTTTCATTTCCATCCTCTCACTTTTTCCTTTAGCCTCTTCGAAAATTCAACGAGATGTTGGTGGGGGTTGTTTGTTTTTGTGCTAATAGCCATTCACCGACCGACCTTTTGGTCTCCACAATCACACTCAAATACACATATATAGGACAGCGGATGGATGGATCATGGGATATGGGGAACGATGCACAATATAATACAAAACGTCTACTTTTTATCTTATGTTAGACTAAAGATACTGCAAACTGGTGTGCTTTGTTACAATAAGCCGTAAATTTATCAGCCAACAACGTTGACTAGCATCTCAAAAGTTTCCAACTTGAATAAAAGCAAGTTTCCTGTCTTGTTTTTGCAACAATTGCTACTCTAACTTACTGTAATGATACGAAAGACTGGACCTTAACAGTATCATTGTGTATGCAACACTAGATTGTTCATTTTGTATGATTATAGAACTGCAACAATTGTTTGCTTTCGATAAAAGACAAATCGATCACTGTAGAATAATTTAATGAATCTTAAGCGATCAACACAATATGGGAGGGTATCTTTGGAATGTGATGAGGAAAGGGGGAGGGGATGAAAGAGTTGAGAAGGAAAGAGATGGGGAGGGGGGTGCGTGCATGCATTCGCCGCTCGCCCATCTTGTCTCCTCTTCCCATTTCCCTTTTACTTTCCTATCTTTTCTTTTCCATCTCTCCATTTTCTATTCTCCAAATCAGTCCCCTCTTCCACCAGAAATTCCTTTCTCTGTCACTCCTCCCAATCTTTTCTCGTTCTTCCCCTTTTTTCTTTCAATGATAAACTGTCCAACCCTAGCACCGGCCTCGACTAAATTCTGTCCGTCCAACTCTTTTTTCTTTGGTCATCTTTTGAGTTTTTTTAAAGATTTCTTTTGAAATTGGTACTATCCGATTCGATCCCAGTATAAATTCACGCAAACATCTCATATTTTTTTGCTTCAGGTTTGGGTGGAAGCTTAAGTTTGAGTTGAGCTATCAAAAATCAAAACCCGCATTGGATTCAAAAAGACACAGATGTGTTATCTGTGGGAATAGAGTTTTAACTATATTTTTATTGACTTGGAAATACATTTTCTCCTCTACTGAACTGATTCTTCTCCTACAATAATATATTGTATAGACTGATGGGATTTAATCAAACGAAAGTCAAGTGGAGTCGTCAATATAAACGCATCGAAATCTTTTTCTTCCTTTGATGAGAGTTGTTGTGTATTTGGTTTGGAAGAGACGAATGAGTGGAGGGGAATGGAGAGAAATGGGGGGAGGGGGTGAAGCTAGTGTGGTTGAATGACAGAAAAGGAAATGATCGTTGTGTAGAAAGAAGAACTCGTTTCTTTTCTCTTTCATCAAAAGCAACTTCTTTTTTGCTTTCTTTCACTGTTAAACTTGCTTCCTGGCCTCTGCAAGTATCTGTAAAAGTCTGTCAGGAATCTGTAGAAGAAGTGGGCAACCAATTTAATTCCTGAAGTACATAGAGATCTCAGAAATTCCCATTTAAAAAGAGAATTTTTGTGAATTACTAATGAATGAGAGATTGAGAAAATAGAGAAAAAAGGTCACCCTAAATCGTCTTCGTTGTCGTTGTTCGACTCGATTAAATGAGCGAAAATGGAAAAAGGGATTGGGGTATTTATTTCGAATGGATTCGGTTTTCTCTCTTTTCTTCTTTTTATTCCTTTTCTCTTCCAAATCTGCACAATTTCTTTTCCATTCTTTTCTTTATTCGCCATTCGATGGAAAGAAGGATTGACCGCGATTCGCTTCTTCGATACGGTCTTTTCTTTCCTTCTCTTTTTAAATCACACTCATTTAGGACAACACTTTCTCTCGATGGGATTTTCTTTCTTTTTGTATTCACTTCTAATAACTCTTTCATTGCACCATTCATTTTTCGATCAATTTTGACTTTTTGATCATTCCAAAATGTTTCGAGAGCGCTTTACTTTGACAAAGTGATGAATAATTTTTTATTTGTACTCCGTCTTTGCATATAATTCCATATCAAAATCGGCTCGAATTTCCTCAAATAAATGAACAAGAAAAACTTCAACATACACTTTTTCAACTTCTTTTATTGGTTTCTTATTGTTAGCAAACAACTCGTTACTTATTTTAAAAACCTCCCCTTTTTCTATCAATAAATTAACAAGTTTTTTTGAGAAATCGAGACTCCCTTTTGTGGTGGCTGTATGAAATGAGAAAAGGAAAAATAAAGGAAAAGAGGAAAAGACGAAAGGAATTTCAAGGTCGTCACGAAGAAACGATCACGACTCTTTTCGGTGTCATTTCCCATCTTCCATTTTTTTGGTTTGATATTTCTTTCAAAAGTTATCATGATCTCGATACTAAATAAATGATGCTACAACATTGAGGGTTTTTCCTAATTTTCGTTAGTTTTCACAGTTCCACTGACAGACTAATACATATTTCAATAGCATGAAAGGAATTTTGAGTTAACTGTTCATTTAACTAAAACATAAGCTTAACTTCTTCCTCTTCCAATGGATTCGCACAGATAAACTGTTTGTAACATGAGAATCTCGTAGACCAAAAAAGATATGTTATTGTTTCTCACAATCAGATCATATTTTGCTTCATACCAAAGATTTTACAGATTAGCACGAGTTTTCTTAAAACTTATCCCTTATGACCTCGAATGAGAAATAGCTCCAAATAAAGTCCCGCATTTATCTTTCAAATCTATTCTTTCTTTTCTTTTCACAATTTTTATTCATTTACTTCTTTCAATTAAACGGTGAAGCTCTGTGTAGATTTTTGTTTAAGAACGATAGAGAAAAAAAATGCAGGGGAATGTGAAGTGTGTGGAGATTTTATCGTGATCTTTCCTTCCTCTTCTTTTTCCTTTTATCCAAACATTCCGCTAGTCAGCATTTGAAAGCAGACAGCCCGAAGAGGAATGAAAAGGGCAAGCTGTAATATCGATAATTTAGATGTTTATTTTGTAAAATGTTTATTTTTAGGTCTAATACAATCATTATATCATAAATTTTTCGAATTAATAAAGTCGATAAAGATAAAATCTCATATTCACCTCGTATATGCGCTTTCTGTCATACTGTTGAATAACCTAATATAGTATATTGAATGAAGAATGATTCATTGTCATCAATCAATTTCATTAAAATCTAACATTTTACCGTTTCATTTGCATTTCATCCACATTTTCAATGACATCATCTTTTTTTGAATTTTTCTTCAAATTTTCAGGAAAGGCCGAAAATTCTCAAATTATCAGAACACATTGTTAGAACTTTCCCCTTTGCTCCAAAAAAGGCCTTTTCTTTATCTTTATTGATGGCTCGAAGCTGCAAAAAAAAGAAATTTTTTGAAGGCGTTTTTGAAATTCTTAATGGAATTCACTGCTTTGCTTAGTCATTCTCATCACAACTTTCAAAATCGAGAAACAAAGAAAAAATATTTAGGGGTTTAGATGAAATAAAGTGAATTTTTGATTATGCTTCTCTATTTATGCAAAAGACAGCACTCAATGTGAAGTGCCTCTAAAGGATTCTCTAAAGAATAGCTAGTGCATAGCTAATTGTGAATATTTACATAGCAATCCAATTAATCTCTACATTTAGGTATTAGAAAACAAATTTAATTTTCTTCCTTACTCAATTCACCCGGCTATTTCATATTTTTCCACTACTTTCTTTTACAGTTCAAGCGTAGACTCGTCTATTTCACCTTGAGCCCATATCCCGATAGTTCACCCATAGACAATTCACATTTGGTTTGAAGTAACACAAGGTGTATTAACGGTGGCACGGCTAGTGCCGAAAATGGTATTTTTTCCTGTCCCCTCTTCTAAATGATCTGCGAAAATCGCTTTTTTTTCTATTGAGAGCATAAATTCTTGAATTCTTATGTCGATTCTTCTTTATCATAAAATCAGTCTTTCTTCTTTTTGTCTTTCTCATATTTCTGTCAATCCATTTTGGGGGATGGATGAAGAAAAATCCCCGCAAAAATCGAGCATTGTAGATGGATGAATGATTGGGGAAAAGAAAAGAAAAAGAGAATTCTTTCCTTTATGATCTCTTTTGATTTGATTTCCTGTCTGATATCCCTTTTCTTCGAAACATTCCTTTCTTTTCTTTTTCTCATTTTTCTTTTCTCTTGCCATATCACCATCTCCACTGTGAAAAACCCGATCTTCCCCTTTTCTACCACCATTTTTGTGCGGTTCAAAGCTTCTATTCACGAAATTTCAAACAGATCTCTTTTGGGATTTCGAGATTTTCCGCAAAAAGAAATCTGGGGTGGATGATAACCGGGAGGGACTGCAGTCAATGAATTAGAAAAAGAATGAATGAAATGAAAAAGAAATGGATACGTCTTTTTGCAGTGGAAAAAATGGAGAAAAGAATTTTGGTGGCATTCCTTTTCCTTTCTTTTCCTTTAGATGAATCCATGTGTGTGCACAGAAACACATTGTTGTGTCGTTGAATTGCTTGTTGAAACCGTTTTTGCTCTTTTTTTACATTGTGCATGTTGGTCAATAACTAGTAGCTAGTTATTAACTACCTAGGTTGAAATCATTGTAGCTTAGCATGACTTCATTCTTACCCTTATTGGTTATTTTTTTAACAAAACTGTAAGTTAGACTAAAATAAGAAGCTCAGCGAAAATTCTCTACACGGGATAGATTCTGTTGAACTATAGGGTCCTTGGACTGTTTTTGGTCACTCTAGAAGTGATCCAATTAACATTCTTTCAAAACAAATATTGGATTCAGAAAATTCAATTAATTTTTACTTTAGAAAACTAAGCACAACAAAAATTGAGCGCTAGATAGTTTTTTTTGATGAGGATCTTTCAGGGATGCCACAGAACTTTTTGTCATTTTGTCAATTTTATGAGCCGTAGAATCTCCGTAGAATTGTTTGAGGATCTTTTGTTTTTGATATATCGACCTCATTTAATGCTTGTTTGCAGCCAAATCTTAGCTCTAAAAATGGTCAAAACAGATTTGTCAAGCCTTTATTTTTTAAAAGTTTAGATCCCATTTTCCCCAGAGGAAGTCGCGACCAAAGATACAGTCAACTCTCCCTACAACGGAACTCTATATAGCGGAAAACTATATAACGGAATGGAATTTTGCTCCCTTCCATTCCGTTATAGTCGACTGTATCTCTAAAAGACCAGCAACTAAAAATTGCAGACATTCTCCGTCGTGAACTTTTTGAATTTCGAAAGTTTCTTATCTTTCTTACGATACTAAAAAGGGCTTTGTTTTTCATAAAAATTGTTTTCTTGAATCTGCATTTTCAAAAAATCCAAAGATCGATTTACGACTTTTGATTGTAATCGTTATTTTAATCTTACTGGAGCTCTGGATGCATATTGCATTCAACCAAGATTGCATTCAACCAAGATTGCATTCAACCAAGATTGCATTCAACCAAGATTGCATTCAACCAAGATTGCATTCAACCAAGATTGCATTCAACCAAGATTGCATTCAACCAAGATTGCATTCAACCAAGATTGCATTCAACCAAGATTGCATTCAACCAAGATTGCATTCAACCAAGATTGCATTCAACCAAGATTGCATTCAACCAAGATTGCATTCAACCAAGATTGCATTCAACCAAGATTGCATTCAACCAAGATTGCATTCAACCAAGATTGCATTCAACCAAGATTGCATTCAACCAAGATTGCATTCAACCAAGATTGCATTCAACCAAGATTGCATTCAACCAAGATTGCATTCAACCAAGATTGCATTCAACCAATTCAACCAAGATTTTTTTGTTAAAGCCTCTTCATTTTTTAATCGAGAAAATATTTTGATTCACATCTTTTTTTTCTTTTCATTTGTTTCGAATTTTTTCTCAGAAAAATCATCAACTTTTTCCTTTTCTTGAAAAGAACTTTAATCGAAATGATAGACAAATAGAAATTGAGAAAATATTTTGTGTGCTTCATTCCATTTCATTTGTTCACTTTGATTTTTGATCTTTCTATCAAAACTTTTGATAGAAATCTTTCTGTCAAATCTCAACTTAAAGCCTTATAAACTTTCTCTCAGTTGAGTGAGTTAATTCGACATGATAACCGGCTATTATCAAAACTTTGTTCACTATATTTCCAACCCAACTCCAATCCCTCAAATCTCCTTTATTTCATCTAAAAAGAATCGCATTTCCCCCAAAAAATTCTCTCTTTTTTTCAAAATGATAACGGTCTGCCAATGAAATTCCTTCATTTTTCTCGATTTTCGCCTTATTTTCTCCAATCACTCATCATTTTCCCCCTTTCGTTTTCGTGAAACTTCATGTTTTTTGCCCTTTCCCCCCAATTTTTTTCCCATCAAAAGTGTGATCATTTCTTATCAAAACTTTATTGATTATCTAATTGGATATCCGAAAAAAGTTCTCTCAAAAATTCATTGAAGAAGCACATGTTTTTCAAAGGAGAAACGCCGGTAAAGATATACCGGATAACGGAAAATTCATTTATCGTTTATTAAGTAAAATATTTTGGACGCACATGTAAAGCTTGATTTTAGACAGAAGTTTTTCTTTTTCTGATGCAATTCTTTAGGCAAATGTTTACAAATGTCTGAATGTCTGAATTTCAAATTAATTAGACTCGATTTGGTATTTAATGATGATTGTTCATCAATTTTATTTCAGGTAATGAACTCGGTATGCTCAACACCGGGCACATCTCGTAGTGCCCTAAGCATTCTCCGAGAAGAAACACAAATAAAATGGGGAAGAAAAGAAAAAAGAAAAGATAATAATAATGATGAAAATGAGATGAAATCATCATCATTATTATTATCAACAAAGCACCAATCAACACCAATTCCATCAACAAGTCGTGGAGTGAATATTGTCCCTTCTGTACATAGGTAAAAGATACATTCAGCTCATTTAAAGATAAAACCAATTTCAGCGTTCGTCCAGGTCAACATTTTGTGACTGTTCACACACTGAGAAAACATGTTCTCACCGTCACTATCGATGTGAGAAATGAAATATCAATAGACCTATTTTAAATTTAGTCAAAGACTCGAGTACATGATGTTTTGTGGGCATGTGGAGAACAATTACAAGTGAATGATGATCGATTCTTTGGATTAGCATTGCGGTCACCATCTGAAGGAATTGGCGGTAAGTGCTCTCAATAAAAAGTCCAACTCTGACACAATTTTTTTTGTTTAATTCCGAGCTTCAGGTGATCAACCCCGCAACGAATATTTCTTTTTGGATCCAGCGCACAAAATTTTCAAATATTCTCCGACAAAACAATCTCGATTTGCACAATGGGCGAGTTTTCATTAAAAAATTCTTATTTTTGAATCTTATTCTTGATTCTTATTTTTGAGAACCTCAAGGTCAACGAACAATATCGTTTGTGGTGATCTTCTTTTCTTTTACTCTTCTTCAGATTGAAATCTTTTCCACCAAGCGGGGGAAATCCCGAAAATGACCCTAAAATTTTTGGAATCTAGAGAAGAATTCTTGGAATTCTTTGCGTTATAAATGAGAAAAACTAAGCCTAAATAAAATTTGGTTCTATTTGGTTATTATGATCTGAAAATAGAATTTCAGACATCTTCATCTTCATCTCGTGCTGATAATCGTCCATTTCTTGTTCTTTACTATCGAGTTCGGGTTTATATTGATGAAGTGAGATTGATCACGTGAGTGTGTTTTATTGCCTACAATTCATTCAATAATGTTTTAGATGTCAACGAGCTCTCGAACATTATTATACTCAATTACGAGAAAATCTATTGGATCAATGGTCAACAAAGGGTACGGTAGCTGAAGAAAGAATATGGGAAATGGCTGCATTGGCATTAAGAGCTGACAAGGAAAATAATGATTTCAATGGGTGAGTTCAAATAAACCTTAAAAGTGTCAAACAAAAAAACTACATTCACTTTCATTTTTGGCTGCTTTTTTTTACTTTTTTTACATTTTTTACGACTTTTTACAACAACAACAACTTACAACTTTTTTAAGCAATTCTAAGAAAAGTATTCAGATATTTCCGTGCTGAGCAATATTTTCCGTTATGGGTGATTAATGAAAGAGGATTGGAATATATCAGAAAACATATGCCTGCAGCAATGATTGATCTTCAAGAGAAAAATCGACAAGAAGCAATGACACAATTTTGTGTGGAAGCAAGCAGGTAACAAAAGGAAGTCGATTTTGATATTTATGTTGTGATTCAGAAGTCCTTTTGCTTTGAATTGTCATCTTTATGGGTTGAGAAGACACAAAATGGATTCAAGAGATAATGCAGTCATTGGTGTCACTGCACTGTGAGTCATTTTGGATAAAAGAAAACAAAATATAATTCTACCATTTTTGCCTATCATGAGCTACCATAATCAATCCAATAGAATTCTTTAAAATACCTGATATCAAATCCATCTACGAATTACCTTGCATCTAAGTCTCAACCATTGGATTGCCCTAAATTGTTTAAATTGAAAATTATATCGAGCGAAATCGATCAGAGTCTTCTACCTCTTTTATGTATTACTTTATGTACTCATTGCATATAAATCTTTCATTATATTTTTCAAACAACCCCAAAATTTTAGTGGAATCGAGATTTGTGATGTGATTGAAAGCGGTGAAAGAATTCCATTGAGACTTTTTCCTTGGGGACGAGTGACAAAGCTGCAATTTGACTGTAAACGCATTTCCATCAATTCGATGAATGGTGAAAATGTGGTTTTGTATGCACAAAATGAAAGCAAAGCGAGGTATGAAAGAAAGAAAAGCTTGAGAAATCATTTAATTGTCAGGTATCTCTTGGATCTTTGTCGAGCCGTTCATCAATGTCTGCTGGTTGTTCAACATTCAACGGCCGGTCCACGACAACTTCCAAATGCAATTAAAGAGAAAAGTGTTGATGGGTGAGTAAATAAAACAAAAAAGATAAACAATTTATGCCTTTGATCAAAAATGTTGCACGCTATTTAAAAAATAAGACTATATTAATTCGTATTTCAGAACTGATCGGCAAAGTGAGATGAGCAACAGTACAACAAGTGGAGTGATCTCTGATAGACAAAGTCAAACAGATCGGCAGTCGACAACGAGAAGAAATACAGAAGATTTGAGACAAGTCATTGATGCTGGTGGGTTAAAGTTTTTGAAATCAATCAAAAATCAGATCACATGTACAATGTTCAATAATTTAAAAAGTTATAGATTTCGATTCACTGAGACATTCCCTTTCAACAACGGCTTCAGAAAGAAGTGATAGAAGTCGACTGGAAACTGAAAGGAAAAAACGAAGAGTCGGAAAAGGACGAATTGTAATGCCCGTGGAAACTATAACAACTGAAATTGTGAAAAATGAACAAGAAACAAATGAAGAAAAGGTAAGAGAAGATTTAGAAACGAAAGGAATGGAGATTTTAGGATGATACTCTGAAAGCTGATGTGAATTGGCAAGAAGAGATGGCAGAATGGGAGAAAAGAGACCAGCAAAGAAATGGGAAACAAAATGGAGAAGCTGAAGAAGATGATGATAATGAGGAGGATAACGATCAAGAAGAAAAAGAAGAAGAAGAAGAAGAGGAAGTGATTGGGGATGATGAAGAGAGAATATCATTGGAATCATCTCGAAGATCGATCAGTAGAGAAAGTGCACAGTCCATGAGGTGAGTTAAGAAAATTTTCGTAAAAGAACGCGACTTCAAAGTTTGGTCGAAACCTATAACAAGCATTGTTATAAGTTTGTTTATACCAAAGATTGTTCAACGTCAGTAGAATAATCTATATTGTTAATGATGTGACTGATGATATTTCAGGGGAATGAACTCTTGTGCTGTACAAACAGAATCACCAATGTTTTCCCATGAAATATCCCATCGAATGAGTCCACTTCCAAGTCGTCCTCTTGATCCACATTACTCTACTTATCCAAGCTATTTGAGCTCACAGGTAATTTTTGGAATAAAATAATCAATACCTTTGCCGTTCAGAGTCCTCCACCAAGATCTTTTGAATACTCCAATTACCCATCATCATCATCGGGTATTCAAACGGGCAAAAATTCATTCGATCTCTTGACGGATATCCCGCGATCTTTTCAGGTATTATCGATTAATATCACCGCACGGATTGAGATTATTTTAGTATGAACCATCATTGAACGATTCAACAACAACAGCTCAATCATCTTCTTTGATCGACTCAAATCGAGAACCTACTTCACTCATTTCGTCCAGTTCATCGAATCGAAATCGATCAGCAAATCCCCCTGCGTATTTTGATGCTCTTGCTCAGCAAAAGGTGAGAAAAGAAGAAGATCTTCTAGGTAAAGAAAAAATTCCTTAGCGCTAAAGGAGGTCACTATTCGTACGATGAAATGCAGAAAGAAAAAAACCACGAAGACTTTTTCAGAACCTTCATCAACACGATCAATTACCCCATCGTCATCCATCAACATCATCTTCTCCACGACCTCGTTGGTCAACAGGGCCTGTCTCTCCTGAACAAGTCAGACAATCTGTCGCTGCAATTCCAAACTATTTGATTAACACAAATAGCGAATCGAGAATTGATGCTATTGAGGTAAATCTTATTTAATTCGACTGTTGTATTTGAACTTTAGATGTTTTCAATGAATGGAACTCCATCAATGAGTTCTCATCAAATAGACCAAGGAATACCTCGCGGAAATGCTGGTGGAAGATTTGCAAAGAGACCCTCAAGACACAACAATACGGCAATTTCAAGAGTTCAATCAATGCCACCACATTACCATATCAATCATCATCAAAATCAACAACAATCCCATCAAACTCCATCTCTTCAGGGATCAGCCAATCAAACAATCATTCAGCCATTGATATATCGAGTGAGTTACAGTGCAACTCTTTAGATTTACAAAAAATCGTGATTTAATAATAAATCATTTGCAGACTCCACTCGAACAAACGATGATTGGAATTCCGGGAGCGGGTTTATCTCAATCTGCGTCATCACTTTACCCACTTCATGGAGATGGATATCTGAATGGAAATGGAGGGGGAGCACATTTAGCAGCATCTCAGCCACAACTCAATTCTCATCAATTGCCAAATCGAACAGAAATTGGAGTGAATCGTATGAAATGTGCAAGAGATCCACCATCCTATGAAAGAGCGACTTCACACATTCTTCACAACTTCCCAACGCAAGCTCTGCAATTACAGGTTTGTTTTTGAAAATGAGACTTTTCAGAAAATAGAATCGCCATAAAAGTTCGTTATTTTTCAGCGTTGTGGTGTGGCATCAGAGGCTCGAGGTCAGCCTTCTTTCCCTCCACCCTCAATCACTTCATCGCAATTTGCTCCACCTGCCACAAATCATTCAACGGGAGAAATTGTCGATTCAAATCGATTCCAAGATTTACCTATGTTGAGAGCATTATGGGCTGAATCACAACAAACCAGGACATCACTTGAATCATCCACATCATCATCGTCAACTGCATCTCATCAATCAGAGATAATGCATAGAGGATCACCTCCTCTTTTGACCAATAACCATAATCAAAGGTAAAACATTGTTGAAATCGTTGAAAGGCAATCATTGTTTATGTAGAAAATTCTAGTTATGATGAATATTTCAGGTTAGAGAACATCGGTCCCTCAACTCGTCGCCCAATTTCAATGGTCGATCTTTCACAGGCAGATCCAATGTTACTCCTTTATCCAAATGCTATTCAGAGGTTTGTTTTTCTAGTCAATCGATATAAGAGTAATGCAAATATATTATATTAACGCAAATATGTAAATTTCAGTGGTTCTTACGTTCTCGATTCGGGTTTTACCCAGGCTGGCTTCTCAACTGGCCCTAAACAAGGCTACAAGTAAGCATTTTTCCCATGAATTGAGTTTAGATTGTCAAAATATCAAGAATTGAAAGTATTTTCCATATTTCAGCATGAGTTGGTCATCAAATGGTCGCGTAGTTGACCTTCCCCCACCACCGCCATATCCAGAGACATCACGACAAAAACCACCAATGGTCGTGATGTAATGAATGAATGATATCATTCCTTTGCTTATCAGTTCTTTTCTTCTCGAATCAAATCTAAGCCATCATTAGATGTATCTACCTTTTTGCTTTTTTGTGTCATCATCTAAACTATTCACTTTTTTTTGTCGACAATCCTTTTCAAATCAATATTTCCTATCCATATCAGGAGATTTATCCGGGTATATCATCAAAATAATCACCACTAGACCGTGTGATACCTTGTTTCAAAAAGTGCAATTCAGAAAAGCTATCGTACCAACTACCCTTACCGAAGAAACTCATCCGCTGACTTAAATTTTGAAAAGATAGCCAATTCTAAATTGCATTGTTTAGAAATTACTCTAATCAGTTGAAATACAGTCTATCACCGTTTCTTTTGTCGGCAAACCTCAAAAATATCCATTCGGAGAGCATTTCTTGATCAAGTTTACGAAGACATAAAATCAATTGCCTTTTCCGAAATGCTTTCTAATCGTGATTTTTTGTTCGATCTTCTTGACAGCATAAATTAAAACTTTACTGCTTTTTACTTTGTTTTTCTAATTGATTTATTATTTGATCGAAATCTCGAACTGCCTCGAATTCTACCTAAAACGAAAGGTTTTGTTTGTTTTTAAGCAAATTTGAGGGATCATGGAAGATTTTGTTTACTTTTCAGATAATCTATTATCAAAATCTCTTCAAAATACTTGAAAATTTACCTACTTTTTTCTCATTTTTTGTGTGAATTGGCTCTTTTTTGTTTTATTTCGGTGCTGAATGTCTCCTCAAAAAAGACTTGCCATTATTGGAATTAAAGAGAAAAAAAGAGGCTTTTCTCCCCATTTTTGTCTATTTTTATTAGAAGAGAGCGATCACTTTTTTGAACTATTGAGAATACTGTGAACAATTGAAAATCTTTAGCGATAGATTTATAGTCTTATAATTTGTTTTGGATACTGTAACTTTTTCTAGGTTTTAGAGCTAAAATTTTACATTTGTCTTTGTATCCTCAGTGAAAATCTCCAAAAGTTTGGTCGTTTCTATTCAAAATGACGACTCGATACTTTTGTTGAAAGCGAAACGAATTAATAAAGAATTATTTGATTTTTAGGCTTTATTTTTACAAAGAAACAGTCACAATTTGTACAAATACAAAACGGCGAGATCAAAATATTGAAGATTTGGAAGAGATCATTGCGATATTCTAAATAACAACTAGTCGAGTATCGGGTAAAAAAGACAAATAAGTGACAGTTCGAAGCACAGATTGGAACAAAAAGAAAAGGAAACACCGAAAAAATCTAGGAAAAAGGCAAATTTGGCACAAATATTTCGGAAATAATAAAATAAAAAAAATTTTTGGTAATTTGAGATCGGAAAATGGAAAGACACTTTCACACAGAAATTTGAAAGTTTTGAGATGGAATTTTTGAGATCTTTGTGACGATTTTTGAGATGGAGATCAAAAATGAGATCCTACTTGAAATGGAAAAAAAGAAGTTGGTTTTATTTCTCGTCGACATTGTGGTAATTGAGGGGATGAAGAATTTTACGCAATTGACATGAACAAGCGATTGGTATCTGAAATGAAAAGCGATTCGTGTCTGTTGTCTGGGGTTGAAAATATCATTTTTTTTTACTTTACAAAATTCTCACTCGAATTGATCCAATATGAAATGGTCGATCAGATCCAACCAATCGTATTCCGGCTGGTCGATGATCATAAACAGTCACACATTCGGAGACAAAACTGAATCGAACGTTCGTAACAGATTTTAAAAAGTAGCTTAGATGTTTAGGCCAACAATAAGTAATTCTAAGATTTTATCAGTTTTGAATAGAAACTTCACTTTGTTAGTAAGTTTTCAGATAATGATGTTATTATTTTTTTTATTTGGTCATTCCGAGGTATAGACATTCTTTTCTTCATCAACTAATGTCTTCTTCTAAACTCAAAGAACAATTCTGTATTTCTTTCCAATGATGTGATTCAATTCCTTTTTTTGTATTTTGTTCCTTTTCTCTTTTCCCCCTTTATGTACTCACACGTGTTGTCGACAAAATTTGACGTAAAATATCTGACGACCAAAAATCATTGGCTTCTTGAAAAAAATCACATCTACCGTAGCCATCGTTTTTCCTTTTAGAATGGCCAAGAATTTCTCATTGTGAAACCTTGCAGGTGCTTTTCTTTATGAGTTCACTATTTACTAACTAACGAATATATTTGTACTCTTGTAAATGATCTTTTGAACTTAAAACTTGTCTAGAAATTGAAAAATAAAATATAGGAGTATAAGAGTCATCCAATCCAGCATCACCAGTAAAAGATTCCCCCATTTAATGGACTTTGTGCTTTGGTTATCATACTAAGCTATTCAAATTCATTTAATATTTAACTACTTGCTTACATATGCATTAGTATAGCCATTTAATGAGTTCAAAAAGAATTGCTCTTGATCTTTTCGTAAGGCAATTCGAAAGAAAGGCAATTCGTTTTTTGTGACAAAAAGGGAAGAAAACAGCTGAAAACTCATTATTTGTGGTAATGAATAGGAAAACTTTGTTATAAACAACTTTTTAGATTGGTTAGATATAGTGAATGATTAGGGAAGTTGAGAAAAGGGGAACTGGCACTACATTGAGATCAAAAGAAAAAAGAGTTTATTTCAAGCTGCGGTAATGGGTATGTGTCAGCTTGTCGAGCTGAATACTTTAGTTTGTATTTATGTAATGATGCGTAAGAAAAAGATTTAAATAAACTTTTTGATATCTTGATTCATTGAGGAGGTTTTGTTTTGCAAATTTCTTTCAATTGAGGCTAATGGGCAATCATTTTGAATGAATGTGACTTTCTCAACAACAAAATTGGAATAATCACAAATTTTTACTCGTAAGATTTGCTCGCATGGAAAATTGTTTGAAATGATTTCAACTATGAGAAATTGGGACAGGTACAACACAATGGGTTCATCATCGGATTAAAGAGTGAAGGGGAGAGGGGAGACTGGGAATGGGTGGATCTTGTGCGGGATCGAAAGTTCAAAGAGGAATTTTCATCATTCAAGAGAGAACCCACAAAATGATGTCATCTCATTTATTTTCTTTGTATTGTTTCGTTTAATAACCTAATCTTCATAAGGCCATGTGATTCTTTAGTTTTCTCCGAAACACCTTGACGGTCTTGGTACAAAAGTTGACGAAGGAGAAAAAGGTGCAAAAAGGTAGAATGTCTGAGTTGTTTTCTCAGAAAAGAAACGTTTCTCGGAAGTAGTTTTTGTTTCAGTGATCTCGTAGGAATACTCTTCCAATAAAGAACAATAATTGAGGTTAACGAGCATTTGAATCTCTTCTCTTGGTTTTGCTGCTAGTAAAGTTTTCCAAGTTTTTTTAAAAATTTAGAACCAATCTTAAGCTAAAATAGCAATTTGAAACTAACCGTCTATTATCAACTCCGGCACAGCTCTCACGAACTTCCGAAAGACATTCGACAAAAGTTGCTGAAAAGGGAGCTTCGTCGTCTTGCTGAATTTCAACTCGACTACCATTGTGAACTGAAAATAAATTCCTTTTATTTTAAAGATTAAAAATTTTTATAAGATATTATCACGTTAAGGATATTTTATAAACTTACTATGTCCAAATTTTGGTCTATGATCGGGAAGAATTCGCATTGGGCAAGCATCAAATGTCTCAGAAAGGGCTGAGGTTAAGCGAGCATTTCGACGAGCTCTCTGAAAATAACAAAATGATCTTTGTTTTAGGAGTGTGCTTGGTCATTTTGAGTACTGATTTTATTGCTTTAAATAAATCAGTACATAGATAAAACTTATAATCATTTTACTCACCAGAACTGGACGATCCAAATCAAAAGGAAGATCCTCTTTCTTCACAAAAACAACTAAAGCTATTCATTTTCTAAAATTTACATTCTCAACTAACCCATCGACGCTGTTAGTCCGAAAACCTCAAAAAAGAATAGCATCAAATAAGTGATCGATCGAAAATCGAGGATTGAGCGACGGAAATCCATTACAAGAGATACTGAAAATGATTATACGAAAAAATATGAAAAGGTAAACAATTGAAAAGGATCGGAAATGTATCATCAGAATTTTATGGAGATTAGTCGATGGGATTACGGTAGACAAGCATGGAAAAAATGGAGGCATCAGAGAAAAGAAAACACCTGAAGCGATAGGTTTCAAAAATAAAATGGAGAACGATTAAAGCAATGTATTACTAAAACATGGAGTACTTTCGAAATGTGAAAGAGTTTATGAAATGAAAACGGAATAAAGTTAGAGATTTTGAAGATCGATCAGAATACTATAGAATACTATAGAATACTATAGAATACTATACTTTAAATTTGTGTAACCTAGTAGCAAGATCTTTAAAAGTAGAGTAAATCGAACTAAACAGTATATTTATCTGTAAAGTGTTTAAATAGTATGGATGAATGGATTAAATTGAGGTATTCAATCGGGCGTGTCTTTTAAATAAAATTCATGCAATGAACTTTTTGTACAAAAGAGGGGAGGGACTATTTTATATGAAAGATTTCATAAATGGATCAAAAGAAAGAGTAGAATGGATGAGACGAAAAAAAAAGAAAAGAGAAAAGAGTGTCCAAAGTGATGTCTTTTCTCGCCTTTTCTTTTCTTTTTCATTCAAATACATCTTCTCTAAATATTATTCTAAGTGAATGGATCAAAATGGAGGAGGGACGATTCAAGTTGGATGCTGATCTTCTCTCGATCTCCCTATCCATTTTTCTCTTTTCCATTTTAATCCCTTTTCTTCTTCTTCACATTTTTCCGATCATTCACCCACTCATTCTTTACAATTTTACCCCTCCTTCTACCGCAATTGTTTCGAGATGAATTTGCAAATTCAATGGTGACTTTTTGATTTTCGAACTTGAACAGAATGGTTAGACAAATTTGGTTTTAAAGAGGTTTTGTCTGTGCTTTACTCAGAATGTGAGTTGATCTCAAATGATGCATAGATAAGTGGATTGTTGGAGGTGGAAATAGATGATCGTCAAGAGTTATTAAGGCTCTTGTAAGTCAAATAAATGTCGTGTTTGTGAGATTCTTTTACAAATCTGTATCATCTGTTTACTCAGTTTTTATTTTTCACTGTGTAAGCTAGATTTCAAACTCATTGCCAGAACTTATCTTTTTGTGATGATTTGGATATGAACTCTAGTAAATGAAATTTTTATATCATTGCGCTACACAGCGAGGGATTGTGTTAGAATGAGCCAAATGATCAATTACTATGTAAAAAGCATCCAAAACTGGATTTAAGTTTCAATTTCAATTTATAGCCGACGACTTTACTTTCTAAAAAGTTTGAAGTTAAGAAGCTTTGATGTTAAGGGATTCTGTCAGTAAATCATAAAAAGCACCTAATTAATCTAAACAAAGGATATGAATTTCTAATCCGTTAAAAGGTTCATGATTTCATGATTAAAAATTCAGCAATAGAAAGGGTCCATTTATTTATTGAAGACAATTGTTTCCAAATACACGAGAAATCGAGAACTACATGTAGAGGGAAAATCAGAAGAAAATTTTTTCAAAAACAACACGTGTTTAACGCTTTTGATCAAATTAGAGTGTTTGAATAGGGGAAATGAAGGGTTTGATAAAGGTGATTTGAACATGAAAAGAGAGTACGGTAAAGGAATAAGGGTAGTAAGAATGGAGAGATCACGGTTGAAATCGTCATCAAGAGAATTCTTCAACTTTGTGATGAAAACAGAGTAACATTGAAGTCAAAGTATCATAGTCTACTTTGTCTGAATTATATTTGTACCTCACAAAATATTTGATTTGATTGAAGACTGTCTCTTTTTCTTTTCCTTCTTTTTTAATTGTTCATTCAATTTTTCTTCCTTAACATCTGTCAATTCTTTATTCTTTTCAAAGGATAAAGTTACGCTGCCTTGGTTTACGAGAAAGGGTCATTTTACAGGTGATTTTTCGAGTTATTTTTAGCGCTTAATCTGCAACGTCGATTTGCAGAGTTCTGAAGTTTTTTTGGATAAGAGAGTGTCTGAAAATTTGTCGATCAATGATTGCTTAAATGTCTTGAATGATTGCGATGATTTTTTATTATACAAAACTTGATACAATAATCTTGCCTCTGTTTTAACAACCTAATTTAAGCAACTAAAGCAGATTAATTCATTAAATAGCTCACAATTGGTTTTTCAAATTTGTTGGTCTCAATAAGTGACACATGATCAAGTTCGTTTTGTGTTTGTGCTGATCACAAAGTTCGTTAATATTTGCTTACTTTGTTCATGCAATTCATTATTCCCGCTTGGACTTGATGGACTTCGACTTCGATATAAACTATAGAAACTACTGAATCGGTTAAAGAAGATAGTTTGTTTTCTCTTCGGAATTCCCATTTTTGAGTTTATCTGGTGGATTAGACATGAAGAAGGAAATTAAATTTTCTTGCAAAAAACAAAAGAAAAATGAATAAGTGCTATTTATAGATCGGATCAGGAAAATTTGTAAGTTTTGAAGATTTGAATTTCATCCGAAGATACCGGGCAAAAATGAAAAAATATAAGAAAAAGGGACAAAATTGGAAAAGAAACTGAAACGAGTTTTAACAAAGTCTTACACAAAATTATATATGCTTGCTTCTTGTAATCGTTTGAAACGAATCAAAACAAATGCTGGACATGAAAGAGAACCGTTTAAATAATATTTGGTTGAACCGTCAAAAACTCATAAAAATAGATTATTTTCAGAAAATAAAATGCTCAAACCAAAGAAAGAGAAAAGGATCAAAAGTCCGATTAGCCTACCGTAATTCGGACAAAAATAATAGAAAATGAAGATGAAAATCTTCAATCAAAAAAGATAAATAACGGATTGAAACGATTGGATGGAATTAGAGGAAAAAGAAAAGAAAATATAGATATGGAGAGAATGATAAAGAATTGATGACACGTGGACACGAGGTTGTGAGTATAAGCAGATGGGGTGATCAACTAGTATGTTTAGAATCTTTTGAGATGGATTGAATGAGATAAATGATACACAATTTAGGCTTTAGAATGTAGAGGGGAGGAGATATGCAGCTAAAAAGATATTGAAGACAAGCCACGCTCAAGAGAAAATTTTGCTGCGTTTGCTGGGTTTTTTTTCGAAAGCAGTAAAGCAAAATTTGTTTTGAAAGGCATTGATAGAAAATTTTGAGTGACATGAAATTCGACCATTTACTACGAATCTGGATGAACTTTTGAGTGAATGAGAATCTTGTTTTCTGAAGGAATTGGGAATAGGTAATTGAACCCCAATAACCTAATAAGAAAGCAGCTTGCTTTTAAAAACTGGGTATCTTAAAACAAACATTTGAAAGTATTAAATGTAGAAAATAAAAATCTTTTCCAAGCGATTGACCATTCTTTATAAGTAGATCTAATCCTTCCTGAAACCACGAAGAGATTTTAACAAGTGCAAAAAATTCTTGGTATTGGTTGAGTTAACGAAGAAAAAAAGGAAAGAAAAGGTTGCGTAAAATCCTGGGAAATTCTCCCAGTTCAATTATGACGATGCGTGTTTTTTGAACGAGAATTTCTTTTAATTGTTGACAGACTTGGGAAGATTTTTGTCTGTTTTGGAGGTGAACAAATACACACACGTAATAACAAAGAGCAAAGTTTAATGGGGAAGAATGAGCAAAGCTTTAAATATAAAAGAAATACAATGAAGTAGGGATCGGACACAAGCACATAAAAGTATTGTTTGCTATTTGTAGCAATACTAAATAAATGTAAAATGCACTCTCTCGCTACAGTATAATAGGAGGAACGTATTCGGGTGTCAGACTGAATTTCTTGAGCTTTTAGATGAAATACTCTTTGTTCTGTACATAAACGGAATTTGTAATAAATGCTTTCAATATTTTCTTAAGACGTGTCCATTTTTTTAACGCGTGTCCATTTTCTGAATCACGACAGTTGTTTTGCATTCAATGATCAAGTCGAAGACCCGGATTTCTTTTGCAAATCTTGAATCCAAGAACGTCTACTGATCTGATTTTGGGGCTTCTTGTAGCAGTCTGACAATAACTTTGGGATTTCTAGGTCATAAGTCGAGTGCGTGATTTAAACTTGTAAACATCTGGAAAGGTCTAGGTACAAAGTAGTTCAAGATCGGAATTCACATTTCGATCTAAAGAATTGTCTTTACATGATGAAAGAGGCGGTCCTTCAGACAATTGACGCTTGTTTTTTTGGAGAAAATTTTTATTTTCCCTGAAACCCAGAGAAAGGTTAGACGTTGAAGGGGTGGCCCTTCCTTCTCTTTTTTACTCTATCCTCCCCTTTTTCTGTTCTTTTTTTAGTATACCCTTCTGCTCTCCGATCAGACGTAAGCGTCTTCTATTGAAATTTGAATAATTACATTCATTCTTTGTCTCTTTTGTGTAAAGAGTTTTGCAGAAATGAAACATTTAGTGAACGAGTGGGAGACGACGTAGATCGCAAAAGAGGACAAGCATGGTAGCATGGCGAACTCAGCCGACACAAGAATTTAAGTGGAAAACTCTTGCAGACTAACTGTTTGAATAGTTGAGTGCAAAATGGAAAGAAAAATAAACGGTTTAAATCCTAAAATAAAATCCGTACGATTGCTGAGCGATTCTTCTCTCAACTGAAGCCCTATCAGAAGTTAGAAAAACGCTACCGCATAAAGGCTTTCGATTTGAACCAATTGATACTCTCATCGCTTGGTGATTTGAGACACAAGTTATTAACTAACTTTTCATGTAAATGCAACTTGATCGGCGATCCTCACTATAGTGAAAATGACTTCACTATCAGATTTGAGAGAAATGTAATATTTTCACAATATTGACCTAGCCTTGATTTAAATAGCCTATATTATAGCTTTATCTCTAGATCAGAAGAGATCAAGAACGATTAAGAACAACTTCTATACTTTTTTCATCTTCAGCTTTATTCCATTTTTGTCGATTGCGCATCGTGAGAGACTCCAAAAATTGTTGATCTATTTTAGGAAAAGGCAAACTGGAAGTTTTTCTTAGAAGTTCAATTCTGAATTTTAAAAAATCTACAATCAAGAAAGGTTCCTCATTCAATTCTACAGTGTTTTTTCCAACTTACAATAGATTTGAGTTGTAGTACTTTGGCCATTATTTTCTTCACCTGTTGATGGCTTTTACATTTAAATGTTACTAAAAAGTTGTTTATGGCTTTGGGTAGGCGGTGAAATGGAAAAAGAATTGAGAAGAATCGGAAAAGACGCAAAAATGGGGGAGTTCTCATTGGAATGCACGGGATGAGTTGTACGGAGAATCGGTACTGAAAAATAGGAACAAGAAGGGTGGTTCATTTATCCAATTGATGGTCAAGAAAGACAACTAATAAATTGCACGACTATAGCAATTTTGAGATCAGATAAATGGGGAAATGTACAATGCATGGAAACGTACGAAAGGTAATGAAAAAAACAGAAAGTTTTGAAAAAGTCGGGAAAACAGACTTGTTTATTAAATTTGAACAACAGGAACGCCTCTTTTGATTCGAAAAGTACGATAAAAGCAACTTTTTGATGGAACGCAAGGGAATGCTAGCTATTTGCTACTGTAGTAATGTACAGGAAAAATTAACAAAGCCAAAACCAACCAAAACGAACAAATAAATTTAGACATTAGACAAAGACTATTTACAATTAGGTATCCCAAAACGAATACGATTGTCAATATACGGGCGCCTTTCTCAAGGTAGTCCAAAATAAAGCAGTGAGGAGTAGCATAAGATAAGTAGAAAAGTGTAGTTAAGATGTCCATTTATATACAAGACTTTATCTCGTTATTTATACGGGAATCCTTATTTCTTCTCCAATATTTTCATCACATTCCTCGTCACACACGTGTTCCTCGAAAATCTCCCAATTTTTTTATTCCTCCTAAAAATGATTCTCAAATATGTCGAAAGTGCTCGTGGAAACCCCTGCATATCAAAATTGCATTTGACTTGTTTCATTTATTTTTGTCGCAAAGTTATTCCTAGCACTTATTAGCTGCCGATCATTTAGGGATTTACGTAGGATTTTTGTTTCGCCGATTTGTACCCCTAGACAGATTTATAGGAATGAAAATAAGCTGAGATTATGCGAATTCAATATATTTTCCCTGGGAAGCACCGGACTTAGAGTAGGTCAATGATCGGGGGGGAGGAGGGGGAGACTCTTCGAGTTGTACTCAATCAAATTATCTTGCTTTCACATCATTTTCTAGTTTTTTTATACCATAAGGCTTCATTCACTTTTTAAAAATAATTGTAAAGTGTGATCGTTGCAATTATTGCTGAAGAGCTGCAAAAGTTACCATGAGATTGGAAATATTGTTGTAATGTAAGGATTCGACTCATTGTAATTGGAATTTTTGCGCTTGAATAAGGGATCGAGTTATGTATTTGTTGCCTGTTTAAAGAGGTATAAAAAGTTTATTAAAGAGTAAGAGTAACAAATTAATTGGGCAGTGTTCATTTTAAGAGATCAAAGTTTGCGAACGGCTTTTCGTCGAGCAACCGCTGCCCTGGCGCGAGCAGCCATTACACGACGAAAAACGGCCAAACGACGAAGATATGATTCGGGAAGTGATGAAGGTGTTGTTGATGAAGAGGAGACACCTTGGTCATTGCAGTTTGCTGGAAATAGCTTGTTTGTTGAGAAAAGTTTGTTTATAAATTTGAACTATAATAGTTTGGTTTCAAATTTTGAAGTAGTAGGTATCTGTTTTTTAGAAACTTACATGAAGAGGAAATCGGCTCGGTAGAACTGGGTTGAACAGCTAAATGAACTAGGTATTTGAATCGCGTAAATAAGTCAATTTTTGTTGTATTTGAATTAAGACTGCAATAATTTAATCAAAACCTGTCCAACTTACCATTAATTTGGTTATCCGTATCAACTGAAGCAGCATCAACTCCCATTGAGACTGAAGGAGTTGGATAAGTGGGCATTGATGGACCGGTACCTACATATATGAATGGATGAATTTCTGTCAAATAAAGTTTGGTATAATATGTAAGTACAGACGATAAACTAGTATTATGATGCTTTTATAACTCGTGCCAACTTTTCAGCACAATTCATGCTTCTTACCAGTGAGTAAGTTCGATTCAACAGCGGCGTCAGTTGGTGGAGTCACATAGCCTTCCCTGAACAACTTTTACTTATAAAATTTAAATTTGCAGTTACCTATTGAAAATAGACTATTGTAAAGGAAGAACTGGTGAGTTTACCCATATCAGCACACATATTTACTTACTTTGAAACATTTGGAATGTTAAAAGGAATTGATTCGTCAACATAGAGATTTTATTAAAAAACAAAGGCTTACCCACTGACGAAGACAAATAACAAGGAAGCAGTTAAAATTGGTAATAGGTACATGTTTTGACAATGAGAGATGGCTTTCATCCCAGAATCACCTTCCTTTTATAAGGATCCGATGTGATTTCAAGGACATCGAATCGAAAAACTCTTGAGAATTCATTTCTCTTTTGCATACAAAAGCAAATTTTTGAAGTAGATTCGGTGGTGAAAAACCCACTTAATTCATCTTTTTTTGTGGTCTCTCTCAGTCGTTATAACTCTGAAATGAAATGGAGAGGATACTCAGCTAATACATTCAAATACGGCCACTTACACATATCCCGTTTTAATGTTTGTCGCTTTTCGAGATCAGAGCATCGAAAATCTTCTTCCAGATCATGTAAAGTGCTCACCTTGAAAATGGATCATTTCACTGAAATTTTTGAACGGTAAACTTTGTTAAAGTTTTGCATTTATATTGAGATATCAATTTGCTGATTACTTAATTTCCATTTAAAATTTCCTTGTTAATTGTTGCTTAATATTGCGCATTCATTTTAGCAAATTCCTATTCTTACTAGTTCCTTTCGAGATTGTGTCAATTTCATCAAAAAACGAGGTTTGTTCCTTGTTTTTATAATTTGATAAACTTCTTGCAAAGATTCAAAAAGATGTTAGAAGGAGCCCAAAAAGAAACCGGGAAACTTACCTCCAAAGTTGGTATTTTTCGAGTTTGTATGATGAAACTGTTTTATGTGTAACTAATTTCCTGTAAAAGAATTGCTACAGTCTGTTGCATTTTGTAGTGTATTTTTATTTGTATTTGTATTTGTAGTGTATTTTAAGTTGTTTAAGAAAAAGAGAAAGCCAGTTCCAATGTAGGATTCACAGTTAAATATGTAAGTTAAAATCTTCAGCTTTATAAATTTTGATTTAGGAAACCGAGGAAGTTGGAAGCAGTATCACCAGGTGATTTGTTCAAAAACGTTGCAAGACAGATGCTGGAAATAGGCTTTAATCGTTTAACACGAAGTATGCTTTTATTATCTAACCACATTTTTTTAGGAAATGTCTCTACTTGTGTCAAGGAAGGTGGCTCAGAATCAAATTCATGTGCGTATCGTCGCTAAAAACCGGATCGAGATCGACCATCCGACTTGATTACATCAAATTTCAAAGAAAACAACAGCTTAAGAGGCATTCATTGAGTTCCTTTTTGTATTGATGTATTCGTAGTAAAACGAAAATTTTGTCATGTTTTAGAAAAGATCTCGAAAGAAAACCGAGCGAATGGAAGACGATGATGCACCCTGCCAAAATCTTCGCTCGTTTCCCAGTGATTTCTCCCAGTTTTTAATTTTATTACCTATTAATAATACATTTTAGAGACCATTTTGCATTATTTCAAGATCAATTCCGGGTTGAATTTTAAAAAAAATTTACATGTAGATTTTTAGTGGCAAAATTAAATCTTTGAAGTGAACGGATAAGAGAGCGATACAGAAAACGGTAGCCTGGTTGCGAATTTTCTTATGAGGTTTTTAGACGAGAATTATGCCTACTTCCACAAAGTCATGAGTCTTTCCCACCATAAGGAATAAAGTAATTTTTGTTTGAATGCTATTTAAATTTTAAGGGTAATGTTAAAAGTGGTGAACTGTCAACGGATACTGATGAAGTAATGCTGAACCCGTTTCTTGAAACAAGCACGAGAACGGTTTGTTTCAATAGTTTTTCAGTTAAAAATTTTTAGGCTGTTGTTGACCGAACTTTAGAGGGCAAGGGAAGTTTACCGTCAAATGGAAAATTGTTCAGATCAAATGGAGAGCCATTTTGGATTGCCGAGCAAAGAGAAAAGGTTTAAACTTTGGCTAATTATGAACATACATTAATTTCCTTAGTTTAGTTGAATTTGGCTAGAAAAATTTAGATGCAATGAATCAAATTAGTTTAGGAAGCACCGACGCTTCATGATTTCCCAATGAGCCCGGAAGTGGGATTTTAAATGCAAAAGAAACAATTAAACTTGAGGCAACGCCAATCACTTTGTAAGTTTTGGACGCGTTGATCATTTTTATAAACTCATTTACGGTGAAAATCCATTTTCCAGATAGATCCATTTTCCAGGTTGGAAGACATTAAAGCAATGGTTACTTTCGCTTGAGCTATGTGAATTTTTTTAGGATGCAAAGTTTTTCACTCCCAAAACTTTGTTTGGAAATAGTTACGGTCGATGATTCGTTCATCAAGTATTCTTTTAGTTGTTACTGTAAAACATTTTATTTTTAGATCTTACTGTTATCGATTATTCAAAACTCGGGTTGGTTTGAAAACGTTTAACAACCGCACTTTATTGGAATACATTCAGAAAAATCCGCAAACAAAAAAGGGCTGCCCGGGGAAAACTTTCATTCTTTGTAAAAAACGGCTAAGTATTAAAGAGCCAGACAACGCACAAAGGAACTTGTAATTTTTCATTTTAGATATTCTCGCAGTTCAACACCAACTTCTTCCGAGATGACTGCTTCTCAAAAATCAAAAACAATTAACTAAGTGAAAATGTGTGTTATGATATTTAAAAATAAAGTTGTTTCAAAGTTTTTTGTTTTGTCAATTAAAAACAAGGGTTCCTATATGATGGTCGCTCTTTTGTCTACCGTAGTCTCTGGGCACGGGCGTCGCACGAAAAATTTGTGTTGGTTGTATTTGTATTATAAATTTTTGTTAGGAGTTAAAAAAACAAGGAAAAAGATGTTGAAAAACCTTTTTAAAGAAAAAAAATTTATTACTAACGCACTTTGAACTTCAGACGTTTGGAGTTTTTTGTGAAATGCTTTTTATTCTAAACGAATTGTCGTGGTGCACCAGTAATTCTTATTGTCATTTTCTTTTTGTTTGTTTATCAATTAAAAGCAACAACTTTGTGATTTAGGCAATTAGCCGAAGCCAGATACGGGTACGAAAGAGCAATGTCGAAATTTCCGGCCCGAGGATTGCCATCAGGGCTCCGATCGCTGAATGGACTGAAGGTACCTCTTGGCGCTGCAGCCTCCGCTCCAGGATCTGCTGTCACTTCTCCACAACGGTCAGCACTGAGAATATGCCAAAAATAAATTATTTTAAGACAACAAAGTTCTTCATCTCGATTTTCACCACTTGTTGGATCACCACCGAAAGTCAACGGAAATGTTTCTGCATTCTTGGTAAAAGGATTCCGACTATTCAGCACAGGTAAGGATTTGTGTAGCTAGCTAAAAAGCAATTCAGCAATTTATTTAGGTAGTTATCCCGATCATAAGCGCGTGAAATTGCCGGCACTTTCTCCAACAATGGAAATGGGAACGGTTGTTAGCTGGCAAAAGAAAGAAGGCGACCAATTGAGCGAAGGCGACTTGCTCTGTGAGATTGAGACCGACAAAGTAAGCAGCTCTGTGGATAGGCGATAAGTCGTAGTAAATCCTTATTAAATCTCCAATGATGTCTAACAAATTCTTTTGTATTCTAGGCTACGATGGGATTCGAGACTCCTGAGGAGGGTTATCTTGCTAAAATACTGATCTCGGAGGGAACCAAGGATGTGCCCATTGGAAAGGTTTGTAGGAAAATTTAAGAAATTAAGACCGATTTGCGTTTTAGTTGCTCTGTATTATTGTGGAAAAGGAAGCGGACGTTAAAGCTTTTGCCGATTACAAGCCCGATGACAGCGCAAAGGTATGCTCTTTAAGGTATGGTATCTTTATTTCAAGCTCTAGGGAGCAGCTTCACAAAAGAAGGCTCCATCAACACCGGCCAGTGATTCAGCCCCGGCTGCCCAAAAAGCTGCCCCAACTCAGGTAATCAAAATCCTAATCGTAAGGATTTTCAATACCGCTTGGTTGCAGTACGTTTTTAATTTTAGGTAGTAGCTCCACAAAAGCAACCCTCATCAGCTCCACAATCACCATCAGGACGTGTAGCAGCAACTCCATTTGCACGAAAGATAGCAGAAGAACAAGGACTTGATTTACAGGTTGGTTTGAAAAGTTACTGCAAGTAGGTGCTAGTTTTTCTATCATCTAGTTCTTTCTCTTCTCTCAATGTGTTTGTCTAAAAACTCAAATTTTCAATTGCTTTTAACAAACTTTAGCTAACAATAATAGCCACAAGTTAGTGTATCAAGCCGTTAATAAACAAATATGTATTCGTACTTTTAGACAGTAGCAGGCTCAGGACCAGGGGGTCGAATTCTCGCAGCCGATCTATCGAACGCGGCTCCATCTGCAACCGGAGGCACTCCACCACCATCACATCACGCTGGAGCGACTGGAGGGCAACCGGGAGATTTTACAGACATTTCTCTTACAAATATGCGAAAGTTCGTTTTATCTTTTAAATTTTGTGGTAATTACAAATTTTTAGAACGATTGCCAAACGACTTACCGAAAGCAAATCAACGATTCCACACTATTACCTCAGTTCTGAAATCAACTTGGAGCAAATCTCGCAGTGTGTTTTAGAGAAAGCGCTTACGATAATTTTATTTGCAAGAATACTTGATTATTATTATTTTAGGGTTCGCGAGAAGTTAAATGCATTGTTAGCCAAGGGTGCTGTCGGGGATCCGACAAAGTTATCGCTCAACGATTTTATCATCAAGGTATCAATCAGTGATTTATTCATTGAAAATAGCAATGCGTAGGCTTCATCATTGGCTTGTCTTCGTGTACCGGAGTGTAATTCTTTTTGGATGAACGAGTTCATTCGACAAAATAATGTTGTTGATGTGTCGGTTGCGGTCTCAACTCCTGCCGGCTTGATAACTCCAATCATTTTCAACGCACACTCAAAGGTTTTTTTATTTTTTGATGAATAATTAAAATTAAATGTCTAATTTAGGGATTAGCAACCATCAGCACGGAAGTCAAAGAACTTGCAAAAAGAGCTCGGGAGGGAAAGCTTCAGCCACATGAGTTCCAAGTATTATTTTGTTAAAGAGCTTGTCTACATGATTTTAGGGTGGAACCTTTACTGTGTCAAATCTGGGAATGTTTGGAAGTGTGACTGATTTTACGGCAATCATCAACCCACCTCAATCGTGCATTTTAGCAATCGGAGGAGCCGAATCAAAACTGATTCCATGTGACAAAGAAGGGTCAGTTTATTTAATTGATGTTTTTCAGAGTGTAAAAAACTTTTAAAGATTTGATATTGTATGTTTAGCTACAAGAAGGTGCAAGTGATGCGAGTGACTCTTTCATGTGATCATCGCACCGTTGATGGAGCAGTGGGAGCTCAATGGTTGAAACACTTCAAAGATTTCCTTGAAAACCCACAAACAATGCTTCTCTAGAATATGAATATAATCATGCCTGACTTTTTGAGAAGAAATAAGTCATGTTACTGGTCTGTAAATTTTAGTCGTTTGTTCAGTTTTGTATGATATTTCTTTTAGTATTTTTTAAAAATTTGTCGTGTCGATCACCGAAGATATTGCGTAATTTAAAGTGCTTTTGTGATTTCTCCTCTTTTTCTTATTGGCTGTTTTAGATGTAGATCTAGTGTGTATCGGTGTACTGCCGGTTGTAGGTTCAAGGAGATTCACGTTAGAGGATCGTTGCTATAAAGATTTTTATTTTGTCGATATTTTTTTCAGTCAAACAAGTTTTTACTTGCGCATTTATTTTATTTGTCAATAAATTCAAGGTTTTTCGAATATAAATCTGTTTGTTTTCAGAAGATGTGGCAAGCGTTTTTTATGGAAGCTGGAATTCCGGCCAATATTGCGTCCAGGTGTTTTACTTATTATTGCTAAAAAATTTGCTTACGATTAAAAAGGTATACAATTATTTAGCTGTGAAAAAAGTTTCGATCGATAAGTATATAATAAAATCTTTTTCATTATCAGCAACTTTTTTCAAGTTAGGCGTAGCTTATCTCAATTTTAAAGGTAATATTTACGGTGAAACTCTTTAGGTATGCAAAAGCTTTTGAAGAGAATCGAATTACGAAGGCAATGATCGGTGATCTGGACAAATCGACGCTGGCCGAATTGGGAGTGAAAGCTGTTGGAGATCAAGTAAGAATCATAAGAAATAAGAAAGCATTGGTAGAAGCTGGGAATGAAATTACACGAAACAACTGTTCCCTTGACTAGTTTGTTTGATTTTAGATTGCGATTTTGCGTCGCATTAAAGATGGCCCTTCGATTCAAACGACTGTAAAAACATTAAAGGTAACTTTATTTATTTGCGACTGACTACAACTTATTTTGTTTGGCCTTTTTTATGTTGAACGCCCTGAAAGTCTTTCAGGTTCGTGTACCCATTACGGGCCCTCCACAAAATCATGCCACGAGCATCTCGTCATCTTCTTCATCCACTGAAGTTATGACAGCATCAGAGGCTCGACGAGGACGACCACCCCCAGATAGGTTTGAATTTTTAAGTTTCATTAACGGTTCAATAAAGTTGGTGCTAATATGAGTTAAACAATGCAATCGCTCTAAAAATGCTTTAGGCAAGAAATCTACCACATCAGAATGCCAACTGGAGCTACTCGCAAAACCCAACAAATTCTTCAAAGAGCAGCAGAAATGCGAAATGCAGGTAGGCATTTTGTTCACATGCATACTACTTAAAGGTATTTAAGAATATTCGTTAATTTATCTAGTCTAGGACTTCTAAAGAGGGCTCATTCTGGAGTGCGCCAGGGAGGCAGACCTGTGAATCCGGTTAGCAAAGATCCATCGGCTCGTCGCCTTGCTCTTCACAATCGATTTATGGAACAAGAAGGTTGTGTTGTTTTGTATCTTGTTGTTTGCGAATGATGTGTCTTATAGAAGTTTCTTCCTCGACCGACAACTTTTCGGAGCGCTTGGGTACACGCGGAATGTATTCTGATAGAGTTCACGGCGGCAGAGTTATGAAAAGGTAGTGCAGACATTTTACTATCAAAAACATGCACATAATAAATTTAGGGAAAAGCCGGGAGAGGAAAAACTGCTTACACGAGCCTTACATTCAGCGGTGACATCAATGCAAAGTATTGAAGCAGGCCCGCGTATTCAAGTACGTCTGCCGTCAAATACTCCGACCTACAGCAAGGTTAGTTTATAATTCTATATTGTAAAAATATTCTAACATATATAAATGTTATGTAACGTACTTTAATGTCTTTTTAGATGAAAGCTACCATTTCCGCTCCTCGTAGCGTTATGAGAATGGGTATTGGCGCCTCAATGATTGCCAAACAACGAAAACAAACAGGCGTGTCCGGAGTAACCATCGCTAAAAAGGTTTCTTTAAGGTGATGAAGAGCTTTAGTTAGTTAAGCTTTAGGCCTCACTTGTTGATCGTGTGAAATTCAAAGGAAATACTACGGTTAAAAGATCCCGCCCTAATGTGAAGGTTAGAAGGAATTAATTTTGATTTTTACTATGATGTTTTTAGATAATGTATGAAGAAGATGACAGTGAAATGACTGAAGGATTGGGTGATCAAAACGAGTATGGATGTCAAGATGTCGATGAGTGGCAAGAGGAAAATGATGAACAATCAATGGATAACGAGGTCAAATTTTTTTCTATAAATGTAAATTATGACGGTTGGCGAGAAAATAGTTGAAGAAGTTTTGTTCAAAGGAAGATTTTGGGTTAAATCCAAAGCTTTTTTATTTGTTAAACGGTTTTAAATAAACGTTTTAGGATGAAATCGACTATGTTGACGAGGGCGAAGAAGCTAATTATGATGACAGAGGACAAACTGGTCGATGCTCAATCTTTGATCGAATTCGAATGTGATCCTCAACCAATGTGCGTCTGTTTTTGCTGATTTTCGAATATATATGGTTCAAGCGTTGAAACTTTTAAGGTTAACGAATGTTATTGATGACCAATGGTTTTGTTACAATCATGCTACTTAATTTGTATTTATAATTTATACAGGTTGTAAACGTCGGAAAATAAATGTGATTTTTACAGCATATCGATTGTGCACCCATTTTTACCCCATTCGAACACGTTGACAAAACCGCATCTATAAATGGAAGATTTTGAAGCAATGACTTTTCCATAATATGTACATAGTCTTGTATAATATGTAATTACCTGGCAATGTGATTGATAGAAGTGTATGGAGCTTTTCCACCCACAGCCCCATCACATGTACCTAAATGTAACAGAACATGTACAGTATGTAAGGAAAACATCTACAAGCAAGATTTTCAGCAAGATTGCTACATATATATTACAAACCCTGATTGATGTTATTTTCCCAACCAACCGATGGGGAGAGGTAGCCCTATAAGAAGGTAAGTCAAATATTTTAACGAGTGATATACCTTCAATTCAAACCATCCGTTGTTTAATTTAGAACAATCGACGAGTAATTCGGCTATCCAATAACCGGCGCCATACTGAATATCGTTTTGAAATTGAGATCTTTTGAAAGTTTGTGTCTTACTTGATTGTATGGTTGATATTCAATGGCTGATGGATCGTTTGTTGAATAGGCAAGAGGCGTTCCGAATGCCTCAATCCCGTCGTGAGTTCCTGAAAATAAAAAAGTTTAAATGAGGTCATTGGGTAGCTTTGAGTAGTAGTGCAAACATGAACTTCTGTAGTAGGCCATACATATGTAGAAAGTTTTACGAATTGTGGTTGTGAGAAGACACGTTAGACCAAAGCTGTTTCAATATAGCTTTTTTGATTACTAACCTTGTTTCTCCTCGGCTCCTTCAAAGTCTAGATAATTGTCCGATTGACTCCATGTGAGATATTCTGTAAAAAAGAATGGAACAGTCGTGTTGTGAACAATCGGAGTAGCACATTGATCCGATGATTGTTGATATGGACCGGGTGAGCAAGCTGAATGGGAAATTGGAGATTGGATTTTGTAGATATGTAAGAAAAGTGATTATTTGATAAGTTGTCGACTTTAATAATCTGTGAGTATTGGTTAAATGGTGCCCACTATTCGTTTTTCCGTTGGTTCCTTTGTTTGCTCCTCCACGAATGAAGAGGTCTTCACCTGGATTGGTCGATCTTTTCAAGAAAATCACCTGAAAATCCAATTTAAAATGGTTTTAAAATGGCAAAAATTTTCTGCGACTTTGAAAATATTGTATGTAAAAACAAAGGTAGCAAAGTGTGACCGTTTTTGTGTATCCGGTTGGAGTTGGATCAGTTGGATGAGGTCCGTCTGAAATTCGAGGTATGTTTGATTGATTGATTGAAATGATTTTCTGGCAAGCACTCACCTACTCGCGATGCCTGAGAAACAGCGACAACTTGATTTCCTTTTATCGTGATCACAGCTTTGCCTGTAATTTGTGTGTATCACGCTTGTGTCTTTTATATACCATCAAATCCAACGGAAACTTTCAGTGATGTGCATTGATTGTTGTCGAGAGCTCCATTGTATTGATCACCTAATTACAAACATATTTTATACAAAAATGCAAACACCTACAGTATTCGCCGGGTGGAAGTGTCGTCTGGAAGGTTCTGAAAGGTTTTTATTGAGTACACAAGCATAAGGTGGTTCATTTGCAACTAACTGTGTCCAATCTCCCGATTGTCCATTGAGGGCAAAGAAAGCAGCACTCTCTCGGGCAAAAGCAATTCGATTACTTTGTGTGACCACTTCGGCTGCAGCTCGGCCCGACGAGACTAAATTTGCCGGACGATGTTTTTATTTTTAATCACCTTGCCTCCTTGCCATTAGAATGGTCATTATCGATTTTTTTTTCAATTAATTAAAGCGAATTATTTTAGATTGGCAACACTTTCTCGTATTCCCCAGAAAACATATTTAATACGCCAATGGAATTAGACTTCTCTCAATAAAAGTTACATATTAACTAATTTAAGACACGCAAAGCAAATTTGGGCAGCTTTTGAAGCGAATCTGAGCAGAAGTTCAAGTTTTTCTGAAAATTCTTTAAACAGACATACAACTAAAGCAATTAGACAAATCGAGCTGAGGATTCAGCTATACTAACTTTTCATGCTCTAACTTTTTTCTATTAGCATCAAAATAGGTTTATGTGGAAGAAAGTGCTCAAATAGCTTCATCGAGTGTTCACCATTTTTGGCTCCTCAACTTTTTGCCCCCTAGAAACCTACAAAACCGAAGTTTTTCTAAATCTGTCAAAAGCCTGTTTTGGAGAATAAATGGGCCTTTTTATTGGTAAAAACTGTAGATTAATTGGTGCACTAGTTATTTGTAAAAAGTGCAATGAATAAGTGCATCAACTTTCAAGTTGCCAATCTAATACATCTTAAAGTTATTTCATCGGAGAGCATAATTATATTATACATAGATAGAAAGAATACGATAATTTTTCTGACTATCAACCTACCCGATCTAAACAGGCTCATTTGTCTGATTGTCGGCCATCGGTGTTCACAGACCCAACCCGAATCCGAATTGCATGTCAGATCAGGGTTGAAAGTTGGAGAACGAGTCTAAAGAGATTTTAAAAAATACGGAATAGACTAAAAATTAGTTTAATTATTCTAGATGCATATGTTTTATGCACTAAATGGAATACAAATTTTACCGCAAATCCACTCCCAGCTCCATTGTTTGGTGGTCCTTGATTGTGATCGTTAAAATAGAAACTGCTCATCACTCGTGGATATCTACAAACATATTTAATTGTAAAGCAAATATTATTTAGCAATGAAAAAGCATTACAGAATGAACTCTGTGACACTATGATATTTATAAAATCTCTTGGCTAACTATTCCGAATGAATTCTCACCCATATGACCAGGCAAGCATGAAAGCGACAGCCATTCGATATTGATCTCCGTTCTTGTATGTTACCTGAAATCAAATGAGAGGGTATTTAAGGCTGTTAAAAGGTTATTTAAGGCTATATATGTAGTCTATTTATACAAACCACATATGGATTATCATCTCGTTGATTGTCGTGGTTATCTGTAATGTATCAGTAAAATTGAGAGAGAAAAGAGAAATAAAATAAAATTCTACTTTCTGTACATTTGTACGATCATAGCTTTGGTTGATTGGTTTTGATGAGGTCAATAGTTATGCTACTTTTTGTGTTTCTTTTGTTTGTTTCTCTTTCTTGTTCTTGTTTAATAAAGTTTAACACCGATCTTTCGACCGTACCAAAAACAAACCAATAAAATTGAGGACATCATGGTCCTCGTAATTACCGTAGCTGTACCCGGGGCCAAGATGTGATAAAGACCTAAAATGGATGGCTTGAAAAAACATAAATCATTAAGGTCAAAAATTGTTAAAAACATTTTATTTCCAAAACTTTCTAACAAACAAGACTTACTGCCAGTTGGCGTATCCCTTGGCGGCATTCGAGACGGCGGCTCCAAAGTTGAAATTTGTGTATCGACCTAATACATAGTTTGACTTTTTAGATTAAATTCGATTTTAAGTTATTAAACGCTAGCAGTTATTACTAACCAATATTCAAATAATCTCCACATGTCACAGCTTCTCCTCCTCGATCAATCACTTCATGTACAGCAAACGGTCTCACATTGGCACCAAAAATCTAAAGAAAAGAGGGTTTTTACATATTTGCAAACAAACATCAGATCGAAGATTCTTTGTCATGTTTAGAATTGGCATCAGATCTCCTGGCCACATATGTTTTGAGGCATCAAATCTGAAAATTGGATGAACACCACCTATCTAGTAACTCAGGTACTAGAAATTTAACCTGAATCCGGCAACGCCCATGTCGATCAATTTGTTCAAATATCCAGCTAGTGAGGTTCGAACAGCTTGATTTCCTTGGTCCAGATCCAACAGTCCAACCAGGCGACAGTTTCTCACCTTAAAATTGAGCAGTGATTGTCAAATTGCTGTAGCATTCCCAATTCAAAACTATGCTTTGAGAATTATTGAGGTATTTAATCTACTGAATGCATACACTTTCGACATTCAGGACTCTAGCTTTTCTCTAGTATTATGTCAACTTTTCGAACTTGGCTTGCCTAAGCTTGCCTAAGCTTGGACCATTTAATTAAAAACTCGCATTTTCAGCACTATTTTGATAATCCGAGTCCTGAATGTCCCGATGACATCGTTGATCGTTAAAGCTTGGTGCAGCATAGGGTACTGAAGGAAATGTCTCAACTCCATCTGTTCCATCAAATGCTGAATTGGCAGTGGAACCTGAATAGCATTGTTTAATTTCTTCTTCTTTTTTCCTTTTTCTTATCACTCACCAACTCCATCAGCTCCTTGTCGTTCTCCCACCCCGACCATATGATTCATCACTGCGTCCACAACAACTCTAAAGTATCTAGTTGTATCATGTTTTTGAAAGTATAGTAGATATAACACCAACCTTACTCCAACTTTATTGCACCGATTAATCATATCTTGTAATTCAGCTTCAGTTCCACTTCTCGAGTCAAGCTTATAGCTCACCGGTTGGTAACGAACCCACCTAAATTGTAAAAATGAGTCCTACCAACCTATTTCCTACATATCTATTTCCTATTTTATTTTTCTACTCACCAAGGCATATCATTGTTTTGGTTGATCGTTATGTGTTCCATTGGAGGTGAAATCTAGAATTGAAAGATGAGAATCGGCCAGCTTTTCTATTAAAACCTGTACTGCTCCATATCCATAGTTTTGCAGGAAATTCTCGCATTCATTTGCTATATCAGTCCATTTCCATTCAAATAGATGTACCATCGTTTGTCGACTTGAGAGTGTATTTGTGCGGTCATACCTAATTGTAAATACAAAACACTGGATATATCTTGCTTTTTGATTTTCAAAGTTCTCTTACCACCAAAATGGTGTATCGTCGGCAATGGCGGGAAGACATTGCCCTAGAATGAGAAGAGACACCAGCAGAAGGTGCATTCTGAATAGAAAATATAGGATTGTTTGAAATGTGTGTTGTAATTTATAATTTATAAATATTTAATCACAAATGGGAAAGTTGAAATCAAAGAAAAATGAAAGCAGATCTGATAGACTTTGACCAAATAACTGCACTGAAAACCACCGACGAAAACCGTTTAGATCTCCCTTATTTTATTGCGCTTCAATAGAATATCTTGCAAAAAACGATGACAAATGTATATGACGAAAAGATGAGCAAAAATTATTTGAACCGAGGCAATTCTTTGGGCGATTGGAGAAAGGCGGAGAAAAGGTTAAATTGTTCTCAAAGAACTTCCGTGAATTCACGTGAATACACGTGAATGGTCAATGCTTCAAAAAGAAATAAACGAAACCTCTTTGTTTGAGTGCAAAAATGAAGGAAAATTTGATGGGCACGTTGCTTCGTTTTTTTGGTCGAAAGATCGACCCTGATAAGGCCTCCTTATGTCATTCTTTTGGATCAGATTTTTTTCAAAGAAATTTCAGCGTCTGTTTATTGACTTGGAAAACTGAACGAGAAAAGATTTGGAACAAAGAACAATTTGGGTCGAGTTGAACTAGAAGAACTAGAGCTTAAAAACTAGAAAGAAAGCAATAGTGAGAGATCACAATGTAGGATTATCAAAAGCACAAAGTTGACAAGGGTTGTTTTTTTTTTGCGGTAAAACAGATCGGATAAGCAATTACAAAGATTCATTAAATGTTTGTTGCAAATATTTTGTGGCTACTACATACAAAACATTTTTCTCGGATTTTCTTTCCTTCATCCAAAACAGATCCAATGAGCACATCCGTAACGATAAAATTCTGAGGTATCATCTGTAAATAGGTTTTTTGCTTCCAAAAAATAAGAAAAATAAGTAACTAACTAAAACAAATAAGTATGTCTTTTTTTAAAAAGCTAATACTGGGTTTTTAACGTAAACGTAAAGGCTAACTGTTTATTCCGACATACTGTAGTGGAACAAGAGGATTTTGCACTAACATCGTCGACTAATTTACTACATTTTGCTACAGTTTGTAAAAGTGTTTTCGAAAAAACGCTTTTCAAACTAATTTTGTGTTGAGCGTTTGAGGCTGTCTTTTGCTTTTTGTGATTTGTACCAGCTACAACTATCACTATTTCAAAGAAACACTCTGTTTTGTAACTTTCATCTCTGTAATCTTGTGTTGCAACAATTCCATTCAAGCATTATTTATTTGCACACGAATCAAACTAAAAGCCTCTCATCAAGTCGAGCAAAAGAACGTTTACTCATTCAATTACCAGAAAGATTTTTTTCAGTGTCACGTTGTTGACGACTTTTGAAAGCTGGAATTTGAATGGACAGATTTGGAAAGCAAGATCTGATTTATGAAATCTCTAGCTATAAGTTTGCTAAATTTAATTCCTGGACTACAAAATGCAAGTTTATTTTCAGTTCAACTTACCCTCTCTCATAGGACGGGCAAATGTTGCTCCTTGAGTTCCCGTTCCGTGAGCTCCCGTTGGAGATCCGCCACCACCAATTTGGCGTTGTTGGCGCGCTAAACCACCACCAATTTGGCGTTGTTGGCGCGCTAAACCACTTATAAAAACGATTAAGCACGTGCTTGTTAGTGCACAAAGTGAATTGAAACTTTTTTTCAGAGTCAATATGCTTCTTAAAGCTTGTGTAATCAAGAAGAGTCAGGACTTACCAGGTGCATCACGTCCTGGACGAGCCAATGCAGCTCCACTCAGTCCCGTTCCGTGTGCTCCCACCTCTCTCTTCTTTCTTCCACCGGCAGCTCCGTAAGCTCCAAGGCCAGCTCCTTGTGCTCCAATACCGGCTCCTTGCGCGCCAATACCGGCCCCTTGCGCGCCAATACCGGCTCCTTGTGCTCCGACTCCCAAATTGCGACGCTGGCGGATTTTGTCTAGAATATGTACTTATAGGATCAAACAAGTTAAAGCTTTTATGTTATTTTTAAAATTCAACATCAAACTCACCAGCTTCTCTCTTCTTTCTTCCACCCGCTCCAACCTGTGCCCCTATTCCAACCTCCCGTTGCTCGAGAACCTTTGTTTCCTCATGTTGCACTTTTTTCTCTAAAAAGCAACTAACTTTTGATCCCTTAATCTTGCATAGATATTTTCAATTCACTCACCAGCCTCTCTCTTTTTTCTTCCACCAGCAGCCATTCTCATATTTGCTGCAGTTCCTCCTCCACCCATGCCAGTCGCCATTCGAGATGAAACACCGGCTCCCGCTGGAAATTGTCGAAGTTGAAGAGTGTGTTTTTATGTCTTGTCAATGTTTGTATGAATGTTGTTGCCTTTTCAGTGATAAAATGCACTAGCAACTTACACATTCCCATATTTGCATTCATAGCGGCTCTTTCTTTCCTCGCAGTTTCAGCTTCTCGTTGCAAGCGTCCTTTTTGACTATCTGGAATTGGCTTATATTTTTATTCTCATCTATGCGAGGCACTTGGCGAAAGCCATCCATGAATCTCGCGATTCAATCGGGCACTCTCGGTTTGGCCAGAATTTTTAAAACATGCTATGTATGTACAGAGGAGATAAATCTCGGAGTACAGTCAATGTAAGATGGACGGGTTATGATTATTAGCTTTAAATTTATTTAGAGTTTTTTCAGTTATAGTATTTATAGAGATTTTAAAAAAAGCTCACCAGCTGTTTCCATGGCTTCGCGTTCTTGGCGAATATCGGCTTGACCTGAAATTTTTGGTTAAAGCGATGTTCATCTCTTTGATTCTTTTCGTTTTCTCCTCTTTTTCACACCTTGTCCCGTTCCCGGTCCTCTCTCCATTTTTTCGTCACGTTGTTGACGGTTTTTGAACACTATTTAATTTTTAATGGTTTTAAATCAGTTGTGAGTAGTTTTTAAGGCTTATACAAATTCTTAGGAAGTATCTGCAATTCACCTTTAGCTCCAACTTCGCGTTGTTGACGGGATTTCTCAGCTTCCCTCTGTTGACGCTGTTGTCCCTGGAGATCTCGTTGCTGGATTTTACCTGAAATGATAAAATTCATTTTTTTGTTGCATTATATTGATCTACACATCATTTTTTATCCAAACCTCCTTGATCTCCGGTCTCTCTTTGTTGCCGAGTCTTAGCTTCTTCAGCATCACGTTGCTGTCTTAGTTTCTCGGCTTCTCGTTGTTGGCGGGGCTTTTCAGCTTCACGTTCAACTAAAATTTCTATCTTGACTGGTAAAAACGGTCATGAAGACAAATTTTAAGACGATGCAAGACTGATGCAAGACTTGATAAATTCACAAAGCCTTTCTTATTATTCTCTACATAAAGAGATGAAAATATCAACTTACCGCGTTTTGCTCCGGCTTCTCGTTGTTGACGAGTTTTTGCCTCTTCAGTCTCTCGTTGTTGACGAGTTTTTGCCTCTTCAGCCCCTCGTTGTTGACGAGTTTTTGCCTCTTCAGCCCCTCGTTGTTGACGAGTTTTTGCCTCTTCAGCCCCTCGTTGTTGACGAGTTTTTGCCTCTTCAGCCCCTCGTTGTTGACGAGTTTTTGCCTCTTCAGCCCCTCGTTGTTGACGAGTTTTTGCCTCTTCAGTCTCTCGTTGTTGTCGCGGTTTCTCAGCTTCGCGCTCCACTAAAACAATATTTTAAAAACAATTCACAAAGACGCAGACACATTTCTGTTGTTAACTTACCGCGTTTTGCTCCTTCTTCAGTCTCTCGTTGTTGTCTCAGTTTCTCGGCTTCTCGCTCCACTAAAATTATCCTTTAACTTGGTTTAGAAAACCTTGTCATCCAAGACTTTATAATAGACAACTTACTGCGTTTTGCTTCGATCTCTCTTTGTTGCCGAGTCTTAGCTTCTTCAGTTTCACGTTGCTGTCTTGGTTTCTCGGCTTCTCGTTGTTGACGGAGCTTTTCAGCATCACGCTCAACTAAAATTTCTATCTTGATTGGATGATCTATAAGGTGATCAGAAAAACAAAGACTACTGTTACTAAACAACTGACAACGTTTTGCTTCAATTTTAAGGAAAAGAATTAAGACTTAAGCTTTTTACAGTCATTTTCTGAAACCTCTTAGTTCTCTTTGTGCTCCGCCAGTTTCTCTTTGTTGTCTTCCACTTTCTTCTCCAATTCCCCTTTGTTGTCGATTTCCCTGTTCTTCAACTTCTCTCTTTTGTTGACTTTGGAACGATTTCCCAGCATCGCCTGAATTAGAAATTTTAGTATATAAATTTCCTTAAGAAGCAAGCTATAACTGCAACAACAAAGTAAAGGTAGAATAAAAAAAACTTGAAACAAACCGGCTTCGCGCGAGTCCCGATGTCCGAGCCCAATATCGCGCTCCACACGGTCGTTCAATCCTGGAAGTCAAACTTTGGTTTGTTAGCTAGCAAGTTAAATAGTTTTTGATTGTATATTTCAAGTTTAACTCAATAATCTTACTATTTCTTTTTCTAAATCTTTTACGGAACTCACCACGTTCATGACGGATGTTATCTTCGCGTTTCTCAAGAGAGAGATCGCGGTCAGTTCGACGCGCTAAACAAAGTTTGATTTTTATAACAACCAATATATTATGTTATTAATGCTATAAACACAAAACCCACCATTGGCCAAGCAGCCACTCACAAAAAGAACGAGAATTAAAATCTTCATCTCAGCCTTATTGAATGCCAGTAGCCTTCCCCTTAAATACCCCGAATTCAGCCATGTTTTCGCCAAAGCCCCTCCATTTTTTCGAGGTCATCAGAGTGCATTTTAGAGTATCATCATGTAAACTTTTTCCCCAATCAAATCCACAAACATTTTTTCTCAACAAAGATCTGAGATTTGGGGATAAGAAAGTACTGTTGTTTTTGTTTGCAAGAATGGTCATTGAGGATCCTTTTGTGAAGAAAGGGAAAAAAGAGAAAAGAATTTCCGAGAAGTTAAAGGGTATCCTTTTTGGTGAACAACAAAAAGAGAGATTTGGGATTTTCGTTGAAATATTCATCCGGATATTTTCTTGTTTATGTTAAGTTCTTCCAAAGTGATTGGGGCCTCAAATGAATCTCGTTTCTCAAGGTCGAAAAATGGGAAACGCCTCAAAAATGAATAAACGGATAATGAAAAATTTATTTTCAGAAATAGTACATCAATGAGCAAAATTGTTTTGTTTTAGAAGTGCTATATGCAAAAAATGGAATAAGGTTGTAGTTGTAAGAGTATTATTGTTGAATCGGATCAACTTCAACAGATCGTTCTTCATCAAGTTGAGCTATTGAAGCTTTATTTTGATGCTTAAGCATCTTTACTTGATTTTATCATGCACTTTGTGTTTACAAGTGGAAACACATCCTTTCTCAACTCTTCATTTTTCTTAAATCAAATAATTTGTTTGAATAAATGATGAGTGCACCAGAAAGAGCTTACCACTTGCTTAGACATTTCTACAAGATTTTCAATGTTCAATGTTCGATCTTTCCAATTTTTCAAAAACCGCCTACAACGCTAGATTCAAGGTCACTTCAGTGGTCATTTTGAGAGAAAATGGAGATCTTTTTATTTCTCACGTATTGTTGTTTAGTTCCCATTTTCTCTCATTTTTTGTTACCATAATAGTTACTTTTGGATTCTTACAGTAACCTCCTTGGTCAGCAATTAATGAGAAAAACCCACGAATTTTTATTATCATTTTGTGCTGTATTACACGAATCTTACTTTTGAGCAAATAAATGTATTTAACTGAGAATCAAAACACATTCCATAGTTTATCGAAGACCGGTTTTTTCTCTTTCAACAAAGTGCAATCTAGTTAAGCGAATCCTTCCAAACAAACAAAAATAAGCCAATTTTCAAGGATTTCAACAAAACACATTTTGATAACAACCAAAAAAGATATGAATGTGAGATTTGGTATCTGCAAATTAGTTGAAAATCAGCATTTTATTTTCTTCCGTTCAATTTTCAGTTTACGACTCCATGGATAATAACTGTTGAGAGAGACTCCCCCTGAATATAAAAGTTGATAACAAAAAATTGAGGAAAATTCGTAAACAGTTTTGCAATGTCCGTAGAGGTACTTCCACTCTACTTTTACGGTCAGTGAATATCCCGATTCCCTTTGGAAAGCTCTACATAAATGCTCTTTAGAACTATTACAAGTAATGACATTGAGTATTAGTGCAACTTACAAAACTACCCTTGTTAGCGCAATTTTACATAGAAAAAAATATCGTGTTTCTAAAAGGTTCTAAAAGATGTACGTCTTCCCGAAATACATGCAAACACTTGTTCTTACATTCATGGGGTCTTCCAAATTGATCAACTCCTGTGTATTTCTTTTTTGGTTGAACACCCGGATTACTCCATGGGGATTGATGTCCGCCAAGTGTCGTGTGAACACCTAAAATTGAGGAATGAGTTTGATCGAATAATTACGTTTTAAATTTACCGGCCCAAATTCCTCCTAATTTATGCGGTCCCCATAAATGTCGAGGCCTCGGTTCGGGAATATCGGAAAGACATAAAAATTAAATTGATTGACGGAACGAATAATACATTGGTTAGCTCTACTTTTTATGCTTTAGTACACTTCAAGCGTCAAAATGTTAATCATTATATTACATTGAGTGAAGACAAAGTGAATAACAACAATCATCCCTTTCTGACCTTGAAGTTGAACGACTTTAATAAAGGAAAAGAAAAAGAAATACAACTTTACAACTATTACAAGCAATGACATATCGAAATATTGTGAAAATGATTTTGATTTGTTTGATAGAGCAAAAGAGCAATTTCTTTCGGATCTTATGGACAAAAAAATGGGTCAACGATTGAAAAAAGGAAATCATAAATAGGGAAAGTTGTGGCAATATTTCTGTGAATATTCTTTAGGTACGCTCCGATAATTGGAAAAAGCAAAATTCAGTTAAAAAAACACAAAGTTGTGTCTTTTTCTTCCTTTATTTAATGGGATTTTTCGATGGGAAATTTCCCACAAACCAATTTTCCCTCAATACCCATTTTGTAGGAAGAAAGAAATCTTGAAAAAAATTCATTCTCAATGAAATGTCAAATGAAAGCATCATTTCGTCAACAATTTTACCTTTGCAAAACGAGGGTTGTTATTGGGAAACAACTTTTATATTCAGGTAAACTAGGAACGATAGAATTTGAAAACATATTCCAGACTGATTCCTTCTATTTTTTATGCTATTTCCTCGTTGGATTTTTCTCTTCTTTTCTTCATTCATTTTCGCAAATTCTCCACTTTCCATCCGTCGTTTGCGTGAGTTTTAAAACCGTACTGCTTTTCAAGAACAAAAATCAAAAAGTAATCTAAAACTATTGTAATTGTGAATTGAGATTTCTTTTTTCTCTAATCATCGCAACATATTCAATCTGTGCGGGCCTTTCTTCTTGTCAATTATTTCTTTCGATATTCAATCAATTCAACAGTCCCACTCTAAATATCATTGCCGATTTCTCATACAAGTGAGTTGAAACTCTCAAATTTCAAAATAAGCTGCTGAAAAAAATTGAGCTGGTCCCTAAGTCAAAATCTTTTCCCAGCCATACAAGAGTCTAATTTCCTTTTTGTATCTGATATGTGAAGAATTTCGTGTGAGTTTTATCTCAAAAGTACCTAAATAGAAAAGCGAAAAGGATAAACGCTTAGTGATCGTTTGGCGATGAGAAAGTGATCGTTTAGCTTTGTTTTTTTTCGTTCAACCTAGGGTTGCAAAAAACACTCGTTTATGTAAAAAATATCGAAAAAAAATGTTTAAGGTCCAAGTGCAAAAACACTGATAATCTTGGCATAGACTAAGCTTATTTTACTTTCTAGAATATCATCAATTTTCAGTATAATTTCCCCACTTGGTCTTTCGATTGTGATCGAGCGAATTGTGGCCACATTTTTTGTTGAAAAGTACGAACAAATCAAACCATATCCTGCTTTGATCATTACTGTGTGTATTTCGGTAAGTTAAACTTTAGCACATCAAAAAAAACTTACCAATTTAGTTTGGGTTTGGAGGGATTTTGATCGTCGTGAACTTGGGTAAGTCGGTAATTCCTTTAAAAAAGAAAATATTCAGGTGACGAGCTCTCATTTGTTTTGTTTGGTTTATCCGTTGGCGATTTATTTGTTTGTTTTAGACGTGAATGCTAAATTTTCCAATTCCTAGATCCTTTGTGGACTGCTGTATTTAAATCGATTCAATATCCGACGCTGTAATTCAAATGTTTTATCGAGGAAATACCAATTGACAGAGAATATTCGAATTGTAAGTAAAGTTTGGTGTAGTGAAGGAAAGTTGGCACTGTTGGAAGTAATAATGAAATCTAGCTCCGAATCTTGATTCCATTGACTCTTCTCGACAATTGTGTAACCATTACCGATTTTATCACCGAACAATTCTTTAATGTTAATTATATTTTTGATCCAAAGCAATGTCATCGCAAAGATTATATAATTTTATTTATAGTTTTAAGACCGGTGAGTTCATTTCACAGAGTGCTGCTCTAAATGACTCAATATTTTAGTGGTCAATCCTTTTTGAGCTTCTCATTCCATTAACAATTATCTGTCGACATCCAGTTTATCGCAGGACATTTCTTGATATGATTTATGGTCAAAAAAGGCGAAAACAAAGCAAAATTGTGGATATTGTACAGAAAAAGATTATGAAAAATGTATTGGGAGAAAAGGTTTGAATTGAAATAGAATTGTACAAGTAGTTTGCTGCAATTTGCAGGATTTACCGGAGCTGACAATAATGTCGTTGTTTTTTGTGATTAAAGATTAATAGATGAACGATTAATAGACGATTTGTGATTAAAGATTAATAGACGAAGATTTTGAGCGAATAGAGGCAATTTAAACCAATATATTTAACAAAAAAGTATAATATATACCTATTTATGTTTAGGTGATGATGGGCAATGATTCTCAACAAGTCTTTCATACAATGATGAAAATGTGGGATATGACAGAAGAAAGAATTCGATGACAATTGATAAGATCTAACTGATAAAACAATAAACATTTCTATTTTTTCCCCTTAATTTCCCCATTCACTCCTTTTCAACGTTCAACTCGAAATCATTCTCAATTCTCGTTGTCAAGGTCCAAAAAAGAGAAAACCCCATAAACAAAAAGCTTAAATCCCTTTTGAGCATCGGAATCAATATTTTGAAAACCATTAGGAGACTTTTTGACTTTTCCCCTGATATCATTTTTGAGTTGAATATTTCAGAATTTTCATGAATTTCCTGTCAAAGTTTCAAATTTTACTTTTCAATTCGTTTTCTTGGTCATGTTTGATGACGAAAGCATTGAATCGCTAAAGATTTCAATGGGACAATAAAAAAAAACAAAGTTTTGTGATTCGGAAATGCTTTGTAGGTGGTGAGTAATTCGATTTGAAGAAACGGAAACGAAACGAACTGTGAAACGATCAAGAAAGCGATCATTCACTCGCTCAATTCCGATCAGTTTCCTCCATCAAATTCACCTCATTTTCTTCACTCAATTTTTCTGTGATTTCATGGGATGATCATTCATTTTCCAATTGTCAAGAAGATAGCCTATCTATTCTTTTTAGCATGTAAGCTCTTTTGCACAAGTACTACTGTTGTACTATCATAAAATGCAATGTTTCAACAAAACTCATTTCGGTAGCATAATCCAAAAAGCTCATCAGAAAGTGGTAGTAAAAACGATATAAAGCCGATTTAAAACAACTTTTATAGAATTAAATACTTGATTATGTTACAAGCAAAATAAAATAAAATTTGAACAACTCAAAAACAAAATTTTTAGATTGTGTAATTTGGTTTCGCGTCGTTGAGTGGGAAAAAATCATCCAATTATCGCAAGGTTCTGGTAAGAACGTGATACGGTTCAACGATCGAAGAATTTATTTTGATTATCTTCATTTACCTTCACCGGAGACTTGTAAATTGTAAGTAAACGTGTTAATTGACAAAAACTCATTTCAAAATCGATTATTTGCAGCGCTCCATTTCTCGTAGCTGTTGTCCTGTCAGCACCGGAAGATTGGGAGATTCGAGACGCAATTCGATCCAATTGGGCGTCTGGGAATTACTCCGATAAAATTGGGGTAATTTTTGCTAACAAAGCTAAGTCATTATGCTAGTTATGTTTTCACAATCTTTATAGGAAGGAGACGTAGAAGTTGTTTTCATTCTCTCACAACCAACAAAAAGCGATAAAGAAATGGTGCGAGTCGAGGCTGAGAGATTTGGTGATTTGATAGTCACAAACCTTGCCGAAACATACGATAATTTGTTGTATAAGGTAAGATTCCTTCATGATACCTACTTGAATACCGTTTTTTCTAGGTATACGCTCTATTTCATTGGCAGCACCATCATTGTCCATCGGCTAAATATTTGCTCAAAGTCGATCAAGATGTCATTGTCAATTTTGATCGACTTATTTCGTTTTTACCAGGGGTTCATTTGAATTGGCCATTTTGGAAAAATGAGTCTTTAGATCCCTCCTCAATTTCCTCAAATGTATTGTAAAACATGGGTGAGATCGATGCCGAAAAGGGATTCAAATAGTAAATGGTAAAGTAAAGAAAAAGATATAAGTAGAGAGTTGGCAAAATCTTAAGGAATCTTTTAATCAAACGTTTAAAACCTAAAGTTTAACTCCAGGTTTGTGGCCGGTTCTCAATGGAAGCGGAAATTTTTCCCCGTTTACTGTGATGGCCCTGCATATGTTCTATCCACAAATGGAGTTGGATCATTGTTAGGTAAGAAAAATGAACACAGTGAGCTTTACAAAGCTCAATAAACGATTCCACAGTAGTATCAAGTCTATATTTTTTTTCAGAAGCCATTTCAATGTTTCCACCAATTTTCATTGAGGATGTCTTTTACACAGGAATTGTTGCTGAGAGGTTGAGAATACGAAGAAATGCAATGAATAAAGTGTTTCATCATACAAGAAGGGTCTGCTATTCATTTGAAAAAGGTCAATAAATACTCAGGATCTTGAACGGGGAATTGCCTCGTGTAATCTTGCGGGAATTCCTCTTATTGCAGCTGTTCATCCCGTAAAAGGAGTACAGAAAATCATTGAAGGTTTTGTGAAGAAATTATTGATGAAATTTACAAGGAAATTTTCAGATTCAATAACAATGAAGAAACTTAAATGCAGAAATGGATTGAGTGCAGTTCTGAAGAGGTATCTCCCTGATCGGCCAATCTATCCACCACCAATCGATTTACCCATTTTTGATCGAAAATTGAAAAAGGTTTGGGAAAAGCTTAATATTAGATAATCAAAAATAATCAACTTCAGATAAACTCGCGTCTCATTGCTCAACAACACGATCTAACAAAAAAACCGTAGAGTAGATCGATGTGATTAATGTGGTGCATTGATTGTCCGATAAATTACTTAATTTTTGTTTGTGTTGCAATGGTTATAATTTACAAGTATGTTGGTGAGCTAAAACTTTTGCTGTTGGTGAGCTAAAAACTAAACTCACTCACCAACAAGTATGTTGGTGAGTCAAAGCTAAAACTTTTTCTTTTTTCTGAACTCTTCAATTTCTGCAATCGGATAGTCAAGAATGGTGTCAAATGCCAATGGCGGACCCCGATCTCGTGTCAATTTTTTTCAACCAGAAAAGAAGAGAAAAGTATGTCAATTGGAACAGATAGGAAAAGAAATGGTCTGTTCAAAAGTCATTCTTTGCTTTTTTTAACATTATCATTCGAATCTATTCTTCTTTTTTGAAAATTTCTAAACGCTTTAAGTTCCCGAACGCCCAAAAACATTTCGAAATTGAAACCGAAAAAAGAAATAGCAAAAAAATTTGGGAATTCTTTTCTATGCATCAAAAGAGGATTTTGATTTTCTGTTTGCTGTTCGGATAGACTTACACCTCGTTTTCACACACTTGCATCTTGTAGAAAAAATAAAAGGAATAGAAAAGAAGAAAAAGAGGAATTATCTGAATGCGGGAAACGAGAGTAGGATATTCAATAAGTTCAATTCAATCTTTGACGAAATTTTGTTTTCATTTCGACTTAATAGTAAATTTCCTTACATTATTCTCCAATTTTTCTCACTTCTTCCATTTCCCATTCATTTTTTCCCCTTTCATCAGCTGTTAACAGCTTAAAGACCGTGCGCAAATTTACTTGAGTGCTTTTTGTTAAAAGTCGAAAGTTTTTTTGCCAAAAGCATTTGTGTTCTCTATCTTTCCCTTTTCCCGCCTTTTCTCTTTTTTTTTCAAATTGGACATTCCGTATATTTCTGGAGAGTCTTTTGATGTTTTTGAGGAGAATCGACCAATCGGGTCAATGATTCACACTTATGGAAATTTAAGGGGAACTGTCCTTTTCATTGATTGACTGATTGATATTCATTGCCTTTCTTTTTTATTTTTTATTTTTTTCATAAAACACTTGACTAAAGCTGATCTACTTTTTGATTCCAATTTTTTGCAGAGAGCTGTTGAAAGGCTGCAGAGAGCAGACAACAGCCTTTCATCAAGTAATTACAAGTGATGAAAGTGTGATGATTTGGTAGAAAAAGAAAAGAAGAGAATATTTGGAGATGAGAGGACATTCATGAAAAGGAAAGAGAGGGAAAGGAAGATGGGATGTGTAGAACAGTGAGAAGACAAATAGAAATCACTGACAGACACATAAAGTGAAGGATAGATCTCATTGGATGGACAGTTCTGAAAGAAAAGGAGATGTTGAATGGACATAACCGGGTAGTTTCATACTTAAAAATGATTTGATACTATTCTTTTATCAGCCTGCGATTATACAAATTCAAAATGATTATAACGCTGCATTTGACTTTTTTTTGCACTAGAGCTCCCTACTTGAACTTGTGTAAAATCATTAAGAAGAGTATTTATCTTTCCTTCTATTTTCAATTATTATGTTTTCTTTGCTTTCTGAAACATAACTTTATAAATTCTTTCAGTTCAATAAATCATGGGCTACACCAAATCTCGAAGCCAATCTCGTAATGGCCATTCATCGAGAGCTTCAACTCTTGAGACAAAGGATCGACTCAAATTGGATCCGTTAATGGTTAGTGATTGTATGAATTAGGCAAACCAAACTAGATAAATACACTACTGGACAATGAAATATCATATTTGAAAAAAGATCGTCACTTTCGCGCGCCTGTAACTCCCTTGTCTTTATAGTATTTCTAAATATTAATATTACCATTGTGTAGCCCTTGAAAAGAGCTTTCAGAAAATGTATAACACTAATAGTTTAAACTCAAAGACAAGGGAGTTACAGACGCGCGAAAGTGGCAATCGTTTTCCAAATATGATATTTCATTGTCCAGTAGTGTACATAAAGATTATCATATGTTTAGCATCATCGTCAAATTTTTGTTCTCTCATTGAGGCGATCATTGAATCCCCAAGGAAATTGCAATTGGTCTGATGTGAGTTCAGTATCGTATCACATTATTTCTTCTAACGAAAACTAAAAGATTTATCGCTTTTCACTCATATAAAAGACATAAGAATAAGACATTAAAGGTGAGACATCATTACAAAAAAGCTTCGGGAAGGGCTTTGAATGGAGAAGAATTGAATTGGATTGTGAAAGCTGCCGGCAAAACAAGGTAGGTTTTGAGAGTCATAAAAGTTATCCAGTATTTGACTAACAATAATTAATGCCAACTTACTTTTAGAATGGATATTTTCCAAGGGGAACTCTCAACTCTCCTCCGAGTTGTCGACGCACAGGGAAATGTAAAGAAAACAGCTTCTCACCGTTCAAAACAAGCGTTTAGGTTATTTGCCCGGATCTCAAGAATTCGGCTCTCTTTGTCAATCCGAAGAACCAGAAAGTAAAAGTGACAAATCAATTAGAAGTTGAAGATGTTAATGATGGTTTGTGGAATGGAATGCACTTTTCGATGAATCTTTTTCAGATACTCCATCAATTTCCGAGATTTCCCCGAATCCATCGTTGGAATCTGGTGAGATTTTAATATCTTAATGTAAAATAAAAATTATATAAATTCTAGAAACCTGTGAGGAAATAGATGTTGTTGGCGGGATTGAGGGACCCGAATCAAGTGGAGATTCGGCAATTCAATCAGGAAGTGAAGATGGAAATTCTATTGATAAAGAACCGTTCATTCAGGTACGGAGTCGAAAAAGAAAGATTAGTAACAAACAAATTTAGATAACAGTCGATGCTCCCCAGGAAGAAATTCAAGGAAATGTTGTTGAAGTAAGCTTTATAAAGCTAAAAAGCTGCTTAAAGACATTTATTCGAAAGACACTAATTGCAATATTCATTTGTTTTAGATGCAGGTAAACTTGAAGAATGAGAATGAGGCAGAATATAAAGTGGAATGTGTGAATGTTGAAAGGGAAATCGAAATTGGAGGGACAGAAATGGAAGAAACAGAAAATGAAGAGGTTAGAGTGAATTTCAAGCAAGATTTTAGCAGATACAAGACTCTAAAAAATTGAAAGCTACAACTCTAACAATAAGAATAGCAAAATATTTGTTTTAGATTGTTGTTGAAATCGAAGCAAATGCTGTAGAAAAGTCTCTTTCAACTGATCACGAAATTGCCGAAAAGATTGAATATGCAGATACTTTTGAGGCAAAATCACAACCAATTGATTTCATAGAAAGATCAGATCATATCATAAATGACAATGTTGTTGATATCGTTGAGAAAGAGGATTCGGACTCAATCGAATCGGAAATCATAAAAATTCCGATTGAAGTTGTAAAAGTTGAGAATGAAGAGAATGGAAAAGGGATTGATAAAGAGATTGAGAAGAAATATTTCGATGGATATCTCGATTTACCCGTGGTTCACGCTTCGCCGGCTGTTGTGATCGAAGAAAACGAGATTTCTGAAGACAAACAACAAGCTGACTATAAGGAAATCCCATCCATTCCAATCGAAACTATTGAAGATGAGATAAAAGTGATCACTCAGGAATCAGAAGAATACTTTGGGAAAGCGGTGGTGAAAGAAAAGTTGGCTGAAGATTTCCCGGAGAACAATTTGTCCGAAGAAGTTTTTGAAGAATTCGTTAAAATCTATGAACAACAAGAGAAAAATAAAATGGAATTGAAAGAAGTTCAGTGGATTGCGGAACAATTGAAAAAGGTTTGGAAACTAAAATAAAAACAATGTAGATCAAGGAGCTTTATAGGAATTTGAGCGTTGTCTCTCTCCAGTGTCCTTATCGAATCTCGAAAAAAATGATGACAAGTTTTCAGGTATTTCGTAAATTGTACATATTTTAAATCCAATGGTAAGAAGGATGATATTTTAACGTTTAAATGCTAAAGACATTCAATGAGAGCATTTTCAGAAACAGATGTCTCTTTGATTGTTTGCACCACACCAAGCACACTGGAAAATGCTTCGGAGGTGAGTAAAATATCATTTTAAGTAATTAGAAGGACTTTGCATTGGTATAGCAATTCCAGGCGGAGTCAGCTCATAAATTGGATATCCTTTCGCCTACTCGTGAATTACCTTCAATCGAGCTTGAGCTTGATCCAGGAGTACAATTGCCCGAAAAGAAATCTAGAAAAGCCAAACGAGTTGAAAGAGTGAGTTATTCTTTTGATCTCAAGAATGATTCCAATCCAAAATTTTGAACATCTCATCAATTTGTGTTCAAAGCACAGAATCACAGCCAAATTTTTATTTCAGGCCAAATCTCCTCGCCATAGATGCGCAATTCTCTGATGGAAATGATCATGAATTGGGAAACTGAACTAATAGTGGCTTTTTCTCCTTTCTTGGTTTATTTCTGTTTTATTAATTTTGCTAAACTGATCTCATCGTGTTTTTTATTTTATTTTTACATTTATCAAACTTTTCTTTCCTTTTTCTTCATGAAGAAATTGGGAATATTCACTTTAGCGAACGAACTCTTTATCAGCGGTCTTTTCTTGGTCATTATCTTCAAGGTTCTTGTTGCAATAAAGTTTTTGAAACTAAACGTAGCAAAGAAACAAAACGTAAATAAGGTTTATCAATATGTGTTCCTGGTTACGAAATACCTATTCAGATGTGTCATTGTTATTTTCGGATTATAGTGGCTATAGAGCAGCAGAATGAGTTCGGATAAAAGAGAAAAAGAGACGAAAAGGGACAAATATTGGGACCAGATGTGCAAGAAAGAAAAAGAAAAGAGGAGAAAGAGAAGAGGGAAGTGGGAAAAGGGATTGATCCATGAGTCCCTTTTCCTTTTTCCAGTTAAATGGGACTAGGGTCCTTTCTCCATTCCCGTCTCTTTTCACTCTCCATTTGCCCAATCTTTCCCCCATTTTCTTTTCCTTTCCTTTCACAACACCCTTCCCCAATTCTTTTTTTTTCTTCTTAAAGTACCGATCCAAGGTTGAAGAGTTTTCCAAACGTTTTTCCACCGTTTTTCCGGGTTCTTTTTGAGGGTTTTTCCTCAATTTTTTTTCCGTTTGTTGACCCGTTGAGTGAAACGGTTTTCTTTGCGGTGTGAGCAAAATAAACATGATTTGAGAGCGATTCTGTAATGATCCGATTTGTCGATTTGATGGATTTTGAAGGAAATGACTAATTTATTGCTTGTCTCTAGAAAGTTTTGGTATTGACGTAGTGACTTCCAATCTTGTAGCAAGTTATTATTAAAGTCATGAACTAATTTGCTAAACTTTTTCTAGACATCCATCTCCTGCAACCTTTCAAATTCTCGTGTCATTTCATTGTTTATCAAAAAGATTTTCATTCGAGGCTTTCCACCTTCACTTCTTTGTCTTTTCCCTTTTCAAAACAGATCAAAATGTCTTGTCAATATTTGTGGAGTCAAAAGAAAACCCTTTCAAAACTTCAACAACACATGTTTACCATTTGTTACTAAACTTTAAAAGTCAACGTTAAAAAAGAAAAAAACTTGGCAAAAGTTTCCCCTTTTAAATCCTTTTGTGGCGATTGTGATTCATTTTTTCTCGTTTTTTGAATCAAAAAGTCGTTTTTAGCATTTGTACAGCTTTTTTGTCAAATCGAGATTAAAAATGGCTGTTACGTGATCGATTTTGAAAATTCTCCATGATTTCCATTTAAAAGGAAAGCAGATCGATCTATATTCTTTATCTTTATTTGCTTTTGTGTCTCAAAACTATCAAAGAGGGTAACCATGGTGTTGGCTGCTGTCCTCTCGATGCTCAGGTTTTGTCTACTTTCTGAGAAAGGGAAAAATTGGGTTGTAAAAGATCGTGAACTATTGGTAGCATAGGTTTTTAGGAAATAAAATGACAAATTTTAATCATAATCAACAAGATAGAGTAATCAAGCAACTCAATAACAGTACCATTTTCAGATATGTGAGCTTCACAGACGATCGAGATTTTGTTGATCGTCTCCACTCATATTTCACCTGCAATATTCTCATTGGCTTGAGTATTTTAGTCAGCTTTAAGGTATGAAACGATCAAATAGGAAAGATAGCAAAAAAGTTTAGCAATTCGGTGGTAAACCAGTGGAATGTCTTGTGCCTGATATGTTTAGTTCTTCCTGGGAACAAGTAAGGAAAAAGAAAAATTGAAAGACAAATAAAGTTGGTTCTAGTACGCGGAAAACTATTGCTGGGCACAGGATACTTATTTTGTACCAATCGAGAAACATGTATCAACCTTGGATGGAAATGAAAAAAGACAAAGCAGAATCAGTTATTATCAGGTTGATTGAGAATTTAGTTAGTTAATCATTTAGTTGTATTTCATTTACAAATGTCATTCTTATAATCTCAGCATCGTTTTCAGTGGGTTCCATTTTTCCTTCTTGTCGAAGCATCGTTTTTTCGTCTTCCCTCAATTCTTTGGCGTTATATGGGAAGTCATTCGGGTATGAATTTTTGAGAATCTTTCAAAGAAAAGATAAATTTTAGGGATAAAGATCCACGAGATTGTGAAATTGACATCAGATCCAAATAATATAAAGCCAGAGATAAAACGATCGAATCTCAAAGCTTTAACAAATCATTTACAGGTAAGATTTTTTTGAAAATTGTCATTTCTAATGGTAAGATAAAGGTGTTCACAACATTAGATCTAAAAAAATATCAAAATTATGTGTAAAAACTTTAGGGTGCTCTCCGTTTTCATCGACGATTACATAAACGACAAGTTCGACCTCATAAGTGAGTTGGATAACTTCTCCGATCTCCAATTTACCGATTCAAGATCAAGATCAAAATTTTTCAGATTTTTGGCCATTTTCAACCTTCCATATTCGGCATTTTTTGTTACTTCAGTCTACATAATCACCAAATTTTTCTATTTGGCCAATGTGTGCTTTCAACTTTTCTTGATGAATAGGTTTGGGCTAGATTTTTTTTCTGATTAAATTTCCTAAATCGATTTAGCTTTCTGGAAACGGACAGATATCGATGGTATGGATTTGAGGCAATTATGGATTTATTGGATGGGAGAACATGGGAACAAAGTGGAATGTTCCCGAGAGTTTCGCTATGCGATTTTGATGTAAGTTGGGCAAGTTAAACTAAAACAAAGTGTGAGAATAAACTAGATCCGATTAAAACTTTCCAGGTTCGAGTGATGGGAAACATTCAAGAACACACAATTCAATGTGTACTCGTAATTAACATACTCAACGAAAAGATGTTCATCTTTCTTTGGTTTTGGTAAGTTATCAAATTGTTCATCTTAATTTTAAATTCAAATTCATTCAGGTACTGCATGTTGGTTGTGTTCACTCTTGGCTCATTTCTCTATTGGTTATTTGTGGCCATCGCACCTTCGGTTTGTCCTTTAAATTCACTGGAATAACTTTCCAACTTTAAAAGCTTAACCCAATTCCCGATGTTTACAAGAGAATGGTCTCAGCTCGCCAAAGCCCATTGACTCGGGACCGAGTAGACTTTATAGAATCGACCACGTTGATCACGCTGATCACACCAGCTGATATTTAACCGCCGAATAAAAAGCTTTGTAAAGGGATGCCAAATATCTCGCGTTTGCGTGGTTGTTAGCTGCAAATTTTTACGGCATCATGATCAGCGTGGTCGATTCTATAAGCTCTACTCGGTCCTGAATCAATCGGTTTTGGCGAGCTGAGACCATTCCTTTATTAGATGAGTGAACGTTTTGTGAGTCGTCATTTGGAGATGGCTGATGTACCATTTGATCCCATCGGTAAGTTCAAAATAAATTTACAGATTTTATTTTGATCTTTAAATATTCAAATCGTAACAAGTCTTCCATTTTAGAGTCAAAAAAAGATGTCGAGCGTTTCATTGATACATATCTTCGATCAGACGGAGTATTTGTCATTCGAATGATCACTTTACAATCGGGAGTGATATTTGGGACTGAATTGGTAAAGGAAATAAGTGAAGAAGTATACTTTTGTGTTAGGTTGCCGAACTGTGGAGATCATTTATGGGAGAACCAACGGGTGGAGTGAAAAGATCGGGAAGTGTTCCACATGTGTTATCGGATAAAGAATTAGCGTGGGCTCCACCAGGTACAGTAACTATTTCAATAGAGGGTCATTCTCTGATTGATACCCTTCTTAAAGATTTCATTTTGTTTCGATTCCATTTCAGAAGTTGACACTGAAGCAAACAAGCTACGATTGAGAAAAGCTTTGGAACAAAATCCAAAGGAAACCGAAGCACGACAACTTCTCGTTCATCAGCCAAATTGGTAAAAAAAAGTTGAAAATGTTGACAAATTTATAGAATATACGTGAATCAAGTTTCAATTCTTTTATCTAGGCGTTCCAGTCTGGGTCTTGTGATGAAGACATCGAAATCTCCGATTTCCACCGGGGTTTAGGGTTATTTTTTGCAATTTTTTGAGTGAAAATTTACAAAGTTTGTTTTTGGTCATTTAAAAAATATTTGCGCAACATATAATTTATCGAAAGCTTTATAGATTTTCATTCACGCTTTACCCCTTGGGTTTCCTGGGAAATTTCGTAACTCTTCGAAGTTTTTATTTGCTTTGAACAATAAAGGTTCATTTTGAAAAAAATTAAATATAATTTTAGGTCAAATCAAGCAATTCCTGAAGAAAAAATGACTCTAGAAGAACCGGACGGACGAGATTTTGGAATGAAAAACGGACAAAATGGAGAAACATCTTATCAATATCGATTTGTTGATACTTGATTAGGTTTTGTTTCCGTTAATGTTGATGTTTTGCATTCATTTGTTTGTACTCCTTGTCATTTCTCTATCAATTGATGCTTACAGTGTCTATCGGGTATAATTTTAGCTTTTATTTTAATTTAAAGTATTTTTAGATGTTTCACAGGAACATTCTTTTCAATCATTTTGTTAAGTTCATGGGAAACACCAAATTTTCGATAGACTTTTTGCAAATAGAACAAAGACTGTGAAATTGAACAAAAAATATATGAGAATCCCACATCAATTTTTCCTAAAAAAACTTTCTTGTTGCTGAATTTGCTTCCTCTATTTTTTTGCACATCTTTCCCTTCCAAATTTTGCTCATTTTCCTCTCATTTCTGAAATTTTCTTTTTTTTGGATCTATGGGTATTTTGTGAAACGATAATAAAGAAAGAGATTTGTAGAGTGAAATAAAACCGAAACTGTATAAAAACTCACAGACCGAAATAGCAAAGTTACTGTTTGGAAAGTTAACTGAGATTTCAAAGCAAATAATTCTTATACAAATGGTTTTCAATCTTTAACCTACAAGCTCACAGCTTCAGAACCCGGTTCGAATATTTCTGAATACCAAAGCGCACCGTGTCCCAAGACGGAAGTCGGAAGTCAAGAGAATCATCTAATTTTACGCTAATCTTTCATGAGAAAACTGAATCATGACAGAAATCTCATGTTCCCAAACCCAATCGTAAGTCACCTGACTTGTCCTTTTTTGTACCAACTTTTTCATTCAAAAATTTAACCGCGCTCAATGTGCTATAAATTTCTCAAATGTACTTTAAGAAAAAGCCCAAACTCTCTAAATTTTAATTGTTCTGAGAAAATGCATGCAATTTTTCAATTTCCCACGCCCCTCGAGGGTAAATTTTCATCTTCCCAAAATAATGAAATACTACAAAAGGCGAGAGTTGCAATTTTTTGGGTTATTGTAAAAACTTGGACAAAAATCTGTCTTTGGGTTTCTGATTTTAAAAGATTTCAATTTAAAATCGGGTTTTGTCTAGGTTTTTGCAAACAGAACGGTAGCAAGCAAGTAACGAACTTTGTTTCTTTTTTCGAAAGATCAGAATAAATCTTAAGTTAATGCTCTTTAGCTGTGAAAGCAGATTTGTGAGGGTGAAACCCGTAAGCACCGAACTTCTCAATCATAAAATTCGTGCAGAAGTTTCCTCCTCCCAAATACCCTTTGCAACCGATGTAATATAATTTCCCGGAGCTAAATTTACATTTACCCAACCTTTCTCAGGTACATTCCCTATTAGTTCACCTGTCCATTTCCTCTCATTTTCAGGAATCAAACTTTCCGTCGCGAAAAATATATTTTGTGCCAAAATTTGAAAAAAACAATTTTCGAGTTGGTCCAATTAATTTCTAGCCTCTTTTTGACCACTTAGGCTATTGGGAATGAAATTACGTGGATTGTTTGTGAGGGTTACCCACAATTTTCGGAAGAACTATTATTAGTAAATTTGTATTTATTTTGCAAGTTGATTTGTTGATTATTGATTGTTTTATCTTGAATGTCCAATTCTGTTGCAAATTTTCAAAAGAGTCTAAAATTGCAGTCACAATGCAACGCTGGCTTCAGCATGGGAGCGATGTGAACAACTTGGGGCCACTTTATGATTGCAGGTAAGGCTTTTGGTAATGAAAATCATCAATACCAAAACTAAGAAGGTAATTTCTTTAGCCGTTTCAATCTGACGAAAAGCCAATGGTTATCTGTGGGTAATCGAGAGCCAATTCTTGGATGGGGATCACTTATTTATGGAATACTCATTGAGGTGATCTATTGGGTTGGCCATCGACTAATCTAATATAAAATAAATTCACATGACCTATTTCTAAATAAGAAAGAAAATTTCGAAATCCAAGCTCAGTTTCAGATTATTTATGTTCCATGTCTATTTGCGATTACAAAACCAGAATTCATCAAACATTCCTGTTATAAGGTTTGAAGTCTTGAGGCTTTAATATAGAATCAACTGTAGATAATGCTTTTTATTGGACTGAATGATATGGTGGCGATTACAGTGAATTCAATAATCACTGGATATGGACTAATCATTGGTTTGATTGAAATTGGAAAATCTCACTAGAGTTTTACAGGAACAGTCTACTGTGTCGACCCAAATTTTCAGTACATTTCGGGAGCGGTCGGATTGGGTATCTAAGATTTTTAGTATAAAATAAATTGAATAAACAATAGACGAACAGTGGTTGATTAAGCAAATTGATAAACTTTAGCAACATGGTGTAGTGCCTGCCTGGCTTGTTTGATCTTGGTATTCAATCGTGTTTGTGCTTTATGGAGACCAAGTGTTGTAGAAGATCTTTTTGGGGGTAAATCTTTATCTAAAGAATAATATCGAATTTATCTCTCAGGTCATAAAGCTTACATCGTCATGTTGATTCCTTTCTTTTATTGTTTTTGGTTCATTTTCTTCACTCCTCCAATTATGTTCAATTCACCGATGAAAGGATGGTTTCTCTATCCATTTTTCGAGAATGCACAGAAATTTTTTGTAAGTTGGAAAGCTTTTGATAAACTATTTAGCTTTTAAAACTTTAATTTAACAATTAAGTAAATCATTCGTTCGTAAAGCTACTCCATTCTCATGGGGTTCATCAAGTGACCAAAAAGTGATTCTGAAGTCGAAAATCAAACTAGAACATTTGACTGACTTTAGAAAATAACACCTGTGGTTGAAATGAAACTGAAAAGAATCGAGCAAAACGCAAATGTCTGTTTGGCGGACCACAAAAGAAATTCACAAATTTGGAAGACATTCAGTTGTCAGTTGAATGTTTTATTTCGTAAAAATATATAGTAAAAGTACTACTATATATGGTATCAAAAGAAAATGGGATTTTACAGTATCCTTAAAGAACGAAACGTAATTTTAGACTGTCGACCAATGGAAAAATCTTCACGTCATTCAAGATATGACTCCGGTAAATTTTGGCTCTTTTATTATCCCAATTTTTTCCCACTTTAGTATGCAAATTTCGGAATGATCGCCAACAATCTTTTTGTCGTTTTTGCTTCCGTTATCATGTATTTGGTCTTTTGTCTGATTTTGATGATTAAATTCTACAGTAAGACATCGAAAAAGATGACTTTTGCTCAGAAATCGGTGAGTTTATCAGGAAAAAAGCGTGATTTAATGGATTCAGATTTTCTATCAAAGTGCGATGATCTCGGCCGCAAATCTTTACACAGGTAAGTGCGAAATTCGGATGAGTACGATCGAAATAAAACTAAAGTTTCTCCTTTCCAGCTTTAATCTACACATACATGCAATTCTATCCGCAAATGGTCGCTCCATGGATGATCTTTATCGGACATGCTGGATGCATGTTTTCACATGGTATTTTACTTTGAATCGATAATTTTTGAGAGTAAATTAATCATAAACTTATCAATATCCATTAATTTGCATAATCCTAAAAAATGATGTTTGAAAAGAAAATCTTCAAGTAGTCTCAATTTGATCTTTTTATGTTTTTGATGACCCTTCAAGTAGTTTTTGGTCGCCCATTTTATTCACCCATAATGTCATATTTGTAAACAATCAATTGTATCGAAAGATTTCCGGTTTCCCCGCAATGATCTATCTCACCGTGAACCGTTCAATTCGTCAACAAGTGGCCGAAATGTTTGGTTGTACTCGGTTTGGTGGAAGAATAGCTCACTTCAAAACAACGGGACATGAAACGAGTGGTGAGAATTGATGAAAGATTGATTGGGGGACGGGAATGAGGTCATGGAATGGGTTCAAACATTGTATATCTACATATTTCTGAGTAAATTGAATTGTAATCTATTGTAATCATCAGGTAATTTGTTTTGGCTGTACTTTTCAATCAATGTCCGATTTAATTTTCAGATGTCCGTTCCGATCCCCAATCAAACACAAATCATGACCAGAAATTTGAAAGCTCAGTACAGAAAAAGTAAAAACGTAAAACCGTCCTCACTATGTCAACTCTCATTATTTTGTGCTTGTCCAATAAATCCTTTTTTTTGATGTGGTTGTAAAATGACCAGTGTTTATGAGTACAAATTGAAATGATAATGCGGTTAGGACAAAAATGATTTGAATCAACCATGATTTTATCATCAATCTTCGAGAGCTTATTGAGATGGTTGAAGGATTTGAGGTTTGTTTTGACCGCCGGACATTGGTGGAAAGGCGATGTTATTGTGGCCAGTTGATGCTCCAGCATTTCCTTGGAAACCACCTGGTTGTTGAGGAGCTCCGCCATTTTGCCATTGAGCTAAATTGAGATGTTTACCATTAAGTTAATGACAGGAAAACAGGTAATGATCCGTAGGTCTTCTAGTAGAAAGTTTGCAAATGAATCTCACGTGGTTGCACTCCGCTGTATCCTCGTTGCATTCCCCATTTTGATCCACCCGTCATCAACATTATCACGAGTTTTGATTGACCATAAACAAGAGAACCGGTAACTTCCTTAATATTAGATACAATTATTGTACAATATTAATCCACAAATCGAAACTATTTCAAAGAAAACAGGTTAAACTTTACCTGAATTTGTGACTGTTCATCCTCGCAGTTGAGACTCTTATCAGCTTGGATGGCAAGAATCTAAAATAAAATCGAATTAATATGAAATCAACAGCATCGAAAGCGTGCATTAACCTAATCTTTTAAAGCGTTCTTTACCTTAGGAATAGCAATTTGAATCTCAGCCAAAGCCTTTGTGACATTGGCTCGTTTGGCGGTAAAGTTGCCCTCGATTTGAGTGACAAAAGAGTCGAATTGAGTCTGAACAAAATGTTTACAATATGAACCCATAGTTAGCACAGGTAGTCATTATAATTTTGATCAAAATTCTATCAGAGCATTTCCCTACCTTAAAATCGGTTCCAATTTCAGCGGCCAAAGTTTCCATCTCGGTCAATTTTTGGGACTTTGTCAAATTGCAATTGAAGAAGATATCCTGTAATTACTTTCATTTAGTTTGTATATTTTTCACTTACTCTAAATTCTTTAAGTTCACTCGCGTTGAGACTTTGGAGGAATTGTGGGGGAGCGAATGGAAGTTGAGGGAAATGATGGAATGGGGAATCTCCACCATTTGATGCCATATTTGGATTGTTCATCACAGCCATATTTTGAGGAAAATCGTTTTGTGAGACGCCGGCTGTAAAAAATGAGTATTTGAAGCAAGCCTTTAATTTCCAACTCTTAGATTTATTTCCTGCAAACCTGCCGGTCCTCCTTGATGACCACCTCGAGGTCCATGTCTTATCATAACCATCGGCATCACAGCAGCATTAACAGCTCCATCACTATCTCCATCAGCTGCGGTATCTAATAAAAGCAATTTATACAAAAAACTAGACTGATCAACGGCTAAGAGTAAATTTGATGGACAATTCTCAAACCCAATGGCATTGCCAAAGGTTTAACGTACCAATTCAGAAGTTAGTTTAAGTGTTTAAATTTTTCTACATTACTAACTGTCATAACTGTTCCAAACCTTGTCCATCATCATTTCCAGAATCGGGAGATAATGTTGTTGCAACTTTCTTTCCTTTCTTTTTTGCCTCAATTACCACAACCAATAAGAGAACAAAAAGAAGTTGAAGCTTCATTTTTATCGACTCAAATATTTGACAAAATGTGGTGATGGTTTGGATTTTGTAAAAGCTTTTATAGTGGTTTGAAACGAAAACAGATCACCACCATTCGCTCTTCAATTTTAATTGGAGTTTCGATAGTTCCGGGGAGAATCGGACAGCTCTTTTTTGTCGTTTGTGGCGATCACGATGAGCTCATCATAATCTTTTTTCAATAAAATGATGAGATCTCTAGACGAGAACTCTCAATTTGTGTTGTGGTGTTTGATTGGATTGTAAAGAGGGAGAAAGGGAGGAGTGAAGGGAGTGAGGGTAAGTGAACGAGTTCAAGTCTATCCAGCCAGTCTGTTAATGAGATTTTGGGTACAACGGTTAGATATGTATGATTTGAAGACCTTGGAACTAATCTTTTCATTTGGTAAAATTTATTATACATTGTTACATGTAGAGTCGTTGACATGTGAAACTTCAAAGATCTCCAGCTTCCAAAAAAAGACTCATGAAACAATGCATGAAATTTCTGAGCCACCATGGTTACCACCCCCATACGCGCCACCACCGTGAGATTTTTTTGCCTTAAAATTAAAACTTTCTACCGACATCATGGTGCGTAATAAACGCTATTAGGATAACTACAAATTAGGATAACTACAAATTTGAACCATAAACTTTATTGATCAGTGTTTCCTTGGAAAAACAGGAAACTTCTTGAAAAAAAAGGCAAGTTGAAAATATCTTATGTACGACAGGTTTTCATATAATGTAGATGCATAAAGTGTTTGGCTAAAAATCTTAGTTTGTATATTAACTCTAATATGACACCACGATGCCAGTAGAAAGCTTCAATTTCATGGCAAAAGTCTCATGGTGGCCAGGAATTTCTTGCATAGAGTGGGTCGTGATATGGTAAAAATCATAAAAAAACATCCAAATTTCCCAAAATAAATCATTTTCGCACCATACCTACCTACCACCTTGAGCCATCAGAAATATTTTTAAAATTTGACCCGAAGTGGATTTTCTCTTTGGAACACCCTGTAGTGTCGTTTCTTGCGTTTTTTGCTATTTATTTACCAGATATTTGTCTATCTAACTATCGCTTATTTAAATCTCTACAACTTTCTCTAGATCTTTTTATATTGGGTTGGCGCCTATGAAACGTCGGATTTTTCAAAAAGTTCAAGGCTTTTGACTTTCATGTTTTTGCTGCCCCTGCGGACCGAAATCCTTGGGATGAATCCAAAAATTCACAGCGGCCCCCTTCAGCACCCTTTTACGGGCACTTGGGATCCCATTTCGACCGGCGGAGAACCCACCATTGTGGCCAAAATGAGCCGGAACTGGGTTTGCCAATTCTACAGCCGAAGTTAGTTTTGGGAAGCGGTGACCATATGGGGCAGACAACGGATTGGTTACCGGATGACCCAGAATGGACGCTTCCGATTGGACGAGTGAAAAAATACGATATCTGCAGTTGTAATATGCCAGATCGAGTGCGATTGTGCTCGCGCACAGGGAACACACCGGGTCTCTTCTTTGCATTTTAAAGTTCAAATAGCATCAAATTTTTGAACAGAGAAATTGCACCCGGTGTTTTCGGGGTTGGGGAATCGATTGACAGTGTTAAAAGAAAAAAAAATTAGAACTAAATTTAAAAAATTTGATGAAATTTGTAGAGAAAAGGAAACATATTTGTGGAGAAAAGGAACACGCTGGGAAGAAAAGAAAGGGAACACACCGGGACCCACACTTTTTGCATTTTGAAATTTAATTATAATGTTTTTCTCTGTTCAAAAATTTGAAGTTTTTGAACTTTAAAATGCACAAAAGCGGGCCCGGTGTGTTCCCTATGCGCGAGCACAATCGCACTCGATCTGGCATCCTGCATTAGCAGATATCGTATTTTTTTCACTCGTTCCATTCTGGGTCATCCGGTAACCAATCCGTTGTCTGCCCCATATGGTCACCGCTTCCCAAAACTAACTTCGGCTGTATTGGCAAACCCAGTTCCGGCTCATTTTGGCCACAATGGTGGGTTCTCCGCCGGTCGAAATGGGATCCCAAGTGCCCGTAAAAGGGTGCTGAAGGGGGCCCGCTGTGAATTTTTGGATTCATCCCAAGGATTTCGGTCCGCAGGGGCAGCAAAAACATGAAAGTCAAAAGCCTTGAACTTTTTGAAAAATCCGACGTTTCATAGGCGCCAACCCAATATAAAAAGATCTAGAGAAAGTTGCATAGATTTAAATAAGCGATAGTTAGGTAGACAAATATCTGGTTTATATGTAAAAGGGATGTAAAAGGGTTTTCTACCAAGCTTTTCTCTCTACAATGCTAGGACGAACATTCCATGGTAAGTAATTGATTGTAGGTCGTTTTACTCATTCATTTGATAAGATGCGATCCGCTTCTTCCGGGTATTAAAAGTGCCAGCAAAAACATGAAATTCAAAAAACCTGAACTTTTGTGGTAGTGACCATGGTGGCTCAGAGAATTTCATGTATGAAAGTAGGAGTCATGAAATAGGGAAAAATGAAAAAATATGACAAATTTCTCAGCCCACAATATTCACTTTGGCACCATAATGACCACCAGGAACCACCAGAAATTTTTTGTAAAATTAAGGGGAATTGGCTTTTTTTGAACACCCTGGATATTTCTTATTTTTATCGTTTTTCCAAATGCAATCAGACAATATTATTTTCCAATTAGAGAACTGTTGCTTCTTCGTTGAGTTCTACTTTGTCCATATTTCATTTCAACTTTCCCATGAGACAGGGCGTCTTATTTTTTGTCTGGAGAATGTGTACATTGCTGTCATTTTTTTTCCATTAAAGTAAAGAGATTCAGAGTATTGATTTAAAAACTAGGCTATAGACATAGCACATAGGATTACTTTTACGTTGTATGCACATACTTGTTCTTCCAGATCAAATGTTTTTATTTAAAACAGATACAAAGTAATATGTAGTAGAAAAAAGCTATCAGATTAACTGAAGTTAACAGGTAAGTATCTCGAAGAAATAACATCAAAGTTCATTAAGAATAGATTAAACATATCTTAATAAATAATCTGCAAGGTGCAACTTCTATTTCAAACTGTTCTTTCTCCCAAAAACTTGTTTCTTTGGCAATTAGAAGCGGGTACAGAGGGAGATAGATTTTTGGCTGAATTCTCGGAAAATTGTTGAAATTTTCTGTACAAAAGTACTCAGCTTTTTTTATTACAATAAAATCATTTGACGAGAAGAACTTGATTATTCTTTTTCGTTATTGGAAAGTTTCCCAGTTCTCTCCTTTCTTCCAATTATCCAATGTTTTTATTTCTTTTCGGAAATTTTGCATTTCCTTTCATTTCTCAACCATTTACATTAGTAAAGATGATTTTGTTAGAAACTTAGGTGTTCACATCTCTCCACCTTTTAATTTCACTAAATATATTGAAGTCATCTGTCAAAAGGCTTCTTTTGTTCCTAGCCTATCTACAAATTATTTGGTATACACAAATTTGTGATCATCAGTGAAATTCCATTATTTGCGCCGCTTTCTTATGAATTGTGGAGAAACACACTGATACATATCAATTTTCGGTGAATGAAAAAAAGAAAAGAAATGTAGATATAGTTTGTTGATTGAATAAAGTTTCCATTGTGAACTTTAAGTTACATTAATTTTCTCCTAAAATTTCCATTTCAGAATCCTTTCCTTTCATTAATTGTTTATATGCTGTTTATGCTTTGGCATACATAGTTTTTCATACTTTGGAACTGTTGGCAATTATCGAGAGTGACTATTTTCCGTATGTGTCTTTTTGTGTTTTTGAAATTTCAAAAAGTTTATTTGACTTTCGACACTCATCTTCATCAAGACAAGAAAAATAAAAGGTGAAAATAAAAACATTTCATTGGACCAAGCCATCAATGTAAATAATTCAATAGAAATATCAATAGGATGATTCAATAGAAAAATTAAAGGGTTTAACGCTGAATGTCTAGATTGAAATCGCTTCGAATTGCGATCTGATAATGTTGTTTTTGGAGAGGAAAACGGCAACAACATTTCCTGGAAGATTATTGCAAGTGGATATAGAGCTTGACACAAAGAAATACTTTAAAAATCTCAAATCGCAACGGGGTGATGGTGATCATTTTTGTTTCATTTTCCTTATGTCGCTTTTTCTTCTCATTCAATCAATCCTTTTCGTGTAGCTTTGCAGCTTTCAATTTTTTCGATTTTCGTAGCATTTGAGAAACCCAAATTTAACCGAATGAATATATCCGAAAGTAAAACACAAGCATCTCTTGTGGAAATTTGCATTTAAAGCGCGTAGGCTACGGGAGTTTGCGCACCCTATAAAGCGCCGACTGGGGAATTTGGACTCAGCGCGTTTCGAAATGCTATTATTTTTGCTGAGATATCCAAATGCCGTTTTGTTTCAAATCTTTTAAAAATAGTTGATGCAGAATAGTTGCTAAGGGGTTTTGTATAATTTTCACATATGTTCGAGAAATATCACTCCAAAGTCAAGGGTTAAAACTGAGATTTGCGTCCTTTGCAATGCTTAAAATTTAAAAAAGTGCTATTGTAAGTTATTTTTTTTGTTTATTTACTAAATTCAAATCAGTAAAACATAATTATAACAAAAAATACTTTGATTGATCATCAGTACTCGTAAACCAAACCGATAAGAAGAGTCGAATTCCAGATTTTCATTCATAAAAGTCCATTTTTAGAAAAAACTACAAGACGGATTTTTATGAAATTATGATTTTTGAAATCAGCGCTTTTTTTGTTTTAGAAAACGCAAATGGCAATGATTTTGAACAGCGAACGCATTTTTACATACATTTCGCGCGGATGTGTGATGTTGAGTGAATTTATGAAAATAAATGATAAAACATTTTATTCATCTACAATTGAAAAATATTGAACTGTGAATATTGTTGAGATCATTTTATGTGGAATGACCCTTTCGGTTGTGTTCAATTGTTGTTGCCAAAGTTTTGGCCTTGATTATTCTAAAATTTATCGAATGAAATGTTTCACTTTTTTATTCTAAAATTTTCAAAGTAATGCTTACCATGCCCATATTTCCATTCATTCCATTCATTCCACCCTGTCCAAATCCGCCTTGTCCGCCTTGTCCGCCTTGTCCACCCATCATTGGTCCTAAAAAGTAGTATTACTTTTTGAAGTCCTGTCTTTACAGCAAGAAAATGCCTTTAATGTCTTGCCATATCACTATGAACACACCTCCCATTCCACCTCGTGGTCCTCCACCCATTCCACCCATTCCCATTCCTCCTTTTGGTCCTCCCATATGTTCATCATGTCCTTCCTTTCCCAACATTGCTATTTTCATTGCGATTCCCGCCAAAGCTGGATCGTTCAAAGATCGCAAGTATTCCTAATTTTTTTTGAGATTTGAGAAAGTAGAGGTTTTTTTACTTGAACTTGTTGCCTCTCTTGAGCTGGTGTGATCTGTTGATTGTCGAAGAATGTTTGGAGTCGATTGACGACAGTCGGCAATTGTTGCAAGATTCGAGTCCTGTTTTGATTGACTTGGTTCTTGAATCGAGTAACATTTGCCTCGAATTGATTGTAGAGTTGCTGAAAGTGCTTTGTAAAATGAAGTTTTTGATTTAACAATACCAATGTCTGTCCTCCAATGTTTGACGCCCACTGGGTGATTTGTTGATCGATTTGGGCTTTGGTAATATTTTGTGCCTGATCGAGTTGATAATATTGTTGCATTTGTTGTTGAGAGAGCCCTTGCAAAAATGGAAGTGAGCCTGGAATGGACAGAAATATAAGTGATTGAAAAGGTAAAAAGCTATTGATTTGATTAGAGCTATAAATGTCCTAGTCATTAGTCAAGTTGTATAAATGCGTTTTTAAAGTTTTCTCAAATAATCTTACCTCCTCGTCCACCACCCGGTCCAGCCAACACTCCCATCAGGATCAACGATGCAGCTAGCAAGAATCTCTGCATATTTCAAAGATAGGCAATGTTAATTCGAATTGAAATCTCAAAGTCAAAGTCCTTGTTTATATACTTGACAGGGATAGGTCTGTTTGCTATTTTCTTGTCGTTCTTCACGAGAATTTCCGTGCAAACTTTTCACTTGGGTCCTTTCTGTCGATGAAGAGATACTTGAATTCGTTGGGAAATTTGAGAAAGCGGTAAATTTTGAAGAGGAAATGGTCTTTAAATGATCTTTTCTCGTTGACTCATCTCTTATTTTTGTGACTTTTTCATTTGATGACGTGATTGATGAGGTTGGTGTTTGTGATGGAAATCTGTTAGAATACTTTCTTATAGGAAAGTGAAAAATTCTTGGTTGAACGTATTTTACAATTAAAATTGCTTGAGAGAAAAAGGCAAAGTTTCCGTTGCAATCTCTGGTTCAATTTTCCTTGCTCTTGTGCAATTTTCTTGTTCAATAAACTTGCTTGTCTATTTTAAATTTGATTGCACGACAGAAATGGTCTAATCTCCGAATTTTTCTTTCGCAAATTTTCCTTTCCTTTTCCAACGAATTTTCCTTTCGCAAAAACGCGGACAAATACGAATCTAGGATTGCTCAAAAACACATTGAAATTTGTTCTCTAAAAAACTGTTTTCGCGCCATGAAACAATTTTTTCTTTAAGCAAATATTCTGTTTACCAGTGTCCAAAGAAAAAATGTAGTGTGAATTGAGAAACGATATTTTAGATCAACAGAAAGATTTTGGGCACTTTTCCTTTTGATTCTTTTTGGCAAGAGATCATTTGTAGGCCAATTTCGAGTTCTTCGAACTGAAATTGCAAAAGAAATGTGACTCCTTTTAACTTTTGAAAGTCACGAAAGAAATCGAACTTTAGCCTGGCCCAAAGCCCTTGAATACTGCCAAAATCCATTAAAAGATCATGAAAAGATCGAATTCATTTTGAACCAACTTTTCAGATGCACTTCAGCTACAGTAATCAACGGTGGTCGTTTTCCGAAGGCTGATCAAAACAGCGCCGTGTACAAAAGAGCGCCATCGCAAAAATATCCCCTCCGCGGTTGAGTTTCTATGTGGTTCTTGTTCTTACTGGATACAGAATAAAATTATCTACATTTTGCATAGTTTGGGATCACTCAAAACAGAATTGGTGTCGAGAAAAGCTCAGTCAACCTCTTTTGAGCCCTTTTTCGTTTTTGGCATTTTCTCATCCCAGATTTTCATCAGATAGCTAATTTTTTCCAAAAACTCAGCAGATAGCTAATTTTTTTCTACATCCAATGAAAATAAGAAACACAAATAAACTTATTATTTTAACGCAAACGTATTATTTTGGCCGGCGCTTAACCAGTTCCCCTTTTTCCAGAGTTTTTAACAGAATCTACCAATGAAACATTTATCAGCAAACAAATCAGCAACTGAATCACAATATCAATGGAATCCACGAATCTTCAGGTCGTGGACGATGAATTGAGAAATAATGGGGAACAATTTCATCTTCATCATAAAGTGTATCAGTTGGTGTGGCTGATGGAAGCCATCCACGGGAATTCATTGATTTGAATGGGAAAGTTTCCAAATGGGCGACCCCAATCGACGGGTTTTCACGCGGCTCTTCACCTGAAATAAGTAGTGAAATGGGTAACTTATTTGTTTTAAAATATTGATTTTCAATAGACCAATGAAGCAAGGAAAGCAACAAGGAAAGTTTCGGAAAGTTGTGCAACTGAGTAATGAATGAAAGGATGGATTTTGGTGAAACTTTTGACAAGGAAACCTGATTAATCAAATATTATTTATTGGATTATTTTTATATTATTGATTGAATTCAAATATACTTTCAAAACCTGTTCGATCCGGGTTTCCCAGGATGATTTCTCTTTTCCCTTTTGGATCGGGTCGGAGATGATCCGAGATTCGCCCACCAAGCGATCTAAAATTGCATGGTTGGGTATTTAAACAGGAAAAGACCTAAGTATGCTTTAACTTCTATAAAAAATGACTTTGACAAGTGAATATGAGAAAAATGCCTCCTGTTGCGGTGAAAAAGGCAGCCGAGTGGTGAAAAGAAACAAGTACGATCATAACGGCGAGGTGGGGGTTTGATGAGAATTTGGTCGGATCCAGTTTCGCTGAAATGAAATTGAAACTATATTGGATATAGGTAACAAAGAGCAGAAGTCTATATTGTTTTGTTTCTCATGTATTCATTATTTACCTTAATATGCTTGACTTACAGTAAACCTATCTCTATTTACACAATTTAGGTATCAGCCATATCAGCGATAATAGCGCTGAATACGCACCATTTTCTTGCATCAAGAACTTGACCGATTGCTCATCCTTTTTATTTATTGAAAGACTGTTTATACAAAGTCATATTTATCTTGCATTCATTGCAATCACTTACATTGGAATTGATGAATAAGCGGCTAGTACTGAGAAATAGGAGAAAAGAGCAATTGCTATGCTGAGAAAATGCAGTGAATGGCTTTGTATCGAGATCATCATTGTACCCTAAAATAAATCATTGAACACATTGTGAAGTTCCAGTTTTTTTCTCACTACAAGATGCTTAAATAAAAAAAAGTTAACTTTACAATATTTTTGGCACTAACAAAAGAATTTTTTGAAAAGGTAACATTGAATTTCAAAATGTACAAGAAACGAGACTAAGCTATAAGTATAGAAGAAGGGAAAAGTTGATCTCCCAATTTCAGTAGTGGGATTAAAATTGGGAAACGAAGGTGAAGAAAATGATGTACATGTAGAAGAAAGACTTCAAAAACAACTATCATGTTATTTGTATAGAAAAATGACATTTGATGAGAGTATAATTGAATTGCAAATATTACGTCAACAAGGAACTGAATGATTTGGAAAAAGGGTTGAGTTGTCATTTTGAGGAAGATGGTTAAACCTGAAACAGCTCAGGCAAGCCTAATTTTAATGTAAGCTTGTAAAGCTTGAGTGAGGTTTAACGAAAAAAGTATACGTCTCAAAATGCCAACTTTTCCATGATTGTTCCTTTTTATCAAACGATCAAGTGGGTTTCAAACTTTGGAGATTTAACTTTAGCTGCCCATTAATCCATTCAAGAAGGCGTTTTTGAAAAATTGAGGAACAAATTCGGGTAGGCTTAAGTCGAATTATCAAAAAAGTAAAGGGAACATCATAGGAAAAAGCATTAAAATAATGAAAATCGGTTAATCTTTGTCGAGATTTCGAGATCGGATAAACGATTAGAGTTTGTGGAAGAAACGTTCCTGGAACCATGAACCAAACATATCAATGGTTCATCAAAAAAAGCCCAGGGCTCTTAAATTTGTATAAGTTCCATTATTAGAGATTTAATATTTACGTCAAAGCCATTCGAGGCCAAGAGACCAGAACTCAGAACCATAAGCATTGCATTTCTTTTTTCGCTAACCACTCTTTACGACCCACAGCTCAATTTGAATTTTTCGATTCTCTTGACTCAGATGACCCTTGTTTTTCCGGTCTTTGATGACCTTTTGCGCAACTGAAGAAGGCTTTTCACCGAGAGATACATTGAAATTCCACTCACGTCGTCTATTTTGTCACACATTCCAAGTATAGACTATACACAAACGACACGTTGAGATTGTTTAATATTAAAGGTGATAATCAAAGACAAGGAAACCTTCAAAACATAACCAAGTGGAAAGACGAAGTTTTCTCTGAGGCAACTTTTTTCAAAAAAAGCGGACCTTCATCAACAAGTATTCATAAAAGTCAATTGGCTATATCATGCATTTTTAGAACTTAATTAGTTGTCATTTCTCAATTTTTCAAAACATAGCGCCAAGTCGATTCTTGATAATCTTAAGTGAAAGGAATTGTTGAGGTGTGACTCTTTTGCTGACTCATATTTGTTCGAAGTTCCAAGAAATTGTGGCTGATCTTAATTAGCAATTAGATTACCTCAGAAAGCTCAGAAATTGCTTCAGAAAATACTAATAATGTTAATATTCTGCGGAAAGGTTTTTTTCAGATTTAAAGACTCAATCTAAGCAAGATCGACAGTCTTCTTCTCCCACTTCCATTTCCCTACCGTGTTCTTTTCAGTTTTTCTCTCTTATCATTTTCTCATTTTCCTTGCTTTCATTTCGAATCAATAACAAGTGGATTCTAGTTAAGTCTTTGGATAATCTTTATCTACATATTATCGGTTGTTTACATTTAACGTGCTTTTTGAACATCTTCACCAAATATTGCAAAATGGTTTTCAGCGTTTCAGAAAGTTGAAGGTGACTTTAGCAGGAGAAACTTCAGTAATACTTTTCGAATGTGCTATTCCATGTAAATGATTTATAAACAATAACTTGAACAGCTAAAACCTCGTTCTTTACATCTTTTGAGTTAACTGTGCGGACTTGAAATTGAAGGCACAATGCCCGTGGTGGGCTGTAGACAAATTATACACAAACGTGTGCAAATAGAAGACTCATTATTAGAAAATCCAGGTTCTATCTAGAACACCATGTTGATTCTTGGGCGACTCTTATTTGGAGCAACGAGCCACCGACGTTGCAAGGATACCTATGGATTCTACCGTTTTAATTGCACCATTTTTAATACAGTCAAATATAAGGCAGACAAAACCCACTTCACCATTTCAGTTCATTTGACTTGTACTTGAGCTTTGTAAGCTCAAAAAGCGTTCATCTCACGGACACGTTCATCTCGTTCAAGTAGTTCATTTGGAAACCAATAAATTTTTCATTTTTTTGTGTTTCATGTTTTGTCGTCATTTTGATATTCAGCTTTATTTCACATTTCAGCTCTTTTTAATGAACAGAATGGAATCTGGAGCAACGATTTCCGAGAAGAGAAAATGTTTGGTGAAACAAGGAAACACACGCGAATTAACTCGATTCGATTTCAATTTGCCAGCAAGCATTCTACCAGATACAGTCAGTTTCAGTCAAGGAAGAATTGAAACGAAATACACAAACGAGCTTGTATTCAACTTACTGCTAACTTGAGATAGAGGACTTGAAAAGCAGAGGACTTTTTTGGAACTTAAAAAACAATCTTTATGTTATTTTTAAGTATTGTGCTAAGCCTTTTAAATATTCCGAGAACTCGTTTATTGAAGCTTTTCTTTTTAGAATGATTCTCATAATCGTCCAGAAGAGGCTGAAGCCGGGGAATTCCATGTGTTGAATCGATCTCATCCAATTTTTATTCAGTTCATGTTCGTTTTTCCTATTCAAAAATGTCTCCATTTAAATACGTATCGTTAGCCAAGGAAAACGCTATTTGTCTGGCGACAGTAAGAAAAAAAATTTCATCCAATCAGCTTTTTGCATTTGATTTCGATACGAAAGGAGCATTGGGGTAGAATTGGCTTGGATACAGTGATTCTCCACAAAGTTCTTTCTTCTTTCTTCAATTTTTGTTTCAGAGCCGGCACAATGATGATACTGGAAAACAATCGAGAAGTGACAAAAAGGATAGTTGTTAAAAGGTGGGTAAAATAAATTTGAATTTGACGCGAAATGTTTGTTTAGAATAAAACTCGAAAATCTTGGCTTCTTCGGCACAAACATCACTAAATTTAAAGAAGAACTCCTTCGATTGAAGTTTTTGAAGAACGTAAGTAAACGATGTGAAAAGTTAAAGTTACATCAATCTTTTCAGTCATCCCACATTGTTCAAGAATATCGTTCTTTCTACGAGACAAAAGATGGGAAACCAGTCGTTTTCTACTCAATCACTGAAAGAATGGATCATTCACTCGATGTGTATTTTAAGTGGGTTAAAAGGGTTTTTTGCAATGTAACGCCTGGATTTAGCTACGCATGCGTATCTAATGGAAAATTTAGTCATACAAATCGCAATTTTAGTTTCCTGAAGAAGCTCGATGGAACAGAGAAAGAAAAACAACGGGATCATCGTCATATCAGTGCTTTTCTCACCCAAACACTTCGAGCTCTCGATTTCCTCCATTCACAAGGGATCGTTCATGCTGTGAGTTTGCAATCAGATCTTTTTCTGATTGATTAAATTAGATCCTTCATCAAGCAAGGTTTTAGAATTTAAAACCATCAAAGATTGGAATGAACAAACAAAGCTTTCAATTGAAACTGCTCGATTTTGGGAAGCGAAGGTAAAATTGGGTTATCTATTTACAATATTTGCCCATTTAGACGAGGAAATCTTGATGAGGAAGTTCAGTGTTTGGGAATTCCTTTTTACGAGGCTCCAGAAGTTATCTTTAAAGGAAATCATTCAACTAAAAGTAAGCCCAACAGTTTCAATTGATTCTGAGACATTTCCATCTAACTATAAGATTTCTGGAGCAACTCGTACTTAGCTGCAGCAGAAATCTGAATTTTAGTGGACATTTGGTCCATCGGCGTTTGTGCAGTGGAATTTCTCGGTTGTTCCCTATTTTCTCCAAAGGGAGATTCAAAAGAAGTCGAGACAAAAATCCGTCGATTTGGCGGTCGAAATTCAGTTTTGAAGAGACAATTAGAAGTGTTAACTGGATCGGAATCAAGTGATACATTCCTTCCATCGTATGCTAAAATTGCGTAAAAGGTTACAACGATTATTGCAGAGATTTGCAAATACTCGAGAGAGCGACGATCAATCCAGAGAAACTTCATGGAGAAATCCCATATTCAAGACTTGGACCAAAAAGAGATCCATTAAATGGTAAGAAAGTCAAAGTATCTCTTACGAGCTAATCAGCTACTTTTAGTTCCAAATCTGCAATCACTATTGGAGAAAGTCTTCGAAATCGATCCAAATCGCCGCCCAAGCGCCACTGAATTGTTGAAAATGCCGTACCTTGAGATTATGAATGTAAGTAACAAGGAGAATTCACTATCGGAGAATTCACTATCCATCACTAATGGAAATTTTCAGAGAAAGTACGAAATGATGGAAGATCGTTTTGTGTCATTTGAGGAGAATCGAAAGATTCAGGAAAGAGAAAAATCAGAATTGAACTCACTGATTGAAGTGATTTCGTCAAAGATTGTCCCATCAACATCAATGATTTCATCAACAACATCAACTTCTTTGTGCAATGATGATGATCTGTTTGTGGATACCGATACTGATGGATTTGAATTGATTGATTAAAAGAATTTAATTACGAGTCTTGCTAGGATCTTGCCATCTGTGCTTTATTTTTGGAAATTTCATGATGGCTTTTCATTTTCACTTACGAGGCACTTTACGGGCATGATTGTGTCTTTATTGTATTCATTTTAATATACTCGTCTATTTACTAATTATAGGCAATAAATTCCATAAAAAACGTGTTATCTCAAAATAGGCATTGATCTGATCACCAGACAATGGTAAAACAACTTATGCATAACTTGAACTTAAACAAGGGTTTTAAAAGGACGGGTACAAAGCTGCAAAGTTGGCAATGAAAACACAATGAAAGACATTTGATATTGTTTGACTAAAAATTACCACTGTTTGCTATAAATCAAAATCTCAAACTGCTTCTCATTTCCGATGATTAATTGTAAGTGATCAATCCGTTCACAATCAGAATAGTGAGGAAATACTTGGAAAGTTCTTTTCTGAATTAATCTCTTAGTCTCTTAAGATGGTAAATTAGCCATAAATCTTTTCCCTAGTTTCTTAGCCGACCAAAATTTAAAATTTCAAAACTTTAGCAGTTTTGTGAATCAAACGACACGTATTCGATTGGTACCTTCCGCTGATCCTTTGTGAAATAATCAGAGTCCCTTTTGGTCTTTCTCTCCTCACTCTCTGCTCACTCTCTCTCCCCCCTCTCGTCCATATCAAATTGAGGAAAAAAAGCTATCCCGAGTTGGGGGTTTCTTCTCTCGAAATTTCCACTGATTATGACAAAAAAAGTTCCCAGGTAAAATGACTGGATACCCGGAGTGATTTTCTACTGAACAACAACCATGCATTAGCTCGGATTAGGTTTTAGTTTGAAACAATCTGAACGTACAAATCTGAGCGAGTAAGAACCAACACTTGTAGGTAAACAGGGCTAGTTTTCAACATACCTATGCAAAATGTGTTAGGGAAATTAGACGGGCATCAGAGTTTGTACTTGGTTCATTGAGAAGTGAGAAAAAGTATTGCGAACGGATCTACCACACAATCAAAATAACTTTCTCTCATAATCAGCACCTGACTTGTTTCAATCATGATGTCAGACACCGAGGGAAAAGGTTTGTTTTTGTTTTGAAACGGTGGTTTCTAGGACAAGTGATAAGTATATATTAATACTATTGCTTTCAAGCAATTTTCATAATAATTTCATAATATCTTTCCGAATTTTCTTCATGATTTTCTTTTATGTAAGAGAAAACTTGACCCCGCCTTTCATTTTCAAATTTAAGAAGCTTAGCTTACAAGTCCATTCAAACTCCTTAATGCCTCTTGATATTCGAAAAGCAGACCCCTTCTTCTTCAATTTCCACATTTTAAACTCTTGGAAAACCTTTTTGTTCTCGATTCCATTTTCCTCAATTTCATAAAAAAGCTTAATCGCTGTAATTTCAGATATTTTCAATGTCGACCCCAGAGCCAAGGAATTCGCCACTTGATATTCGTTTGGATGTTCTTTCAATAAAGAGTTCCCCTCAATCTCAAGAAGAACCACCAAAAGTTCAACGAAGATTCGTGAAAGCCATAACTCTTTTTGTGAAACCAATCACAAAAGATGGAAAACCAGATTTCGAGGAAGTGATGGGTGACATTGAGTTGCCCGAAGAGTATAGACCGGATACGGTAAGTGATTAGCATTATTCAAGTAAAATCATGATAGGAATATATAAAAAAACTTGCTCATTCTTCACAATTTCATCATAATTGCCCCATTTTTTAGAAGGATCGTTTCTATCGTCCACCGAAACTCAGTGAAAACAAAGATGTTTACCATGTGATCGCCAGTGGAAATTTTGCCGATATTATGTAAGTTTTTAAACTGATCTAGAAGAAAATCACGACTCAAGGCAAGGAATAACATGCAAGGAATAACATTTATTTTAGTGCCGCTGTGAATCGAGATGAAAAACCTGTAGCTGCAAAGAGGTTTTTTAAAATTGAATAATGAAAATACTTATAAGTAAACATTTAGATACAAGATTGACCAATTGAATCAAACAATTGATGGTTATACTCGCCTCAGAAGAGAAATTCAAATTTCTCGTTTCAATCGACATGAGAATGTAAGAGCTTTTAGGCATACAAAGTATAAGATTTGACTTTAGATTGTCGAGTTTTATGATGTTTTTGTGGAGAAGCCCGAAAATCCAACCCACATCTGGCTTGTCACCGAAAGAATGGAACACACTTTGGAGAAATATTTTGAGTGAGTTTAAGACAATTTTCAGAAAACCTAACGAGAAAATTTACTGCAAGAATGGATTATAAGGAAAATAGCTATCGAAAAAAGCCTTTCTGGTATTTTTTGTGGTGATTTATCAGTGATAAGAAGGTGTACTGTAGAGGGGAAAGAAAAGGATCACCCACGCTAAATTGACCACAACCTATGCAAAGTTCGCTGATGAGTAAATAGAAATTGAATAGGAATGATTATTTGAAGAGCCGGAAATTTGATTACTGAAGTTAATAATGGTAACTTTTAGAGATATCGGCCGTAAAGACGAAACATCAGAGCCGGTGAAAAGAGATCTCCGCGATATTGGAGCACTTCTCACTCAATTACTTCGAGCTCTTGATTACATTCATCAACGTGGAATCATACACGGGGTAAGACAAGATTAGAAAGATTAAAAAGTATGTTTCCTGATCACAAGCTTCAAGATTTCCTTACCAATTGTTTTCAGGATGTGACTCCCCGAAACATTGGAATGAATCAAAAGGAGTTCGAGATCAAACTTCTCGATTTTGGACTTGCCAGGTATTCGGATTTATCTCTTCCATAAATAACTACCAATATTTCAGAGAAACAAATCCAAAACTTGATCACTCGACAAATGTCGATACACCATACATTTATCAACCGTTGGAGGTTCTGATGAAATCAAAATACAATATGGCTATCGATATTTGGGCCGTGGCTTTGGTGGCGATTGAAATGTTGGGAATGAAATTGTTTATGCCAACAGAAAATGATCAAGAAATTGAAAGAAAGGTAAAGGGGCCGATTAATCAATACACGCAAACAAATGATAGATAAGAGAACGGGGAGCGGAGAATGTGGTGAAAGATCGAATTTTCGAAGTTCTTGGCGTTCCGAATGATCAATATAGATCTATGTTAGTTCTACAAAATGATAAATTGCTATGGTAAAAATAGTAGAATTAGAAAATTCTAGTTTTGGGGGATCTGTTGACGAGGAACCGTCGCCCAATCGTCTAAACCACTTTTTGCCCAGTCATCGAATTGGAGAAGATGTGGAACCACTTAAAGGTTGGTTACAGGATTTGAATCCTATGATTGTGCTATAATTTAGTTTGATTTTGATTAACTTTTAGTGGTGGATTTCTTGGATTTAATCTCCCGAATGCTTGATCCAAACCCGGTCACTCGTGCAAAAGCGAATGATTGTCTCGAGCATCGATTTCTTTCCGCTTTGCCGATAAATGTAAGTAAAAGGATGAGCACAACAGTAGAAAAATTAACACCATATTGTAGCTCTACGATCCGAAAATAAAAACAAATCCGTTTAGAAACCATATGTGGAAGAAGAAAACAAAAAAGATCGAGAAGCATTATTGAATGGAATGAGAATATTCGGGAAACCAAGCTCGAGCAATCGGCTTAATTCAACCTTTCTTGATCCACTTTCGCTTTTCAATGACTGATTGCTGAGAATTCATTGCAAGACACGGAACTTTACAATCAGCGTTGTTAATTTATCTTGTAGATGAGATCTTACTTTTTTGTTTGCTCAACTCCGATCTTTTGCTTTTCAAAATATCCTTATCCTTTTCTACTAGCTTGTTTTCTGAACTCAACGCTTTTTTTCTGTTGTTTCGCTCACCACAAAATTCAATATTTACTTTGTTACTTTGCAAAGTTGAGCACCATTCTTTTAAATGTAGTTCTCAGTTTTTTGTTCAAAACTCTTTGTAGCCAGTCATCTTATCGATAAAACTTATTAACGTCATGATTTTTGTTCTTTGTAAAGGCTCAAAATATATCGTTTCTCTTGCTTTTTTTGATGAGGGGATTTTGTGGCGAAATCAAAGTGCAAACCGATGGGCTTGTCACAAAAGATAAAAGCTAGCATAGAACCACGCAAAATACCTTGATTTTTTATTTTTAAACTGGATTTTGTATTTTTTGAACGAAACGACATACTTTAGCAGTAATGGCGGCTGTGGCGAATAATTCGCAGACGGTGAATATCTGTTGGATTGAAAAAAACGATCAAATGACCACAATTACAGCACAAATCCCCCTTGAATATTCACCGGATCAAGTTTGTTCTATAGTTCGAAAATGTTTAAAATTTTCTAATGATAGTTAAAAGAAAGGTTGCATAACTAAACATTGATTATGGAAGTCAAAGTTTTCAGAAAGATTCCGCTCATCGAAAAGAGCGAATTCCGCCAACGGCTTTTCATAAAATTGGAGCAGGTTCACAAGCAATTGTTGTGTGAGTTTGAATCTATGAAAGTACAGAAAACAACAATATTTTTGGTTAAAACTAATTCTTAATGGGCTTTTAAAGTGGTATTGTGATGTCTCAAAGAAAAGAATCCCATTCAGAGCTGGTGTCTTTCGGAAAGAGGGAGAAAGGGGAAATGATGATGAGGGAAAAGAAAGAAAAGTGGCGATGAAAAGGTTTGTAATGTGAAACGCACAGTAACATCAAACAAAAAATGTTGCTCGATATGAGATATAAGTTTTCAGCTTTTATAAATTCAAAAACCCGTTTAGATATGATATCGTTTCTCTTGCAACCCGAACACAAAGCACTTTTACCCAATTGCTTCGAGAAATACAAAACACTCAATATCTCATTCATCCAAATGTGAGTATATGTATAATATTCTAATCTTTTTTCTTATTATAGCAAATTGTTATTTTAGATTGTCACTATGATGGACTCATTTTACGAAGAAGGATTGAATCGATCACTCAGATTTGTCTGGATCACAACAGAACGAATGGATCACACGCTTGATGTTTATTTTGAGTCAGTATTTAGATTTTGTTCTAAGAATACGCTTTTTGAAAAAACTGAAGAGTTCTACTTTTTAGGTGCCTCCAAAGAGGGAATACATTGCGTGATCATCGACAGGTTTCGGCTCTTTTTGTTCAAATGTTTCGTGCACTCGATTTTCTTCATCAGAGAGGAATCATGCATCGAGTAAGAAATCAAAATAGACACATAAAAGCTATGTAATATCAGAATTTTAAAAATTAAGATTGTAAACTTTATCTTTAGGATGTAACGCCAAAGAACATCGGAATGAAAAAGAAAGGATTTGTGATCAAATTGCTCGATTTTGGAGTGTGCGGGTGAGAGAAATTTCAGAGTTAAGAACTAGTTTATTAGATTTTGAAGTAAATCGTGTTTTGAAATGTTTTAATCAATAACAAAGATTGTGCAATACAAGAGTTTTAGCCAAATAAACGCTCAAATGGATCATACTCAAATTGTTCTCACTCCACTAATCTATCAACCTTTGGAAGTGATTCTTCAGAGAAGATACGATTGTGGAGGTAAAATCAATTTAAACTGAATAATTATAGCTGTTTAAATTTGTAAAGCACTAGCCTTTCAGTTGATATTTGGGCGATGGGTCTTGTCGGAATGGAAATGCTTGGATGTAAATTGATGATGCCACCATTAGTTAATGGGGTAAGCTGCAATTCAATAATCCAACTGCAATTTAAACTTTCAGCGTCTCACTCAACCAATCAAACAACAGATTCTCGATGTGATCGGACTTCCAAAAACGATGTATGAAGACATGTATGAAATAATTAAAAAGTCAAAATATCTCCACATTCAGCTTTCAAAAATGTTTATCATTGGAAAGGCCGAGACCAAGAAAATTGGAGGCAGAAATTGATACGGCACTTGGTCGAATGGAATCCGATAGACAATCAAGTCTAACAAGTGAATATCTAGAATAACTTTTGACGTTTTAACTGAATATTCTTTTGATATACAGATTTAGAAGCAAACCTAAAAGATCTCTTGCTCAAACTCCTTGATGTGAACCCGCAAACAAGACCGAGAGCATATGAATGCTTGGAACATCCATATCTTCTAATAATGAATGTAAGTTTGTAAAAAGTATGGTTTCAATGTATAATATTAAACTTTAGAATAGTTTTTTTTCAATTTTATCCCAATTTTTAGGAAAGTCTTGAACCGAGGCCTGTTCCCACACAAGAAATTCAAAACAGAAACACTCGCGATGAAGGAATTTTAAAGCAAATGCTTTTGAATTTCTCAAGATTAGTGTAATCATTTTGGGTTAATAAATTTTATTGTTATCAATGACTTTTATTCAATGTTATGGGACATAAATATTTATCCAATGTTAGCTAACAAAATATTTATTGGTTAGTCGTTGATCTCTTTGTTGATGAAACAACTCCATTTTTAGGTTATGAGATTTGAATTCTCTAATTTCTCCAGGTTTCATTTGATTCAATCAATCAATTCCTTACCTTTTTTCGCCAGGTTGAGGTGTGCATTTTTTTGTGCAACAAAAACCCCCTTTCTTTTACTGAAAAGCATATAACCATTGTGTCAATTTAGGGTTTCCCTAAAATCATTTTTTCTGAAGCACTGCAGATCCTTATTTGAAAGAATTGTTTTCCCATTGAAAGAATTGTTTTCCTTTCAATTTCCTTACAACATAAAAATAATTTTATTGAGTAATAAATTTCAAAAGAAAACATGCAAAAAATGGTAGTTCATTCTAGCCAATTTTATCTTTGTTTGAAGGGTTGATCCGGTCCAAGTTGCACTTTTAACTGTATTCTAACTCTTGACTATTTAACCAGTGGTTAGAACCGTTGTTACATACACCATTTGACCGCATTACTTGCTTGATCTTCCAAAGTTTTGTTTAATAGTTGATTTTTGAAAATACCACCATTCTCTCAATTTAAGGTCATGAGTCTCCAAGCGCCAAACTCGAGGCAAATTCAATTTTTCAAGCGATCACCAAGCGATCCAAGAGATGTGGAACTAATATCAGAAACAGCGTTAATGCCATTTGGATATGAACCCGATTTGGTAAGAAATGATTTGAATTTGAAAGCCTCCTTTTGGAAAACTTGAAAAACGACTGAATGGCTCATTCTCAATTAGACCAAGCTAATTTTCGTAATAATTTTCCGGAGGATCGACATTTCCGAGATCCAAGGATTCAAGCAAATGACTTTCATGTAATCGGAAGTGGAAAACAGGCTGTAGTTATGTGAGTTCCGTAAATGAATTTTTAAACGAACCTAAAAAGGATTATAATCATGTAACGCGGTTTAGAGCGGCAAAACTTCAACGCAAAGGCCTTGCCGAGAGGGTCGCTGCAAAAAGGTTTGTTTTGAAATTAGAAAAACCCAAACGCCAAACCTTTCCATTGCAGATACGATATTAGCAAAATGGAACGGGAAAATGGTTTGGTTGGGTTTACATATTTGTTACGCGAAATTCAAGCAACACAATATCTATTACATCCAAATGTACGTTCTGGGTTCAGTAGCTATAAAAAAAAGGAATCAAGAAAACAACAAGATATTGAGAGTTTAGATTGTCGAGATGAAAGACTCGTTCTATCAAAATTTCAAAACTGGAGCTGCTCAATTTGTTTGGTTGGTCACTGAGAGAATGGACTGTAGCTTGCAATACTATTTTGAGTAAGTTATTGTGTACATAAAGCTGATTAAACACTTGAATTCAGCCTGCTCAGAAGGCCAGAAAACAATGGAATGATCAAACCGAGAGATCATCGGCATTTGGCTTCACTTCTCGTTCAATTATTCAGAGCCTTGGACTTTTTGCATTGTAGAGGAATCATGCATAGGGTATGTTAAATAAAGATATTACATACCTATTTTAAATCTAGGATCTAAAACCCGCTAATGTTGGAATGAATCGTAAAAGCTTTGAAATCAAATTGCTCGATTTTGGAGTATCTGGGTAAGTTTACTAGGCAGGCAGAAAACCAATTGCTCTCGTTTTCTTCAGGCAAACAAATTCTCAAGGAGCACACACAAAAATCGTCTCAACTCCTCCAATCTATCAACCATTGGAAGTAGTTTTACAGAAAGGCTATGATTGTGGAGGTTAGTTCGGATAAAGAATGATATAGAAGAATATTTAGCCCAGGCTAAAAGAAACTCTTACAACAACTTTAGTTGATGTCTGGGCTGTTGGATTGATTGCATTGGAAATGCTTGGATGTAAATTGATGAAGCCTGCATTAGCTAATATGGTAAACAAAAAGGATTCCTCATTGAAAAGAAAAATTTCTAGGATAGACAAGATGCTGTGAGACATCGGATACTTGAAGTGATGGGTGTGCCAGATCATAAATATGCACAAATGTTTGTTTGAGATTAGAGTTTTCTATGACTGACTGATAGTGAGTGAAGGGTTACGAATCGAAATTCAGTTTTCATATCTCTTCCACCAAATAATCGATGTCCAAAGTTAATCTTGTAGATTTGGAGACAGCTTACAAAATGAGGACCAACGCTCATCAAAACTTAATGATGAACTCGAAAAGGCTTTGAATCAACTCGAAAAAGATCGCGAATTCTTAAGTAGTAAGTATTGATAAGTAATTGAATAAGTAATCGAATGTGGCATTACCAATATTTAAATGCAAGTAACATATTTACTTTCTAGGGGCAAATCTGAAGAGTCTCTTGGAGCACATTTTGACAGTCAACCCACAGCTTCGTCCAAAACCCTCAGCTTGTCTCGAGCATCTCTATTTGAGAGTGATGAATGTGAGAATTTTTTCTCAACAAATTACATTAACGTAAAGACTACGATAAGCAGATGTAAAATTTTCAGCAAAAATTGGCCCCAATACCTTTTGGTGCGGATCAAATGGATTTGAAAAATCAACGAGATCAGGCTTTACTTCAAATTATGCTCGGAAAATTCTCTACATTGTTGAGACCTACAGAGTAAACTGTTGATTCATGATTTCCGAGTATTATTTATGCACTGTTCTTTGAAAAATCCATTTTGGTATTTTTTTTATGAACTTCGACCACAAAGAGAACTGGGCACTCTTTTCAAATAGAAATTTTTCTGAGACTCTGGATGTGAGGATTTTTAGTTACCCATTCAACTCTAACATTGCCCAAAAGTTTATTTTATATTGTTATCAATGTTATAGTGATGTTCTGGTTGAAATTTTGATGGCAAGTTGTTTTTTCCTTCATTACTCATTGCCAGTCGGTGGATTTTCTTGCGAAATAAAATGCTTTTTTTGCCGAAATGCTCCAGCCAATTTTTACCTAAAGAAATTTTCTGAATTCATTATATAAATTTTTTGCAGTTGAAAATAAAGCTAACGTATTTTCATTTTGAAAGAAATATTTTCATGACGACGAAAAAATGTTGTCTTTCGTCATTTGTATCCATGAAATCCGTATGGCTTCATCAAAAATAAACCTTTTTTGAAATTCTTAAAATTTTGGTTTAAATTTGAAAGGCTAACCGATCCAAAATCTTTCTTTTTCTAAAAGTTTCTCTGCTTTTTGATTGTTTTTAGAATAATTTTTAGATGGCCGAACAAAAGACTGCAAAAAGCTCCCGAAAAGTTAGATTTTTTCGGCGAGAAAATCAAGATAAGGCAGACAGTCCAATTGTTGAAGATGAAGCATTTATGCCGAATGAATACACACCGGATATTGTAAGATTTTATGAGTTTTAACAACCTTATACAGGATGTCCAATAAAAAAAACGTTTTCAAACCGGAATTCCTCAGAATTTATAGTGGCTAGAGGTGGTGTCAGAGTGAATCATTTGTGGTCTCAAATTTTTCATATTTTTTCACGAAAACACCATCACTCGATGGGATAGCATGAAATTATGTTGTTGACCACCATGGTCACTACCATGAGACCATCAATAGGGCAAATTTTTACCATAAAGCGGAGACTTTCTACTGGCATCGTGGTGGCATATCAGAGCTCTGCCATATCAGAGCCAATATGTAAACTAAGATTCAAATCAAAATTAAATCGAATCAAAAATCGAACTAAAAATCCAGGATGACGAGAGCTTCCGTAAAAAAGAGATTCCATCTGAAGCATTTCACGCCATCGGAAAAGGAAAGCAAGCAATTGTTTTGTGAGTTTTTAAGATATTGAAAAAAAATGCAAATTATAAAAACTTTAGAGCTGGCGTGTTCAAAAGAGAGAATATCACAACGCGTGTCGCTGCAAAAAGGTGAGTTCGATGAGTTAGATCACGCTTATTTTGAAAAAAAAATTGCATGCAGTGCTCCATAGGCCCAAAAATCACTTCAAATTACCCAAAATGTTAGATATTTTAGCAACGTTAGTTAATTTTAAGAAAATCTAATCTTCTAGATACGATATCCGCCAACTAGAACAAAAGAAAGATGGCGGCGATTTCACTTTTACGGCTGGATTCACTTTTCTGCTTCGAGAGATCTCACACACATTGTTCCTTTCACTCACTCATCCAAATGTAAATTGAACTGTTGCATATTTACAGAACAAAGTTTTCAGGTTGTAAAAATGATTGAGTGTTTCTATCAGAATTGGCCAAATGGAGAACCGCGCTATGTTTGGTTGACAACAGAACGAATGGATTGTTCATTGGATCATTATTTCGAGTCAGTTTTGATTATTTATGTTTTTTGGGTGGCTTAAAATGACAAGATTGGACAAGAATCAACTAATATTTAAAAATTTAGCCGTTTATCGAAACCATCAAAGGACGGGAAGGTCAAGTTGAGGGATCATCGACATTTGGCCTCACTTTTTGTGCAGTTGTTCAGAGCTCTCGAATTTTTGCATCTTCGAGGAATTATGCATCGGGTAAAAGAAAAAAAATATGACTTATTGAAGTTTTAGGATTTAACCCCAAAGAATATTGGGTTGAATCAAAAGAATTTTGAAATAAAATTGCTCGATTTCGGGGTATCTGGGTAAGTTTTACTTTTAAGCATGCAAAATGATCAATTTAGTCAAATCAATTCAAGAAATGGAGATGTAACAACTTTTGTTTCTACGCCACCAACCTATCAACCATTAGAAGTTATTCTAGGAGTAGGATATGATACTGGAGGTGAGTTTGTTGAATTGGTTTGACAACTAACATTGATAGAGGTTGATTAGTCTTTTCCAGTTTCAGAAAGTTATCAAAAACTTATTTCAAACCTCTGTAGACTATTTAAAACAAGAAGCCATTATTCAGTTGATGTTTGGGCTGTTGGTTTGGTTGGTGTGCATATGTTAGGAAAGAGATTGACGTATCCACATGGAAAAGAGGTGAGGGTCATATACAATTCAGTGTATTTCACCCAATTTTTAGGATAAACTAGACTCTGTGAAACAAAGAATTCTCGACGTGTTTGGACTTCCGGAGGATAAATATCGAGACGTGTATGTTTTGTTTTCATTCCCTCAATCACCCAATAACGTTTTTGAAAAAAATTCTTTTCAGATTTAAAGGGGACGGTCTAGACAAAGATGAGCCTCGACCATCAACTCTCGATTCTGAACTTGATCAAGTTTTTACTAGACTCGAACCGGATCGACATGGTTTATCCAGTGGGTAACTGTATTTTAATGTCTTCGAAGTAATCTTCAAGATGAGCATTTTCAGAAGAGAACTTGAAAGCATTGCTCAAAGCAATTTTCACGATAAATCGACAACATCGACCAAGTGCCACCGAATGTTTGAAGATGGCATATCTACAGTTGATGAATGTAGGAAATAACGAGAATCGATTAACTACTAATGCACTATATTTAATGTATTAGAGTTCATTTTCAGCAAAAGCTCCCAGCGGCTTTAGAGACAAACAACCTAACGGAGAAAAATGAAAGAGATCGGAAAATTCTCAAGAATATGCTTGTAAAGTTCGCGAGGAAGACTGAAGAATGATTTGATAGTTAACTGAAATGAAGTCCTCAATAAAGTGTTTAACAAGAAATGCTCCAAACGCAAAAAAAAACAACTGTGGTTTGATTAGTTATCATACAAAAGCAACACAAAGTGGTTTATACCCTAGAAAACATCAAATCTCACAATTAGAACTACACTGCTGGACATAACTTTAAGTCCACTTGAATTTTTGTGATTTTTCGTTAAGTAAGAGCTCTGTTGCTAAATCGTCTTTTATGTATTATTAGGTTGTCCGGAAATAAATGAGCGTTTTGTATTGTTTACTATTTGAGTACATTTTTCTCAATAAAGTATGCTCTGTACCTTGTAATGTTATATACTATTAGAAAGCTGAGTTCGCGCTCTCTTTAACCATGCTTTTAAATTTTGTTGAATATAAAATTTTTTGCGAATTTTAAGCTTCGCCGTTTTAGGTGTCCGAAACCAACTTTCGCCAGATTTTCTTTTATAAGTTCAAACTCGGTCGCAATGCAGCTGAAACGGCTCGTAACATTAACGAAGTTTGGAGCCAAGGCAGTGTCGGCGAGTCAACAGTGTGAACTTGGTTTCGAAAATTCCGAGGTGGTGCTTTTGATCTCGAAGACCAAGAAGGCCGTGGCCGTCCTGTTGAACTCGATGACGACGAACTGAAGACCCTGATGGAAGCAAATCCACGTACGACTATTCGAGAGCTTGCGGAGGAGCTTGGCGTGGACAAGACGACCATTTCTGACCACTTGAAACGGATTGGAAAGTCAAAAAAGCTCGATAAATGGGTGCCGCACGAATTGAACGAAAATCAAAAAATCGTCGTTTTGAGGTGTTGTCTGCTCTTCTTCAGCGCAACAAAAACGACTCATTTCTCGACCGGATCGTAACGTGTGACGAAAAGTGGATCCTCTACGACAATCGGCGACGTTCCGCTCAGTGGTTGGACGCCGGAGAGGCTCCACAACACTTTCCAAAGCCAAATTTGCACCAAAAGAAGGTTATGGTGACTGTTTGGTGGCCCGGAGCTGGTCTCATCCATCACAGCTTTCTGAATCCGGGCGAAATGATTACGGCAAAGAAGTACTGCCAACAAATCGACGAAATGCACCAGAAATTGCGGCGAATGTGCCCGGCATTGGTCAACAGAAAAGGTCCAATTCTTCTCCACGACAACGCTCGTCCGCACGTCGCACAACCGACCCTGCAAAAGCTGAACGAACTGAGCTACGAAACTTTGCCTCACCCGCCATATTCGCCGGACCTCTCGCCTATCGACTACCACTTTTTCAAGCACCTCGACAACTTTCTCCGGGAGAAATGCTTCAAAACTCAAGACGATGCCAAAAACGCCTTTGCCGACTTTATCGCCACCAGAAGCCCGAACTTCTATGCTACCGGCATAAATAAACTTGTTTCTCGTTGGCAAGAATGTGTTAATTGTAATGGTTCTTATTTCGATTAATAAAGTTTTGTTTGGATCAAGTTATGGTATTTTAAATATCCAAGTTGAAAACGCTCATTTATTTCCTGACAACCTAATATTTCTAGCTCAAGTTGGCATATAATAGCAGGAAAAAAGCCAACTGGTCAAAATAAAAATTTTCAGAAAATTAACATTAACTCAAAATCCCTTACCGAAAGCACAATTTTTTTATTTTAGCACAACACTTGCTCTCTCGATCGGCACTATCGTGTGATACCAACGTAAAACCAATCGCGCCAGTGAATCAAAAAGGATGTGTTGCCCCACTTTGCCAACTCAAAGCGCATCACTCGGCTGGTCAACACGGAACTTTATTTTTAGCACTACCTTGTAGCACCAGCTGAGCGTTTGTGTTCCAGAAACGTTGCGTTTCTAGGTTGATTTTTCCGAGCACAAAGTACATCCAATAACCCTTTAACCAAAGAAAACTGACCGATGTGCAAAGTACAAAAAAAAGAAAGTTTACGACAATTTCTAGACTCTTTTGAATTGGGATGGCGAGATTTGAGTCGGAAATTTGCTTAAAATTTGCTAGTTTTAATGCTAAGGTACCGCAAAAAGTCCATTTCGATCAAATCATTTGAACGAAATAAATCAGAATTCTGGTCTCCAAAACCCCCAAAGGTTTAATGAGCCAAAATTTTTCCCGTGCAATCGAAATGGAAAACGGAAAAACAAATTGGATTCAAAAAAGAAATCAAAAGTCAAGAAATCAAAAGCATTCATTTGCGTCAATTCGATTGATTTGTTAAAGTTTTCATTTTTGATTGAAGATAAATTGATTCAAATTAGTGAGCACCAATTTGAATATTTGAGCTACAGTAAGCCTTCTATTTGACTCCGCCCATTTTTGTGGTAAAACTGCTTTCTCATAGCCTCCGAGTAAAATTATGTTAACAATAAGTACTGTACATTGTTATAATTTTACGTTCACTTGAATTTTTGTAATTTTTCGTTACGTAGGAGCTCTGTTGCTAAATCGTCTTTTATATATTATTTCTAGCCCAAATTGGCATATAATAGCAGAAAAAACACCGGTTGTTCAAAAATAAAATTTTCCTTAACTGAACGGAAAATTATGACCACTTTTCATAAGGGTTTTTGAATAGTGTTATTTTCCTAAAAATTTTTTATTTTAACCAGCAGGTTTTTTTCTGCTATTATATGCCAACTTAAGCTAGAAATAATACATAAAAGGCGATTTAACGAAAAATCACAAAAATTCAAGTGAACGTAAAATTATGTCCAGCAGTGTACAGTTCAAATGGAATGAATTAATGACAAAAACTTTCATAAGCTTAATAAGTGACACGCCCGTTTTTGTTACGCCACAGTCTTCGTTCTTTGTTTGATACATTCCTTAGAGCTTTGAACCGGGTTCATTTATCAAAAATTTTTTATTTTTTTCTCACTTGAAACTAATCAACCGTTGTGAACCAAAAGTTTGGCGTAAGGTAAACGATTCGGCTTGGTTTTTCTGACAGGCTTTCTATTGTATGTCTAAACTTTAACATGGCCAAATTTTAGCGTAAAAAAAGGATCATATAAAAGGAAGCCTAAATTTACGTTGACAGCACTTTTGAAGTTTGAGAATTGGCACTTTCACCAGTTTTACAATGCTTTGGAAGTCAAATTTTTTATTTTTTTTGTTACATGAAATTCATACATTTTGTGGCACAAGAAATAGCTCTTATCAAGGAGATAACCTTTAGCGACTTTGGCGCCGAAAATTTCGGTCCTTCAAATATTTTTTAGCTACAAAATTAACTGTGATGTCATTGTCATGTGAAGTAGTAAAAAGGTATTTACGGTATTTACTCGAATAGAAGACCGGTCTTCTATTTTTTTCAATCACCCCCTAGACCCCGTCTTCTGTTCGAGGCCGGTCTTCTATTCAAGATCGCCTTTTATTATTTGCATTCACGAAAATTTTCAGGAAAGCAACCAGCGTTTAAAAAAACTTTTTTGTAGAAATTTATTGTAACATTTAACAACAAAATTTATCAACAATAATTAATAAGAATATAAAAAAAGCAGTAATAACAACATTATTCTTCATTCTCACTTGATTCAATTCAATTCATCCTCTATTAAATCCGGATCTTGCAAAATTCCATTAAGTCCCGCTGCGCTCGAAATTGAATCGTTTTCACTCTCATATCCATTGTTTCTATCCTCGTCGGAGTCGATATCTTGACAAAGTTTTGCTAACCTTCCCTCCAATCTTGCAATATATAGTTTGAATCGACCACTCTCAACAGCTTCCCCTTTGCGGAAACAAGCAATCTGATCGTCCTCGCCGCCATCCAAAGCATTCGATATTCCTCAATTTTTGAAAGACTTCTCAATTAAGCTGGTGGGTAGGCTTTCCCAAGCTGTCACAATCCACTGCAGAAATTGATCTATCTCTGGTGGTCGAAAATTGCCGCTTTTCGTAAAAGTCTTAGTTCCATTTGATAGCCAATCGGTGTAGAGAGCATCAAATTTGCTTTTGAATGGCTGATTCTAACAGACGTCTGACGCCTGAATGAATTTTGTACAGCCTTCAGGCACCACGGCGGTATCCAATTTCAAGTTTTTCAAAACATTCCTTGTCCATGGACTCAAATGGGTTTAGAAAGAGTCTTAAACCAAAAGACTTTTCAGGTAAACAACATGTGAAAACGTCCTTTTCAAATAGTCCTTACAACCGAATCATCCATCCAGTTTGTTCCCATCCAAGCCAGCGCGAGCTTTACTCCAAACTTTTTCTCAATATTTTTATCGACTCGCTTGCGCCGTAAAAGAACGTACGGCTTACATTTGTTCCATCAGCTCGAGCGGTCAACATGACCTTGAATGTAGGAAATAACGAGAATCGATTAACTATTATTGCACTATATTTAATGTATCAGAGTTCATTTTCAGCAAAAGCTCCCAGCGGCTTTAGAGACTTGTAAAGTTGATTTTATAGTTAACTGAAACGAAGTCTTCAATAAAGCGTTTAAAAGGAAATGCTCCAAAGGCAAAAAAAAACTGTAGTTTGATTAGTTATCATAGAAAAGCAACACAAAGTGGTTTATGCCCTAGAAAACATCAAATCTCACAATTAGAACTACACTGCTGGACATAATTTCGCGTTCACTTGAATTTGCGCATAGAATTGATGCCGCTCTTGAGAAACTCAGCCGGCTGTGACTCGAAAAACTTGGCGACCCAATTTTAGATATCTTCACGGGTTTCAAATTCCTCACCAACCAAAAGGCTTTGCATCGACCGGAATAAATGGTAATCTGAGGAAGCCAAATCGGGAGAATACGGCGGATGTGATAGAAGCTCCCATCCTAGATTCTCCAATTTTTGCTGAGTGATTTTTGCAACGTCAGGTCTAGTGGTTATGGATAAACTTTATCTTTTATGTGTCTATTCCTTGACGAATGAGAGCTTCATTGACCCCATCAAGTTGCTGTTTGTAGAGGTCTGATGTGACTGTTTGGCCGGCTTGTAGAAGCTCGAAATACACAAGGCCCACCATACTGAGAGC